AAAGGTAACGATTAAGGACAAACGATTGGTAAGGTGATAAAGCTGCATTGCAAATTTATTTAATTGGTAAGGAAAAACTTTCCGAAAATTATAAAATTCTTATTAATGCATTTAAAATAATAATATGTTATATACAGGAAACAATTTATATCTTTGCTGCAAATTGTGATAAAATTTAATTGTTCACTTTTACTTTTGACACACAAAAGAAAGCCTAAAATGGAATATGATAAAACTGTATTCAAAAATCCATTAAGTTTGTAATTGGTCATTTAAATGTAACATTATTTAACAACAATAATGAATATGTTGCAGAAGACAATAGCTAAGATCCCCCCACCCCTTGTTAATAGGATTTCTGTAATAATTTCACTATATGTCTAGTTAGACATATTTTTCTTATCTGTAAGAAATTTTTATAAAACCAAAAAAAAAAGCATAACCCAATCACGTGACAAGAAATACTTAAATTTCATTGGTTAAAGATAAAATTTTAATATTAAAATAAAGATAAGACTTTTTTTTTTGTCATTGTTAATTACAAATTAGCTGCTACAAAAAATAGCTGCAAAAAAACGTTCTCTAATATTAATTCTTATATTGTCTCTTTTGTCTTGATCTATTACTAATTACTTACAAGCAAAACAACAACACCTTGGAAACACAGGACAGATCCAATATCCGTCTGTTGATTGTTCTTTCATCAATCTAAATATCAAGCCCAATTATCATGACATAATTTCTTCCCGTTTTCCACAGGTAATTCTTGTAGTTTTTTTCTTGTCTGAATCCCCCCCTGTTAGTGAGGGTCTGTCTCTTTTCCTACAAGAATATATATTTCTATAATAATATATATCCAATCGGTTCTGGAAATTACTGTATTAGCCATGGAATTGGAATCCCGTCAAAAAAATAAAAGAAATAACATTAACCTTTTACCTCACATTGCATTTTTCCTGACCTTACTAATTTTAAATCGATTGTTCCGGAGAAATTTCCTACTCCCTCCATCCAATAAGCCGACCCCCGGGGACGAAGATGGGGCAGCTCAGGCGGATTCATTAACAAACAGAACAATAGTTTTGTGTAACTCTCCTTTGCAACTTCTATACAGCGAATGAGGGACACGGTTCACTTGACTACCCAATCATTAGAAGAAAAAAAAGACGAAGATGAAAAAAGACTAAACAGCTTGTGAAATTGTAACTCACGACAAATCTTGAAACAGTAATGTGTTTCAAAAAGTCATCTTGGCGAAAGCCGTGTTCGCCTCAAAGGTTAATGGTGAAATCTCGCTTAATCTGAACGCTTTTTCTGCAAAATGAAATATGTATGATGCAAGTATTGCTAAATCTGGCTCCAGATCTCACAAATTTACACACGCTTTAGAATACACAATAGAGAACATTTATATATCCTAGTAAGCCCATTTTATGAAGACCGCAAAGAATGAATCCCTCCACTCATATTTAGCCGGTCATATTTTTCCAGCGCCATAAACAATAGGGTTAATAAATAGTAACTGATGAAATACAACCATTAGAATTGATCACCTCTAAAATACATCTATCAATCCCATATAATTTCGATTGTCCCCATGTTTTCACTTGTTCGTCATCGGCTAATCTATCCCTTTCCATCTCCATCCCATCTTCTCCTCGATTGGGCAGTTCAATAATATCTAAATCATTATCTATAAATTCCGATTCATTCCTATTCAATAATACTGGGGTAGTATTCTCATGGAAAATTTGGGGTAATTCATCAAAATACATTCTGGAATTGAATTGGATCGATCCGTCAGAAGATTCGATTTCCCAATTACATCTATTCCATCTCATGAAATTTAACCCCTCAGTAATCCCCCCATTATGAATTATTACTTTCTTAACTGAATTATTCATTTTGTTTTGATTATTGGAATTGGTTATATTGTATAAGATATCAATTCCATATTTGTAATAATTATGGAATTTGCAATGACTTATATCATTCTCGGAATTCTCTCGTTCGATATTTGATAAATGATTATGAATCAATAATCGAGAATCAAATTTATTGAAATAATCTTCCGGAGGACCTAGGATATTTATAACATCTTGTTGAGTAGATTTGCCAATCTGGATGATATTCTCCTTTTTATCTGCCTTTTGGATGGTTATCGTACCCTCATCTAGATTTATTACTACATTCTCAATTTCATTCCCACCATCACCTCCACCTCTTTCATTTGTTCTATTGGCCACATAATCCTCCCAAGAATTCCCTTTATGCAACGCAATAGAATCACAAGTCACGTCATATGGGTTATCCCAATTAAGCAAAGCACTCAATACCTGTTGTCTCTCATCACCTAAATCCCGAATATTATTCAATAATTCCTCGTTCAATATCCGGAATTTGAAAGAAATCCCCGGATATGATAAAATATATCCATCTTTCGCCCCATTTAATTTCCCAGGATATGTGGGTCCAAATATCTTATTATAAATCAATTTGAAATTGGGTCCGATACTTGATAATTGTGTATTATAAGTTGATCTCGAACTAGTTAAGGATGAAATGCCCGAATTATTATTATTCCCTCCACTATTCTCAGTTCCTACCGTACTTGCAGATGACAAAGTCGTTTCTAATCCATTCACGGGCATCTCAACCTCATTCAAATTATGTCCATTATATATCAATCTCAACCCCCCTCCTGTCTCACCACCACCTCCTCCTCCTCCACTTCGATTCATATCTAAAACCTCTATCAATTCCAAAGTCTGATCACGTTGATTATTAAAAGTTAACCTAATATTCAAATCAATTATAGTCACAATAATTGGATTTTCATAGAATTTGGTTGGATTATAACTGATTCTAAATTTATATTTAAATTTATCTAAATGTTGTATAATTTCATACATTGATCCTCCTAATTTAATGGAATTGCCCAATCCTTTACCTGGGCTAATTATGCTTTCGTATATCATTGGTGTGTGTCTTCTGTATTCTTTGTTGTGTGTGTGTGGTTTAGGTGTTACTAGTTGTAACCATGTGGGTAATTTATGTGGAGGGCAAGCAAAACAAATGGAGGGGCGATAAGATTAAATCAAAATGCGACATTTTACGACATTGATTATTTGCGACATTAATATCGGCAAACTATACTGAGTGGTCTATTATTGCCCGTTGAGGGCATATTTATCAAGGATTCTGCAAAGAATTCAAGCAATAATTTACATTTTGTATTAAATTTGTCGGCGTAGTTGGTGTTCGTTACTTTTGGGGAAAATTCCATTAAGGTGAAATTTCTGTCAGCCAATTTGGTTGCAAAACTTCCTAAAAATACAAAACCGTTTATTAATTAATTAATAATACACTAAATAAATACAAAATTGTCTAAGTTAATAGATCACCCAAAGATATTTTTGATCTAACTGTACTTTCAACCGTTGGTTTAACTTCCTGCTTCACTTCAATAATCTTCTCTTCTTTCTCTTCTTCTATTAAATTTGGTTTATAAATTTTTGAAAGTTTATCATCTTGATCAATAATTCCATAATTCTCTCCATTCAAAGGTTTTGTCAAAATATCCAATAAGGTAGGTTCTTTTTCTTCCTGATCCTCCAATTTCCCATCTTGATCTTTTTTATGATAACATGATTGGCATAAGGCAAGTTTCAAATCATCATGAGTGTCCCACCATTTAGGTGATGTGTCTGTTGAACATCTCCTACATTTCAATATCCGTTTTTTAACTTCCGAAGGTTTTAATAATGAAGGAATCTCAAATCGTTTGTTATATATCTGACAATTGTTGATATAATTTATTGATTTAATATTTTGACCATTATTCACACTGTTAGGTTTAACTAGATCTTCTAAAAATAGTTGAAATAGTGGTTTCAAGTCATCTGATTTTGAATGTACTCTTTTCCCCAATGTCCTCAGATTCAATATCGTATATCTCGATTGATCATGTTTTGGACAAACTAAAATCGGTCTCAATTTCCCCAATTTCCCATCCACATTCACCAATTGAATATCTTTATCAAATTCACCCACTTCTTCCACTAATTTAAATCCAAGCTTAAAATTCGGAGTATCTTGAGCACAAGTTATATGATACTTAGTTTCATTCTCACATTTATAACAACCTATCAATGCTCCATTTTGTGAATCACAAATCCCACAATGATGTTTATAATTATTCAAATAGACTCGAGATACATTATCTATCGAAATCAACAGATTCATCGCTTCTATAACATTCTTAGTATTCTTCAACTCTTCTTCGCTGAACTTCTTAGTCTTTCTACTTGGCGGTTGTCTAAACAGAACCAATTCATGATTGAACACCGCACATAACAAATGACACCATTTTCCAGTATCAGTAGGTTTCAAATAATCTGGTCTAACAATCGGTGAACCCATAATTGACAATTCATAATTCGATTCGTTCGCGAGACATAAAGTACACGAATACACCGTATTATGTACTGGATGTAAATCATTTATACAAGGTTCACAAAGCCATTCTTTAATTGGTTTAGGTGCCTTTTCCGGTATGTTTATCCCAGCACATGAACTATGAACATTCACACCACATGATGAACAGATTAACATTTCCAAAAGCGATGATTTTGAAGTATCGTGTTCTCGACAAATACAACACTTTCTTTCCAGTGGTTCGAATGGTAATTGAATCGAAGATAAATGAGGGATTTGAAGATTGGCCAATTGGGAATTGATTTCAACTAATTGTTTGGTTCGGAAACTATTGATAATAAAGTCAATTTCAGATCTTGATAGATTTAAATGCCATTTCTTGTCAAGCTTATAATTCGAAACACTGGGAACGATGTAATCAGGGTTAAGTACTGGATTGTCAACCTTTTCAGGCGATGGCCAATTCCAGGTTTGTTTCCTTTGTTTCTTGGAACTTTCATCTGATAATTCTGAAGTTGCTCTTCTCTTAGATTGTTCAACTGGAGTAGATGCAGTTGCAGAGCTAGCTGATTTCGTAGTTGTGGTTCCTTCCTTTCTCTCCACTTCAATCGATGCAGCTTTTGATTGTGCCTTGGGTTTCTTATTCTTGGAAGCGCCACTATTTGTTGGCGAAGCCAGCCTCTTCTTCTTCGCCGGTGACTCACTCTTGGGTTGTTCATTGCTTGTCCCTGTTGGTTTCTTTTCCGCTTGCATTATCGGCAGCACCTTAGTATTTGCTTGTACAACAGCAGGATATCCATCATCTTGAACCTCATCTCCAAGCACAGAACCATTCTGTTCCGCAAATTCCAAAATCTTATATGCATCCGTCAACAATTCATTCTCAACCCTTTTTTTCCACCCACCTGATTTCCCACCCGTCTTCTTCATGACTTCATTAGGATGTTCCCAAATCACCGCATATCTTCTCCATAATTTCGCACACCTAAAACATAACCCCACTACATAATTCTCCTCATTCGGCTTTTTGGCATCATGACCCGTGATTCTAAACCATTGAAATGATCTATGGGAATTACAATGTTTACACACCAATTTCAGACGTTTTGCAAGGATTTTTTCATTATCATAACAAGAATCATCTTCAGCATCAGCTAATTCATCAATCACGGGGTGTGAATCTATTTTCGATGCCTTTTCAGCGGCGACGGCAGCTTCATCTTTGACCATATTTTGAACTTTTTTCTGAATCCTGCCTTCAAAATTCCCCCAGATTAATCTTCCATTCTTGGTCTTTTTCCAAAGATAATAAAATCGAACAATCATGGCTGAGGTTTGGGTTTTGACTTTTTTGAATACGGGATGTAATTCACTTCCGAATAGTTTGACTCCGGCTTCAAATCGCTTGATTTCTTCCTTGGTGAAAACGGGCTCCTTGAGGGATATTTTTGTTAATTGTAATGCATCCTGATATGCCTTTTCTGAATCACCCTTGTGGTTCATATAATAAAGTAATATGGCATCCATAAAATTTGGAGAATTGGGAGATAGCTCTAATGATTCTGCAATTGGTGCACATTTGGTAATATAGGAATCTAAATTTGAGAAATTATCATTTATATCCTCATCACTTGATTTCCATAATAATGTACAAGTCTCTCCTTCACCATCATCAACTCCTCTTTCAATATACCCCTTTGGTCTAGGTTGTAACCAAGCCGGATAAGATTTCGGATCCATATCGGCATATTCCTTCGGCACTTCCAATTTTTTGAGTGTTTCTTCAGTTTCCTTCTGTTTCGCCTTTTTGTTATTCTGAGACCCGCTCTTCTTCTTCAGTTGTTGTTGAGGTTTTTCAATATCATAATATACCAAAGGATGATCACCATCACATTCAGGAATGTTGACTGCTTGATGCTTGGATCCTAATCGAGTAGATGCTCTTGGATATGGAGATCTATCATCTAAATCAACCCCATCTTCCAATCTAGCATACATTCCAAGATATCTCATACACCATTCTTCTTTTAGTCTTCTTTTTTCAAATGTGTTCTGTCTGTCTTTGGTTAAGAAATCAATTGCCATGGTTTCATATTTGGGTAATGTAGCTACTGGGTCATCTATTTGTGATTCTGATAGCGGTTGTTGTTGTTGTTGTTCGTCTTCTTGAGAACTGGGGATGGTTGAAGGCATGGACGACGATATATCATGATCAAATGAACTTAATGCATTTAATTCAATAGCTAATTGATCTTGATTTGAAGATTTATTATCATGAGATAACATCAACATTTTCTTACTATGATATTCAATTTCATGTTTTTTGGTACAACTTGCACAAGACCAAGAAAATCCCCGGCTTGGTTTTTTCAATAATGGAGGATCCAAACAAAGCATATGATAATAATGATTACATTCTACACAACTGATTGAATCTTGTGTTGAATCACACCATTGACCACATATTTCACAATTACAAGAATTGGAACTGAATGTATTTACTAATGATTTTGTTCTTTGACTTTCAACAAATATGAATTCAAATCTTTTGTTTAATGCAATTAGGAAGTTCTTACTTTTACTATTTTCAACATCAGCATATTGTAGTAGGTTTTTTGTCAGTAATACGTCATAAAACTTAATCATATATCTATCAAATAATTTATCAAAATAAAAACAATTTGGCTTCTGGGTATATAATTCCAAACTTGATAATGTAGTTGAAGGTGATGCGGATTTTTTATTGTTATTTCTTAATTGTTTCTGCAATTTGGAGTCATTTAAATATCTATCTTCTATATCTTGTTTATGTTCAACAGTAACTAAACCTCTGAAACTAGTTAATGGACAAGTATCCGTATGCATAGATGCGAATAATAATCTAGAATCAGAAGTTAATTTTGAAATGTCTCTAGGTCTATAAAACCATTGTATTTGAAATGAATAATCACTTGCCTGAACTATACCTTCTTGTAAATGATATATGTCATCATCACTAGTTTTATGTTTCTTACTGGTAAACCCTCGAATACGTCCAATATAATAAGGTTCTCCTGGAGGTTCACTTATCATATAAATGTATTGACCTTTTGATAGCGTAAATATATTTCCATTTCTTTTCCTAGAACTGGTACCACTATTACTACTAGTAGTAATGTTGCCTTTTGAGGTGGGAGATTGTTTAGGACAGTATAAAGTCTGTATTCCAAGATCTATATATGCATCAGTTAAATCCAATTTGAATGAAAAGAAATCTTCTGATATTGGCGGTGGTTGCCAATTATAAGGTATAGTAGATTTCAATGCTGAAGAAGGTTGAGGTGTCTTATTATTACTAACATTACTATCACTTTTCTCCAATTGAGGAGTTGACGTTCTCTTTGTTGACCTCTTTTTCGTAGTCCCTCCTGGAGTATTCAATCCTGAAACTGAAGTTGAAGAAGAATTACCAGAATCATATTCTTGATTAGTATAGTCTATTGCGTCGTTGTAAGTTTTATTGATTGTTGCTTTCCTCTTTGGTCGTGTCAGTGTCATTAATGTCATAATTATTATTGTTATGGTGTATGTGGTAAAATGTCTATATGGGTTTTTATATCATGTAAATTAATGAAGAAATCCGTTTGTGGAAATCTAATATAATGCTTAAGTATGCTTGTTGTTTCAAATTGTTCTTAAAATGAATAGGATGGTACAAAGAGGGGGGGGAGGTCTCTCTAATATTTATACAAGATACTACCAAAGAACTCACTTAAAGAATGTTCTTTTTCTATAAAGGTTTAATGAAAAAGGAAAAAGTTCAAAGAAAGAAAAAGTTGAAATTGGGATATTAGGAAAAATAAGATTTCATTTGTATAACGTAAAGTGAGAGCGTAAGTGAGACAATGACACTCAGTTGACAAAATACCAAAGAAAAATTCATTAGTATGGCTGTCCATATTTGAGATAATATTCTGATAGAGGATTGGCTACATTGTGGTCGAAGCTTCATATTGCTGCGATAAGCTATCGAAAGAATACATGATATCATTACGTTTGATCTATAAACTTGACAATTACTCAGTCTATCTATATAGAACCAGTTTTTAATGCCGTTTCAATTCTTTCAATTTCTTCAATGGTCGTGGCAGTCTTCAATTTATTTAATAATTCTTCTCTTTCTTGTTTAGTCAATTTATGAATTACTGTGTTTAATTGTTTATCCTTAGATGAAGACTCTAAACCATTCTTTTCTTTAGTTATACTCTTCTCTATTAACGATGTAGCAAGCTCATTATATACAGTATTATCATCACCAAATAATTCTTTAGCTTTCTGTCTTTCTCCTGGTTTAATTTTCTTAAAATCTAATACTTTTAATGAAGGGATTAACCAAATCATAAATAATCGATAATTTTCAACTTTTGTTATTGGATTTCCAATTAGTATCAAATTTTCTAAATGTTTAAATTTCATACTAAAAGTCCGTTGAAATCTTGATATATTATTATTTATTAATGATATTGATTTAATATAATTATCCGTTGGAAATCTTTCATCATCTATATGAGTGATATTATTATTACCCAATAAGAGAGTTTCTAAATTTATAAACCCATTGGGTATATCACTTAATTCAATCAATTCATTATTGGTCAAATCAATTACTTGAAATTTATCTTGAGTTATTGATAAATTTTCAATGTACGGAATTTGTAAATCTCGAAGTTGTAAAGTCAATTTCTTTTCAGGATTAAGTATTATAGGTGCATCATTTATCACTTGTGGTGTAAGTCTCATATTTACCTTCTAACAATCGAGCACTTCCATAGATGTACAATTTGGTTATTCGACTTCCAATCCCATTCCCATCGCAAACAAGGTTCTACTACTAGGGCCAAATAAATTGTCTGCGAAAAATGTCGTAAATCTTCAAAGTCGTCATGTCGTTCAATATTTTCAAAAGTTTTTTTTTCTGGTTCCTGTTTTACAACCAGGAAGACTTTAGTAGCCTTAAATCAGCCCCAATCAATTCCATCATCGAACCTTTCTCTAATCAATCAATTAGGAATCCTATTCTCAATTCAATCTATTGGCTAGGCAACACAAATGATCCAATTAGAAGAAAGAGATATTCCCGTTATACCGGGCACGAAATTGGATGAAATGGAAGCACGGGAATTGCGACTCATGGTTTCTGAATTATTGGGACGTAGAAGTGTAGCATTTCCAGGATCACAACCAGTATCATTTGAAAGAAGACATTTGGAAGAAACACTAATGCATAAGGATTATTTTGTTTGTGAAAAATCAGATGGATTAAGATGTCTTTTATTTATAATTAATGATGTTCAAAAAGGTGAAGGGGTATTTTTAATCACCAGGGAGAATGATTATTATTATATTCCAAATATTCATTTCCCATTGAGTGTGAATGAAACTCCTGAAAGAAGAACTTATCATCATGGAACTTTATTAGATGGTGAATTGGTATTGGAAAATAAAAATATAAGTGAACCATTCTTACGATATTGTATATTTGATGCCCTTGCAGTCAATGGGAAGACGATTGTTGANTTGGAAAATAAAAATATAAGTGAACCATTCTTACGATATTGTATATTTGATGCCCTTGCAGTCAATGGGAAGACGATTGTTGATAGACCATTACCAAAGAGATTAGGTTATATAACTGAAAATATAATGAAACCATTTGATCAATTTAAAAAGAATAATCCTGAAATTATAAATTCACCTGATTTCCCATTCAAAGTTGGTTTTAAAACAATGTTAACTTCATATCACGCAGATGATGTATTAAGTAAATTAAATCAATTATTCCATGCTTCCGATGGATTAATTTTCACATGTGCAGAAACTCCTTATGTCTTTGCTACTGATTCAACTTTATTAAAATGGAAACCAGCAGAAGAAAATACTGTGGATTATCAAGTAGAATTTGTATTTAATAAAGTACAAGATCCAGATATGGATGAAAGAGATCCTTCTTCTACATATATCGATTATGATACAAAACCAGATTTAATTAAATTGAAAGTATGGCAAGGAAGTAATATACATACCGATTTTGCAAAATTAGATTTAAGTGATGAAGATTGGGAAAGATTAAAAGCATTAAATGAACCATTACAAGGTAGAATTGTCGAATGTCGAAAATCTCAAACAAAAAAAGGATATTGGGAAATGTTAAGATTTAGAAATGATAAAAGTAATGGGAATCATGTTACAGTAGTGGAGAAGATTCTACTTTCGATTAAAGATGGGGTTAAAGAAAAAGAAGTTATTGATTCATGTCCCAAAATAGCAAAAGCTTGGAAAACTCGAGAAATGGAAAGAAGAAATAGACATCGTAATCCTCCTCCACCAGGCGGTGGCCCGCCCCCTCCACATCAAAATGCATATCATCAACCACCTCCACCTGTACAACACCGATCCGGAGGACCTGAATCTAGTGAAGAACCACCTGTAAAGAAACAAAAACCAGATTCTTCAAATGGGTATAATAAACCACCAGATCCATCTGAGCCTATGCTTGATGATATTCCAACTTATGAAGATAGTGACGATGATGATGATGAATAAGGGACCCATCCAATGCAACTTGTAAAATTATTTATTATGTATTACTTTCTATTTCTTATTTGTAACCTAAACTTTTGTATTAATATAATTCGATCCGGAAATATGAAAAAGATTCATATAACATCTATTGCCCCACATAAAAGAAAACGGTTATTTATTTTTTTTTTTGGCGTTTTAATTTCTTTTCACACCCATATCTTTTCACACCCATATCTTTTCCCACATCACATTCCCATCCAAAATGACAATCCCAAACATCCATGAATCCATAGGTCAAATCCAAAGTATCGCAGTCATAGGAGCAGGCGCAGCAGGTGCATCTGTCATCAAAGCACTAATGTCCGAGAATAAATTTCTTCAAATTCAAGGATTTGAAAAACGATCCACATTTGGTGGATTATGGAATCATTCCACCATCACCGATTCCCTGATCATACCTATCCCCTCCGAGTCCCCTCTGATTGATTTACAACCCGTCAAGACCCCTGCAGATGAATATATCTACCCAACTGCAGTTTATGATGATTTAGATACGAATGTGCCCAAAGATATCATGAGTTATGGGGGTTTGGAATTCAGAGAGGAATTACCGATATTCCCTGATCGAAGGGATGTATTGGAATATATTAATGAATATAGTGAGGAAATTCTTCCATATGTTAGATTTAATACAAAAGTGGTTTCGGTTGAACAAGTGGAAGAATATAAATGGAAAGTTGTTTCTCGTCCAATCAATGACTCTACTCAGGGTGGGAAATTGGATCAGGAGGATTTATGTGAGGTTTATGATGCAGTTGTGTTAGCTGCTGGGAATTATGAAGTGCCTTATATACCCGATAGACCAGGCTTGGAGGAATGGAACCAATCCTTCCCGGGGTCAGTGACCCATGTTAAGTCGTATAGAAATCCGGGTCAGTTTGCTAATGTCACGGGAGAGATTATTATTGTTGGTAATTCTGCTTCGGCCGGTGATTTGGCTTATCAATTAGTGTCTGAATTGAAGCGTCCGGTTTATAAATCAAGAAGATCGGAAACTCTATTACCGGCTGGGAAATCCGATTTGATAACAGAAGTAGCAGACATTAAATGTTTTAACCCAGATGAGAAGAGTATTGAACTAGTTGATGGGAAGATCATATCTAATGTGGGTGCAGTCGTGTTTTGTACTGGATATATCAAATCATTCCCATTTTTTAAACCCAACCCTGCATATCCATTATTAACTGATGGACATAAAGTTCATGGAACTTACAATCATGTTATTCTATATCATTATCCAAACTTGGCAATTATTGGATTACCAAAATTTGTCTTACCAATGAGAACAAATGAAACTCAAGCATGTTGGCTAGCCAAAGTATGGGCTGGTAAAGTCAAATTACCTAGCTTGGAAGCTATGAGTCAATGGGAATCAGATCGAACTAGCAGGATGAACGATCGATATTTCCATAATTTGATATTCCCCGAAGATGTTCAATATTGTAATGGCTTGATTGATCAGATTGTCAAATCGGGAGGAAAAGGGTTGATGCCTCATGAGTGGAATAAAGAACAGACTTCGGTTAGAGGTAATATGAAGAAGATTAAAGAGGCATATATTGAATATAGGGCAAAGACTGGTAAACGAGCAAGTTCTTATGAGGAGTTGGTTGAAGCTGGAGTATTGGATACCGTAATGTTATCTGATGATACCCTAAAGGAATTTGGATTCACATTTTGAAAAACTCTATTAAAAATTTATTAATATACACTTTTTAGATTATATATACACCAAAATATAGATTATCGTTCTAGATTGATATTATTTCCAAACTTGGCATATAATTGTTTCTTTAAATCATCCAATTGTTCATCATAATTATCAATTAAATCACAAGTTTCATTAATTTGATTCAGTAATTTATCATTCTCTTGTTCAATTTTTTCAATTGCTTTACTTATTTTTATAAACATAAATGCATCACCTATTTTATATTGTATCTTTTCATCTTCATCTAATAATTCTATTTCTAATGCTAAATCATCAAGATATTCCTTTTCAATCTTTAATTTATCTAATTTTGATTGTTGTTCATCTTTTTTGGAGATTATAGTTGAAAATTTATTGATCTTTTGTTGATCATCCCATGTGACTTCTGTTGCAGTATTCCTCTGTCCTTCTGGAAGCAATTCCATTATGTATGTATGTGTATATGTATCCTGTTGTGAAGTATTGACCCTAGTTGATTCAACACTATTTGGCAACACTCACTTACAACAATAAAGGGAAAGAAGCGAAAAAAAAAAATTATTAGTGGAAGTCGTGTAGATTTGATAATGTCACTTGATTCTATTTCCATGGAAATAATGTCTCCATTTATCGATGTCGCATATACATTCTCCATTTGAGGTTCATGGAGAGCATGTTTAATTAGATTGTGGCAAGGGAAACGCCAAAGGGCATTCAAGATAAGTGATAAGAGGGGTTGCAGGAAATGAAGTATCTGCAAATAACCTAAAATAGTCTTTGGAGGAAGTGACAATAGTACACGGGTGTTAGCTATCAGCTTGAAATTCTTATAACGGAAATTGGCGCCTATTATTCCTAATTGGGAAAGCGGTTCATCGCGTTTAATTAACGTTAGAAGATTTTGAACGCTGTCACTTGACGTTAGCAGTTTTTAAATATGTTGACTCCGCAAATATACGGACGTATCATTATTTACTTAAATATAAGCAACTTTTACTTATTCTTCCCCCTTATCCATTTGTACATATATAAAGTCTGACGTATTTCTCTCTTTTCTTTCTTTCTTTCTCTGACTCAAAAATTGATAGCCTTTTCTTTTTGCCTCATCCCAAATTTTTTCGTACGGCACAAAACGGCAATCGGAGCAACAAAAAAAGAATTTAAATTAATTTAGTTTGTCTTATCAAGAATTTTTATCAAAGATTGATTTCACCATACAAAACTCAAAAGTACTAAACAGCATGCCTTCCACAGTTGTAAACACAGATGAATATGAATTAGTTCACTTGACTGAAAGAGAAGTTATAGAATTCACAAGAAGACAAAACGCAGAGGCTTGGAAAGGTAGATTATCTGCTGAAGACTATGTCTTGAGAGAACATGTCTTGGGAAAATCAAAGATTACTTCTTCTGATGTTAATAGATTGATGGTATTCATGTTGAAGAAAGTTAATGATACAATTCCATTATGTTCTATTGAATTTTTGATTCGTAAATCTTGGAAATTTGTTTATGAAAATGACAAAGTTGTCCAAAAAGAAGTATTGAGTGGTTGTATTGGAGGGGTGTTTACCTATCCTGAAAATCGTGGTAAAGGATATGCAAAAATAATGGTTGATAAGTTAGTAGAAATTGCCAAGAGTGATTTACTCGGTCCAGAAGGGTTCACATTTCTATATTCTGAAATTGGAGAATATTACAGCAAGAATGGATTTTTGTCCTTGGGTGTTGACTTGATGAATATCCCATTAGAAAACTCAAAAGTTGATAAAGATGTCAAAGATTGTAAATATGAATTAATTGACTATCATCAATTTGAACCATTAATGAATGAATATGCAGAAAAGTTCAAAGAAGACATTATTGCAAAAGTTGAACAAGATCATATCACAAGAGTAGGAGTTGTACCAACTTCTGATATTGTTGATTGGTTCCATTTAAGATCAAAATATATTTCCTACAAATTATTCCAAGAGGATAATGCAGCATCTCAATCTATTGACTTTTATAACGAATCTTATGATTCAATTACATATAAATTGGAGCATTGTCAACCCAAGAAATTCGGTTTGAAATTATTCAATGATAATGGAGATCTCGCAGGTTTCATAGTATGGACAATCGATTGGTCCTCATTAACAGAAAATTACGCTACAATCTTAAAAATTGTCCTGTTTGATGAAAACAAGGCTGAAACTACAACCAAATTATTAAAATTATTCAAGAATTTTATTATATCCAATCCAATTGTGGGTCAAACTACAACCAAGATTGTATTATGGGAATCCGAAGTTTGTGAACCTGTCAAATCCTTCTTGATTGAAAAATGGGGTTCTAAACATGGTCTCTATAATGGTTCCAGATCAGCCATTTTGATTAATAACAAATTGGAAGATTCTCAATTAAGACAAGGTCAAGTTATTTGGGAAGGAAATGATAAGCTTCCATGGTTTTAGAGAAATTAGTTATTCTATTCTTTCTCTTTGCGTTTTTATAGAGTAATATAGTCATTATATGTAAAGAATGTCTTCATAGTTAAATATCGCTTGAGCCTTTTCTCGGCTAACCCTCTCCCCCTTGTTTCTTGAAATTTTTTGGAAAGTACAATGAACGGAACCTTGATATTTTTTTCGCAGCTAAACGGTTGCAACACAATCAATTTCAAAAAGTGCATCACTCCGCATATACCTTGCAACAAGAAGTCACATCTTCATTCTACTTCCTATTATACTGGGTTTTCAGTTGGCATGGTTTCATAAATCAAGTAGGGTGCATGAAGGAACCGCTCAGTAAGTCTAGAAGATACGCTTTTTAAGATAAACTGAGAGTAATTGCGGTTCTATTTACTATGCAGTTAGATAATTGACTCCCTCCACCAAACACAACCAAAATCCAAAAAACTTGATTGAAAACACAAATGCAAAGTATATTTCGATCCGATATGAATATGCATGGTCTAAACACAAAGGTATGTAGGCGACTTGGGCAAAATAATAAAAAAAAAACCCTTGAGCTTGTGGCCAATGATAAAATTTGCGCTTTTTGTTTGTGTGTAACTTGTGGCTGCAAAAAAATGTCGCATTCTATATGAATGATATATACCCTTGCTAACAGGACAGGATTTGTAAGGTGGGGTTTGAATACAACATAAACCAATTTCGATCCATATTTTCTTCCAAACATGCACTTAGTCTAGGTATTATAGTTTTTATGTATTCTCATTTATCGACAATAAGTTATAGGAAATCGTTGTCTTGCTGTCATGGATTTTAGGTTGATTTGAATTTTTCACTAGTCCAAGCATAGCATATCTTGTATTAGATCGATCAATTGCAATATGCGAATTAAAACGAATCTCTACCCACTTTTATTTTACGTTTGCTTTTTAAAATTGTGCGTAGCTAAAGCTTTAAAGAGAGAAGGACACCAATCAAAAGTGTTGAAATACAACGTAACCTAGATCATCCTTCTATTTGCCTACAACTATAAATGGACTTCCACAACATATTCATTTCTAGTTTTGTATTTTCCCTTTCATACTAGAACCATAAAGTCAACATCGCTGGGTTTAGATTGACAGAGAATTGTCGAAGTAAGCGACTTTGATAGCACTCTCTGATTGTTCATACTGGAGACATTGCAAGAGATATTTGTGGTGAATCTACAGTTTGGAATGAGTTGCAAAAAAATTGCGAAAATTCTGGAACAATTCATCAAAAAAATACAACCTCATAGTTCTAAATTTAACGCATAGTTTCTCATAGACTATTTCAATAATTTGATATTAAGATAACTGATCCACAAGGACTGGATGAAGAGTATCTTTGCCTGAGAGGAGAGAGTTATTCAATGCTCGGAAGAAGAAATACATTGGAACATAGTCCAAAAGAAGAAAATCCGGAGATGTTGGAGCACGTGCGATTCGTAAGACTTTCACGTGAAAGTCACATGAAAATCACCCGTAAATCACGTGAAATAAATGATCGCTTCGTTCGAAAAGCCCCAAAATTTCACGAAATTCCGTGATAGTTTAGTGGCTAGAATTACCGTTTGTCGCATGGTAGACCGGGGTTCAATTCCCCGTCGCGGAGCATTTTCATTGCGCAAATGGTTTAGTGGTAAAATCCAACGTTGCCATCGTTGGGCCCCCGGTTCGATTCCGGGTTTGCGCATTTCTTTTTGTTTTTATAATTTTTTTTTTGTCAAGATCAAGAAAGTGTTGGCAAATTTGCTTCGCCATGTGTTGTAAAAACACATTTAGAATCACTACCAGGATCATTGTGATAATTATCTTTTTATGTTGAGGGATCGATCCTATACCAATTATAAATGGATACTGAGGAATTGAGATCAAGGAACCCAGTTAAGATAGGATACTATGATCCCTTTAGTATCTATCCAAAAATCAAAGATGATTTTGAAAAGAACTTCCCATTGACAAATTTACATTTAAAATTCGAATTGTCTCAACCTTTAAAGTCGATTCCATTGTTACCTGTATCATTGGTTGAAGAAGTGCCGAAAAAGCAAGATATTATTGAATCAGATGATGTTTATACGCGTTTAATGTTTATTAGAATTGAAAGTATTGATAAATATCGAAGTCAGGTTCGACCATTAATAAGAGAATGGCTTAAGCAATTAGTATTCAAATCAAGGAGTTCTTGGATGATTATATTATTTGTTCCACATGATACAAAAGACAAGCATTCTAGTTTGATTAAGACATCTCGATTCGATAAGTTGAGGAATGATTTTGGTGATGAAGGAAAAGAATTGAAAACAATCTTACCTGGGAAGCTTCCCGTTTATGATGGAGCTCGATGTTTTAAATTAAGTGAAAATGAAATCAAAATGAATAAAACTGAAGCTTATAATGGCCTATTGTCAGAAATCAAGGTTTTACTTATCTCTTCATTCGTGAATCGCCACAGCAATTTTCGACAATTGATTAAAGAAAATAAGCAACATTCAATAGGTCAGTTTATGCTGATGTTAAACCTTGCAGATTTATTAAACGATATGAGACTACACCAGGATTCATTAGATTCTTATGATAAATTATTTCGAGAACTTGAGCCCTTAGTTCAGCAAAACCCCAACTACTTCAATTTAAGCATCGATCTACCTAGTTCATTCGACTCCTATAATTTTGAAGAATCGTTTGATTCAGTAAATTTAGAGGTTAGTTTTGTTCAGAAGAAAGACATAAATCTATTTCAGCTACTGTGTTTAGTATTTATTAATCAATCCATTTTATTACAATCATTAGCAAATGCTAGCAGTTCAATTTCACTTGCTTCAATATATATGTCTAGAATATATCAACTGCTAATTGAATTCCTTAATGATCTTTCCAGAACATCTCCCAATCATGATTTACGCGAATTTCAGTACTCAGTCATCGAATTTTATTTAAACCTCCCACTAGCACAAAGACTTACAAGTTCTATATCTGACACCGAAGAAAGTAAGGCACAAGTCCGAGCCATTTTAGAATTCAGAGCAGAGTTGAAATTGCAGCAAAGATCGATCTTGATAAAGTTGGCAGAAGACAAAAACTATTGTATACGTGGAATAGAGAGTGTATTGGAAGAGATTTCCTTGGATGACAACCAACTGCATGACAATACGCAACAGCAAAAGCCACACGAATTTTCTAATCCCTCTCTTCTTGCGTGCTTAAAGGAAAAATCCGATTTCTTTGACAAATTTGAATCATTGACCATGGATATTATCCATGATTTCATGCTTTGTAGCCGTTCAAAATCAATTGATGTGCTTTCCATCGATCTTGTTATACTAAACTATGAAAAGCAAAATTATACTCAATGCTTGGAAATTTTGAAAGATTCTTATGATTTTTTTATTTCAAATGGTTGGAACTTCTTAGGAGGGATTTTGTTGGAAATTTATATTGGATGTCTTGAAAAAGTGAAACCTCAAGAATCAGATGAAGTATTGGCAACTTGTTTGAAATTGTTTTCCTGTCTCGTTAAAAGCAAAAGTGGAATTAATTCGTATGGATTGATCAAAACTAAAGAACAGATTGAAAAGCTATACGAGAAGATCAATGGTTATTCATTAAAACAAAATATAAAAGTTGAATGCTCCCTCAATGAGTTATTCAAATCAGAAGTTCTATTGTATTTCAATGCAGACGAATCTACAAGCAGGGATAGATATTATGTAAACATGAGGTTAGAGAATCGGTTCGGAGTTCCATTTATGTTTGACCGCATTGAATTAATAACGACAGATCAAGAGGGACATGAAATTTTGTTTAGACAAGAAAATGTCGAAATATCGTCAGAAAGAAATCATACAATAAAATTATTCACCAATAGTTTCATTATGGGCTCTTTTGTTCCAAAGAGACTTTGTGTTTCTGTTAACAAGATGTTGCATTTTGTATTAGACTATAAGTTAGTTCCATCGATAAGATTTAATGATTCTACAATTGACCCCAACGCGTCAACAAATCATGAAATCCAAGAAATGAGGCATTGCACTCAAGCACAATCAATGTTAGTTTTTCCGAATCTTGACAAATTCAGAGCACAATTCTACAGTTCAAAAGCAATGAATTTAGGTAGTTCTAATACCTTATTGAAAATAACTAATGGTGGAAATAGAATAACTGATTTGAAAGCTAAGTTATTCTCGACCACAAACGGATTAAAGATCAATGATACTGAACTTGAAATCGACTCGCTCGAACCCAACGAGGTAAAAGATATAATTATTCCATATACTTATAACTTCGATAACAAAATAATTAACATGCGGGCACAAATAGAATACTTTTCAGACGGTGAGAAATATGTCTTTGAAGCTTCATATGACATAAACATAACGCTACCCATTTCAGTTTCAGTACAAGATATCTTCAAAGAAGATTTTATATATTGGAAATTCCAGATCGGAACCTCGATTCCTGAAGTACCTATCAGAATCTTGGATACTAAATTAAGTATCGAAAATGACAAATATTCAATTGTGGAACCAGGTATCAAACTTCCTGAATTGATAGCCTTTGGAGAACAATCAGTTTCAACGTTTTATAGAATCATTCCCAATGCTGACTGTCAAGTATCTGATACAGATAGCTTAGATTTGATTATTAAATATTCGAGTTTACAAGAAGAATGTGAAGTTTGCATGGATGAATATGTGATTCAACAGCTAGAGAAGTTGAAATTATCCAGATACTGGTATTTATTGAAAGACGCATTAATCTCAAAAATGCGATTCGAGTTGAACAAGTATGCCATGGATAATATTATCAAGTTTCAAAATGGGACTGAACTAAGCACTTTGGGAGAGGCAATAATCCATGAATTTGTTGAATCGATAGCCGACAAAAAGATATTGGTTAAGTTATTGCATGATGTGTTATTTGAACAAGAAGTTCCAGTCATCAAGAAAGAGGGCAATATACTTTCATTGCATATATCAGTTCCTGTTCCAGTAATAAAATATTTGCAAATAGTCGAGTATGACTTTGAAAGGAATGACAAATATGTGGTTGGAGAACCAATTAATGTTTCATTAAGAGTGAAAACAGTGAATAGATGGTCTTCAGATGAAGACTCAGAGAAATCCCAAGCAGATGAATTCCAATTGATGTTACAAAATGACGACAATTGGTCAATATCAGGTTTCAAAAGGAAGATATTTAGACATGAAGCCGAAAATGAATATTCCCTCGAGACTCAATTAACATTGATTCCGTTAAGTATTGGCAAAATTCTCTTACCAAGAGTAAGTGTAAAATCTTCAGAAAAAACGGAACTGGATGAGATTTCAATGGATGTAGTATTTAAGAATGGCTTGGAATCTTTATTGATTGTTCCAGATGTCAAAAGTATCACTTTTGCCTTCTAATCACAATGCTTCTATTTTTAGGTTAAATTTAATAGACATCATAACTAGACATTTAAAAGAAGGCTGTACACCGTATGACCGGTCTGAGCCTCAATGGCCACGAGCCAAAAAAACAAACCGAAATTGCCGATGATAATTTCAGAGCAATTCTTCTACAATTTTTTGATCCATTGAATTCGAAACAATTCTAACTACAATCGATTGTATATAGAGGCTCACATTAAACATGGTGAAGGATACCACGTACTATGATATATTAGGTGTAGAACCAACAGCTACAGATGTTGAATTGAAAAAAGCTTATAGAAAACAAGCAATCAAATGTCATCCAGATAAAAACGCAAATGATCCAAAAGCAGCAGAACAATTTCAAGAATTAGGAGAAGCATACGGAATATTACTGAACCCGGATACCAGAGCTGCATATGATGAACTTGGAGTTGAAGGAATGAAGGCTAGTCCACTTGGACAAGAAGCTGCTGACATTGATCCTGCTGAATTCTTCTCGATGGTGTTTGGGGGAGAAGCATTTAAAGATTGGGTTGGGGAATTGTCAATGCTTCAGGATCTTGCAAAGACTGCTGAGGAATTGGATGATGATGAGAAGAAGGAAAATGCAGAACAGGCTGAAGTTGCCACTTCCACTAATGGTGCCGCAAGTAATAGCACCCAGGTTCAAGCTGTCAACGTGGCCCTGGAAAGTAGTGTCAATAGTAGTAATAACAAGACTGAAATGAGTGAATTAACATCTGAGAATATCAAGAAGAGAAAGAGTAAGATGACAAAGGAACAACGAGAAGCAATGACAAAGAGATTCGAAGAAGCTAAAATTGCCAAACAAAAGCGGATCGATGAATTGGCCAAGTCCTTACTATCTAGAATTGAAAGCTATGAAAGCTCAGAGAAGAATGCTGATGCTATGGAACAATTCACAAGGAAATTGCAAACTGAATTTGAAGACATGAAAATCGAAAGTTTTGGTATTCAATTATTACATCTTATTGGAAAAATATATTCCAATAAAGGAAGTGCCACTATCAAGGCCAGTAAAACATTCGGAGTGTCAAAAATCTTCACCAGTGTCAAATCTAAGACCGAGACAGTTAAGAACGGATATTCCATTTTGAAGACTGCCATGGATGCACAAATGTCAGCCGAGGATATGGTGAAGAGACAAGAAGAACTTGTTGTTGCACAAGCTGCTGGATATGAACCATCAGAAGAAGAGATTTATGAACATCAGGAAGCAGAAAGGTTAATTACCGGGAAGTTTTTGGCCACTGCATGGGCATTGACTAAATTCGAAGTTACAGATGTATTGAATAAGGTCTGTAGTCAAGTCTTAAACGACAAAGCATTATCAAAGAAACAAAAGGTTTCTAGAGCCAACGCTATTTTATACATTGGAAAAGAAATGCTTAAAGTTCAAAGAACACCAGAAGAAGAAGAAGAGGCACAGATATTTGAAGAATTGATGGCTGACGCAAAAGCAAAGAAATCCAAGAAGAAAAAGCATCCTAGATTTAGTGATAAAGAGCTCGAAGAGTACATGAGGAAGATTGATATAGAGCAAGAGGAATCAGAATCTTCTGCAAATAATTGAACCTTTTAGATAAATTACGTAGAATTTCAATATAGTTAATAGTTTTTTGCAATCTCTATGAAAATGCAATCCCGGAAAGGAAATCATCGGTCAAACCCGAGATTCACATTTTATTGTACGTGTACCAACCAATTTGGCCTTTTAATTTTTTTTATTGCGAGGGAAAAAAACGTCAAAACGGAAGAAATGGAGAAGGCAAAGAAAGGGAGTTGCTCGGAGTTTTTTTATTACAAAGCAAGGGATAGATAGGGTATATCAGTTAGTCATGGCGAACTCCAGAGATGTATTGAAGTTGTACAGACAGATGTTGAAACAAGCATATAAATTTGATAATTATAATTTCAGAGAATACGCCAAGAGAAGAGTACATGATGCCTTTAAGGAAAATAAATCATTATCAAATCAACAAAGTATCGATGAGGTTTATAACAAAGGTATAGATAGCTTGGGACTCTTGCACAGACAAGCGACAATTTCCCAGATGTATACTTTTGATAAGTTAGTTGTTGAACCTTTGAAAAAGCATCATTAAAACATCTGTAAATAAAAACGTCAATTTTGTCAATTAATAGATTTCCCTAAAGAAAGTGTTGTGGTACCAGGAACAGAAAGTTCTTTACTTAGTGTGTATTTAAGAGGTTATGTAATCAATAAACATGTATTTATAGTGAACGTGACACTACTTATCTGTTGATAAAGTTTCGTTATTGATTAGTCATTCTGCGAACAAAAAAAAAGGGTTCTTGAAGCACAAGTTTAAGTGGGGTAGTTAAGGTTTTCAATATAACAAGCAAGTACAACAGGCAAGTACGTTGACGTTCCGATGAACAACAGCTGATGAGAGTCCGCAGCGTTTAACCACTCAGATGCGCTACCTATTCCATCTCTTTTGCGGTAGACTTTCATTCTTGTTTAAAAGCATGTGCAACAACTCAGTTTCTCGGCTCTCTTCAGTAATCATAGCGCGTGTTGCAAGCATTTCCAAGTGATGTGTCGTGTAGGTCCCGTGCGGCTTGACTTCGAACCAAGTCTCCATATCCTTGGTACTACTCACGGCAAGCAGTTTCAAGTTATTGGTTTGACGTGACACGGAATGACTATGAAAATAGATTTGAATCGAACCCTACAACTTCCGTTTATCCAAATCAGTAAAGAAAATCCTCCTCAAGGCTAGGTTGATCACAGTTCCTTCCTAGTGGCAACAATTTCATAGAAAGTCCACTAAGTCAGACTTTATTAGGAAGTATCTTTGATCAGGAAACCCTAAAACAAATGAGCTTGAAAGGAGAAATTCATCTGGAATTAACATTAATAGGAGTTGCAATCTCTTCAATTTTTGTTCTAGCCAGAGGCAACAGTTTCGTAACCAAGTAACAATTTCCTAGATCAAAATTTTGCATCCAAAAAAAATCGCTCTCCACGCGATCCATAAGGAAGCTTGAAGGTACATCAATGTACGATCGTTCATGATTTCTTGATTGCACCCGAGGATCTAATCTGGTTAGGATATGGATTGTAAATGGGAATAAATAATGTATGATTGGAGCTTTGCTCAGTTCTCAAGATCAAGAATGGTAAGGCAAGGTGCGATTGACAAATTTAGCAAGAGTGAAGGCTAGATTATCCAATCACCTCTTCAGGCGTTGAAGAGTGAGAAAAGATTAATTACAGGAAAGAGAGGAAGCTGATCAGGTAGATTACTCTCTGTACCCGAGGGTATCTTCTATGAAAACAAACATCACACAACGAGTTCATTGTTGTACAAACAATGAAACGTACTCCCTAGTTTTATTCTATCCGTGTGTCTAAAAATCGACCCAATCAATGAAGACGATCCGGAAAGCTAAATGAATTGATCAGAATTGATTACTAATATGCAAATAATTTAGCACCGCGGTAACTAAACATCCGTTAGACGCGTTAGACGCAGCTGCACTACAATGAGTAATATTGTTCGCGGGGATCACAATTTGTTTGAAACTGAAATGTTCAGTTACAGACATTTTTGTATTGTTGTAATGCTTAAGGAAGTGCAAACTATGAACACCCAATAGAACTCTCTGAATTGTAACCACTGTTTCTAGATCCCCTGCTAAGGATGATGGCCAATGGTTACTTCAAGCGAGAGTTTCCAAATATTTCCTTATAAGTGGCTATCCCCGTGAAGGGCTAGAATGCTATTTCTTACGATTTTTTCGTAGGACAAAATCGGGAAATTTTTATTTTAATTTTTTAATTGTATTTTTTAATTACAATTGTATTAATTACCGGTGTCGGAAATATTTTTAAACGAAGTAGGTTTTAGTTGCCTGGATTTTCTAGGAACCAATAATATTCTATCTTGGTATAAGAGAAATTTTTAATGGAAAAGTAAGGCATCGTGCTTATAGGCATTAAAAATATGTCAAACCAGAAAAATTAGCTCATACGTCTTTGACAGACAGGTAGTCCACGGGAAACATGCTTGGCAACAATAAGAATGTAAAACATGGGGACTCTCTTTTTCTAGATTGGAAATAAGAGGCATCAAATATATAATAAAGAATTGGGTATAGCGACCTCGGGCTTGGGTTTTCTCAAAGCCATCGCAAAGCCTTCGCAGCTGATGAAAAAGATAAAACCTTTTTTACATTGTTCAAAATCAAGGACAAACATCGATCCTGCGAAAGGCGTTTCATAACCTTTGGATTAGTAACCGTTGTTACCACTTTGTGTCATTTAGAATCGCCAATAGGATGAAGTGATTTGCTTCTGAAATTTTAATAAAAGCAATACGGGCTGCAAGGAGGCTAAAAAATATTATCTGCTTTTGATCTCATGCAGATTTGATGGATCTGATAAAAAAAGACAATGGGGGATTAGGAAGTTTCAGGAAAACAAAGAACAATTATTCTGATTCCTAGAACTGAGTCAAGGAAAGCACTTTTGATGAGGATACTACAATTCACCCTAAAAGGGAAACCCTTAAAAATATCCCAGGGGTTACCCCTTTAGTTCTTATCTATTCTAAGACACTTCTATGTTGGTTTCACTTTGAGGTAAGACATAACTCAGACTTCGCCTTGCTGTAAATGCCAGCAAGGAGAATGCTAGCACACATGTTTCAGTGAATAAAAAATAATAGAAGTTTATTCTGGAACACAAAACTCAACCCTTTGTACTTTAACAATGAAAATCTAATTTCATAATTGGCTTGGCAAAATTTTAAACAAGGTATTTGTGCAACACACCAGTATACGTTCCTATTTAATTCAACACTATTCAATTTTGGGAAACTAAGACACTGAATTGGGAGCCTGTCCGCCCTTAGATGGCTGCTCTCAATGAGTATATATAGCTCAGCAAATATCCAACTTGAGCCATCCCAAGAAATTTCAATTTCTTTTTTTTATTTGGTTGCAAATTATTAATTATTTCACTAAGGAACATTCAACCATGAGAACATCAGTCTTAGTTCTGATACTTGCTGCATCCATTGCCCTGGTAAATGCAATCAAAGAATATACGCAATTGACAATTGCCTTGTCGGCATGTGAAGCATACATCACTCTTGCTCAACCAGTGTGTATGGCCGGTAAGAAAGCCAATAAGGATTTTGATTGTTATTGTAATACCAAGCCTGGGTTTGGAACATTAGCTGATTGTTTTGTTAAAGGGTTTGATGACAATGATGGGATCATTAAGGATTTTGCTAAGACTTGTAATATGACTGTTGCTGATTTTCATACTAAATATGATGCAATAAAAGATCATTTATTTAAGCCAAATACTACCGAGACTGAAACCACAATGGACGGTGGTAATGGCCATATGAAGAGGGATAAACACGGTGGTGGTGGTCATGGTGGTGGCAAAGGTGGTAATGGTGGTGGAGGAGGTGGCGGTCATGGTGGTGGTGATACACCTCAAATTGAGCTTTCCAAAGTTCCACTTAAGTTAGACTACACTGACTTCCATACCTACAAAGACGCTTATGAAATGAATTATGGTAACTTCAACTATGCTATGAAATATGGATCCGCATTGGTTGGTTATTGGGGTATTATTCTTGTTATGTCTATCATTGCTAATTTTTGGACCAAATTGTTTCCAAGAGCCTTATCTGGAAGATTACCAAGCATGTACAGAAAATACATTACATTACCGGCAACTTTTGGTAGAAAGAAGAATGAAGCTATTTCTTTTGGATTTGGTGGGTTCTTTGATGGATTGATGCCTAGCAGACTTGAAACTTTCTATGTTGTCGTGTTTGTCTTTTTAACTGGTTTATTCTCGGCTCTTCATATTAAACATATTCCTGGCAATCCAATTCAGCCAGATATCAGAGTCGAAATTGCCCATACTATTGCCGATAGAACCGGGGTTATGGTGTGTTTCTTGATTCCATTGTTGATTTTATTTGGTGGTCGTAACAATTTCTTACAATGGCTTACTGGATGGAAATATTCCGATTTCGTGATGTATCATAGATGGATCTCCAGAGTTGCTGCCTTGTTGGTTATTGTCCATGGTATTACTTTTAGTGCTTCCGATATTGCTAGTGGAAGATATTCTTCTCGTATGGCTCAAGAATTTATGATTTGGGGTACTGTTGCTTGTGTCTGTGGTGGTATTATCTTGTTCCAAGCTATGTTGTTTTTCAGAAGAAAATGCTATGAAGTCTTTTTCATTATTCATATTGTATTGGCTTTGTTTTTTATGATTGGTGCTTGGTTCCATTTGTCAGATCAAGGATATGAATTTTTCATGTATGCTGCTCTTGGCGTCTGGGCATTTGAAAGATTGCTTAGACTTGTCAGACTTGTATCATTTGGTATGCCATTGGCTAAGGTTACTTTAATTGCTGATGAAACCTTGAAGGTTGTTGTTCCAAAACCAAGATATTGGAAATCCATCCCTGGTGGTCATGCATTTATAACATTTATGAGACCAACTGCTTTCTGGCAACAACATCCATTTACATTCACTACTGAAGCTACCGATGATTCTATTACTTTCTATGTTAAAGTCAAGGCTGGTGAAACCAAGAAGTTGTACAACAAGTTAGTTTCAAGTCCAGGTTGCACCACTACAATGAGAGTTTTGGTTGAAGGTCCATATGGAGAACCAAGTGATGGTCGTAGAGCTGACAATGTCGTGTTTGTTGCTGGTGGTAATGGTATTCCAGGTATGTATTCTGAATGTTTCGATTTGGCTACAAGATCTTCTACCACTCAATCAATCAAACTTATTTGGATTATTAGACAATGGAAATCACTTGCTTGGTTTAAGGATGAATTGAAGGCTTTACAGGATACAAAAGTTCAAACTGAAGTTTATATTACCAGACCCGATGAAGATCGTGATTTTATCTATGGTACTTCAACTGACCCTGATAGTACCAATTCTTCAATTGAAGAAAAAGAATCCAATCAAGAGAAGAAATCTGATACGGGAGTGGAAACAAAGACTTATAATCCACAATCTGATTTATTTGCCAGTTTACCAAATGTTGTCTTTAAAGAAGGTAGACCTTCTATGGAAGCTATTGTCGAATCTGAAATTGATGGAGCTAATGGCTCTATTGCTTTCGTTACCTGTGGTCATCCAATGATGGTTGATGATTTAAGACACTCGGTTGGTGAAAACTTGGGTCGTGGAGGACATAGAGTTGACTTCTATGAACAATTACAAACTTGGGCTTAGATTAGCTTCGTTTTCTCTTGTATTTATTTATTGATTTGATTTTTACGTACACTTTATTAATTAATAGACATATATTTTATAATATTATACACTCTTTTTCTTCATTGGTTATACTCTCTTTTACTCTCAAAAGGTAAACATTGTTTTATTATTACAAATAAATTTAATCTAATCAATCTACAACTAACCAGCACTAAATAAAAATAAAACAAATAAAATAAATAAAATAAATAAAAATCACTTAAACCAGAAGTGATTATAATCATACCCTCACCCTTACTCATTCATATAATCCATCAATTCACGTAAAATATTCTCCAAACTTGTATAAAAAGCACAATAATCATTAATATCAACAAAATTATGTCTCAAATCATAATAAATCTTCTCATTCAATTGACTCAACTCTGCCTTCGTCTCCAATGACAAACTAATCGATTCAATCCCAATCACCTCATTACTCATCTTCTCAGACCTTCCTCCCTTTTCATATTTCTCAATATCTTGATTATTCTCTTCCGAATCAATCGGACGGGGGACTTCCATAACACTAAATAATTCATTCATATTCACTAATCCCCTAACTTGATAATCAAAAAACTCACCACCTCCAGTAGTATCATTCAGTTTTGAACCAATAGTTTTCATAATATCAAATTTCTTGAGAATATATTCCCATACTAAATTGGTTAATCCCAACATTCTTTTATATTTTTCATTCTTGAACCATTTTCGATTAAGAATAAACAAAGCTTTATTTATCAATTTGACAAAGATACATAATTCATCCACTTTTATGAATTCATATTTAAATTTCACGGCGATTATGATCATCATAAGGATGATTGAATCCAAGGGGATAGTTCTTTTGATATACCAGTTATATTTCCCATATTTGATGAAATCATTATATTTCAAGAAATCATTAAGATTATGAAGGATGGATGGGATTAAATTCTTGGAAATATTGGTATAGGTGAAATTCTCAAATTGATTGAATTTAAGTAATGAAATTGAAGAATTATTGAAATTTTGAATAATATTAGCTTCTTGAATATATCCAAATGTATCTTCATATTGTGATAATGACAAAACCCCACCACGATTCTTATTAGCCAAACTCAATTCCAGTGATTGTTGAGATTTTCGAGGAGTAGAATTGAATAAAATCTTCTTATGAAGTAACATTAATGCCCGATCTACATAACTCCACAGATGATTCTTAACAAAATTACACAATGTGACTTCTTCATGTGATGCAGGGGGATTCACCCGATGTTCATCATTCATTTTCGCAATTGAACTTTTCACATATAGATAATAATCCTTAATCATTGTCTTTATCTCTTGGATTTGTTCATCGGTAATATCGGAAGATAATCCATTATGTAACAGATATACCAATTCACTTAAAATTCGATCGAAATGGAATTTAATATTCATAGATAAAATCCCCACATTTAATCTCTTTTCAATTACAATTCCTTTATTATTAAAAATCGGTTCTGTTGCTTCTGGCATCGTAACATTAAAATCCTCAATCCGACATACTGGAGGTAAACAGAAATTATGGGATGTTAAGGCGTCTAATCCAAATATGACCCACCATAACATTCTTCTGAATTTTATAACTTCCCAATCTTGGATTCGAAGGGTTATGATTGGATCTTTATGAAATTGAAGAAATTTGGCATATCTTATAATCTGGGACATTTCCATAGTAGATGGATTAGGGGATGTAGATTGGATAATTACATTTCCTAATAATAATGGGATATGTTTGATTCCATGAGGATAGTTATAATATTGACAGATTTTATTGAAAGCTCGAAGATATTTATCAATATCTTGATTCAATAAAAGATTATCGTATTCTTCAAATTCTGAAATTGTGGCAGCATATAAGATTGGGAAATATAAGGTATAGAATTGTAAATAATTGAAATCATCAGGTAAATGATTCCAATATTTGTCATGCTCACCGAGGAAATCAGAGAGATTGACCACGATTGGTAATAAAACATGTACTGATTTGACATATCGTTCAATCAATTCAAATGACCTAGCTTTATTGGGGAGATGGTTTGATAAGTCAACTAATAGATTTTCATTCGAATAATAGGAGTTTGTGCCATATAAGTAATTGACTGTTGTCGCTGGATTTGAAGGGTAGGCATTCAATGAGTTATGTAAACCTGGATTGTTGGGCTGTTGATTTACGCTAATCAAAGTGTCTGACTCAGTTGATTGTTGTTGTTGCTGTTGTTGAGGAGGATTCATTGGGGTATTCTCTGAATTCATAACTGTAAAAGGACTTAAATTGAAAAAGCAAGGATCTTCATTCTTACTGGTAGAAGCTGAAGAAGTTGAACTTCCATCTGGTTCATAAATAGCATTGTTTATTTGATTAATCAACAGGAGTTGATTAGGTGAAGAAGAATCATTGGGTGTGAGTTTTAATGAAGATTCTGTCGACATGGAAGAATAGTATGTTAAAGGATTCATTTCTTCCTGAACCATTGCCTTTGTATCAAAATCATCTTCTGCATTCTTAGTTGTAGTTGTACTTGAGGGATAACTATTAAACTGGCCCACATCCATTAGCTCCTCATGATGACTCGTAGGAGGCGATTCGTCAATAGCATTTGAACTAACAATAGATCCAGGGTATGAGTAGTCAATGTCGGATGTGCTTGTTGTAATAGCAGTTGTTGTTGATGTTGTTGTTTTAGGTGGCAGTCTTTCTGGTTGTGACACGCTAGTTGCCATTACTGTGGATTCCTTTGAAGAACCATCTTCAACTAATCCTCTAATTTGTCTTTCAGTATCAGATAATCTTGCGGTTTTCTTTCCTCCTCGACTAATTCTTTCATTTATAAAGTATTTACATTCAAATCCCAATTTAATACAATTAGTACAAGCAGGATAAGTCTTTGAACATTTAGTCTTTTTAGAATGACAATAAACACAACTTAATATTTTACGTTGTCTTGATTTTTGTACTTTTTTAATTTTCCCATCATCAAGTATTTCCAATGCAGGAGTTGTTAGTTTGGTTTTACTTTTACTGGATGTAGTAGTATTGTTATCATTACTGCCAGTAGAAGTAGAGGTGGTCTTTTGTTGATGTTTCATTGAATCCTTAAACAAATCATAAACTCTAAGAAAGTAAGAAAATGACTCTGGGAATATTAAGTATGTAAGTATGCAAAAATAAAGTCAGAAAAAAAGGAGTTTAGAGAAATTTACTAACATTTTATATTATGTGTAATAAATTATTTTTAAGTAAGTTCCATTTCCTAAATAATATTTCTATCGGACTTGAAAAATCCATTCTTACATATATCCGCAAAAACGGCGTTCATTTTTTTTTTCAAATCGAGGTAAAGTGTGGGGGCAGCATGTTTATAAGGACATCTGAAAACTTTAAAATATCCCTTTATAGACACAATGACGTTTATCGAAAGAGCATATAAATTTCAATCATTCAAAAACAAGGACTGCATTCTGGAAATGCAGTGTGTCACACTCTTCTTAAATTAATTCTTGTCTTTGTACAGGATCTTCCCCCACTCTTAATTTATTAGTTAAACGCAATATTCAAAAAAAAAATATTCACAAATTTTCAAGAACAAAGAGACAAAGGCTAAAAGGAACAAGACAAGAAAAGAGAAATTTGGTTTTTCATTTTATTTTCTGGGGTACATACCTTAACAGGAAAAATGAAAGATGGATATATAATATTGCACCAATCGCCGAACAATGATATATATTTAGAATACCCGATAGAATACTAAGGTAGAACAGGGTGCTTCCATTAAACAGAAAAGAAGAACAATTGTAAAATATTTTATCCGGAGTCAAACAATAAGAAAAAATATACCCAACAAACAACGAGGCTGTCTTAAAGTTTCACAAAGGAACTGCCCCCCAAGTGGAATGATCTGTAAATCTTCCCTAGATTTCTTATTTGGCTACTCCTATTTGAATCCATTTCATCAAATTAGTTACTAGAAAGGGTACAGAATAGCATTAAATAAACTTTATTAAATGATAGTTTCATTAAATACTGTATGTTTCAATTGAAGCAAATTGCAAATTATTATGTGGAGAACTTCAAACGGTCTCGCCTAAATTTACCCAATTTTTGCACTAACAAATGACCAAATCGGTAATCGAAGGCCTAAAGTTACGGATTTCTGAAATACCTTGATAAGTGATTTCATTCCCAAGGGATTAAATTAGATATTTAAAAGACATTTCACCCGCTAGGATATATTTATTGCTATTCTACTTTCAATTGTTTTATTCCAAAATTGTAAGTAAGTATTGTTCCGAAAGTTCAAATTTATTTTTTTTCTATTACCCATCTAAGCAGGGTGTTCATTATATTATCTGTTTTGTCTAGTACGCGCTAAACTCCGTAACCGGGTCCGATAAATACGCTTCTTTTTTCCGGGCCCGTCTTGACAGTTACGAGTTACAAACACATAACCAAGATGATATAGGGCTTTAACCCATTAGGAAACTATTCCCGAGATATTCCTAGTTGATTCATTAAAATAATGCATCTTCATTCATTCCTTTCTTCGTTGAATTAAAACAGAGTTAATAGTTAAAGCTACTATACCAGAAAGCGAAGTAGAATTTCCCTTTTTATTGACTAGCCTCTATTCTCTTATTGTTCAGTTCCCAACAATTGTACAATTCCCGCAATATAAAAATTATAAAAATAAGTGCCCTTGCTAATCACTTTATTACGCACGACCGCCCCCCCACACCCACACCCACCTTACTGCTAAAAAAAAATAGAAGTTATTATTTAAACCTAATTCTCGCCTGGTTCCTTTTTTCGGTGTTTGGACCATTCTATATAAGCCTCTATTGAACCTTGCGAACATTACACAAATCACCTCATTTTAAACTAATATTTCAAAGCTGAGATCCTCTTTTGAAGGTACTAGCTAAGCCTGTAATATTTCTTCTATTGACACGCCGCTTTAGGGGTTAAGTGAATTTAAGTAGAGGATTACAATTTTAAGAGGAGCAGCCACTATAGTTATCCAGTCTATGATTGTATATTCAAACCTGTCAGAAAGTATTCATTCTAATATTAATTCCTAACTTAAACTAATTTCTTTATCAGCATCAATATAAGAATCACAAACGCACCAAACACTAACCTTATTCATCGTCTCTGCTTCTTGATTCGAAACATTAAACTCAATAGTAAACTCTTGCTTCTCATGAGGAATGCTAATCTTCTTAATTGCATATAATTGTCGTATATTGGCATCACCAACTACGATCCACCACCCTTCTTCTTTCTTACCTGGGTAGTATTGGCTCACCACATCGATCAGATCCATTTCTTCATCTCTCTCAATGACAATCTTGACTTCGTTACTCTCATTAGTAGAGATTGGTTTGGCTAATTCATAACTGATTTCAATATTTGGATATTGATTCACAAATTCAGCAATCATCTTCAATTCATCACTATCTTCATCTAATTGCAATATATCATTTCGTTCATCATCCTCAAGTGACATGATATCATATACAGTTTCAACCTTGGATTTCTTACATCTTTCTAAGATATCACCACTGAAATAAGGAATTTGTTTCAATGCAGCAGTAGAATTGTTCCAAACTGCTTGCACTATCATTTGTGATAAATCCATAAGCAATAATGCATTCAAATACCCTTCACTGGATAATGTATCAATACATGCATATAAAATATCTAATATCTTGCTAATAACAACTTTCTGGTCATGTTTCAAGTCAAATGGAAGTTCTATTCTCGATATATGGGCTTGTAATAATATGAATACTTTGAGAGTTGTCGCATTCATCTCACCATGGTATTTGATCGGCAATTTCTCACCAAGTTTCTCAAGCAACTGCACTTCATCTTTCCGTATAGGAAGTGTTTCAAATTCCGAAGCGGATGCAAGGATTTGGAAAATATCTTTGATTTTACTTTTTCTTCCAATTTGTGAAAATTGTCGAATGGTTTCAAAAGAAACTTGATAATGAAGACTAATCAAACATCTATTCAATCCAGAAATCTCTTCAGCTTCTTCATCATCTTCAATAAATTCACCCTTAACCAATTCTTCCAATGTATTCTCAATCAATTCCGATAAATATTCAGACACACCCAAACTTGTTCCTGTTTTCAAATCATAAAAATTCGGATTCTTAAGTAATCGTGAATAAAAATAACTAAACGTGATCAAATCAATACAATCTTGTCTCGATTTTACCACACCATTGACAATTCCACCAATTAGATAATCATGAAGATTGCCAAGCAATCCACTCTCAACCACCAATCCGGAATTAATAAACCCACTATAGAAATCAATCGTATTGGTATATATGTGGACCCTACCGCCGTTCTTACAATTCCCAATCATTTCGAACATGGTTTGGACCTGATATGATACATTTCGTAATTCTGAACCTTCATAATATGTCGTACCAACAACCAAGATATTATCGGCACGGGGTGAAAAAGCACAGGTATCTGAAGTAGCTATCAAGACCCCAATAGAATTGGTTTCAAATAATTTTTCAACTATAATTCTGTCAATTCTTGACATGCCGGCATAATATAACCCAATTCCATATTCTATAAATTGTGTCAATATTGGATCTTGAACTCTGGAAATGTATTTGGATAAATTCCCAAGATCAATTCTTCTCCATTCTTGAGTATGCATAAACTCCACCAAATCTTTAGCCAAAGCAATTGCAGCCGATCTCGTACTGGTAAACAATATAGAATTCTTTAAACTACTGACATTCTTTAATTCCTTATAGATCTTAACATTCGATATTGATTCATCAGAACTGATTTTGATTTCTTGTATCTTGTTTTCACGCGCTTGTGGTGGGAAATTATAGATAAACTTCTTTGAAACGCCAATCCAATCAGCTAGGTCTCGACATGTGGCAACTGGATGACTCAAACCAACAATTCGAACTTTTTGATCATCCTCCCATTGCGATGTAAAGAGTCTGATCCTACTAATTAAAATTTCATACCTTGGTTCAGAACTGATTAGATGCAAGTTATCAAATATGAATAATCCAATCGATTTAAATGACTTTTTGGTCTTCCATCTTTTGGATAAATTGGTAAATTGACCAGGAGTAGCAAGTATTAACTGATTACTATTAATTACTTGAATATCATCTTTAAGTGTCCCGTTTAGTTTTTCAATCGAATAACCTGAAAATAACTTCTGCCACTTCTTTAAGTTCTTATCAATGATGTCTTGATTTGGATTTATATAAACCACTCTTCCCAGCTGTTCACGCCAAGCAGCAAGGATTGCTAATTCACAACAAGTGGTTTTCCCATCTCCTTTAGATGCACCAATAAAGACATTTTCATTTGTGATGTTGTATATAGAGTCAAAAACCGCCGATTGCAATCTATTAAAAGTTTCAAATTCAAAAATTCCAGCAAAATCTTCATAATTCAATTCCAGGGTCGGTATCAAATCCACACTGGAGTTGTCAAGATAATATTCAGTAGATGAAGGCAATTGTATATCCGTCAATACTATTGGGGTTTTCCAAGTACATTGAACCCATTTATGACTAATGAATGAAAGTATATAATTTGGAGGTAATGGATCACTTACAGGTATATAAAATTCAACAATGTGTGGCTTTCCCACGTTTGCTCTATGGACTTGGAATATCTCATAATGTAACAATTCTAATCCATTACAATCTTCTAACATGACAACGAATGTTTCTTGATTACCTTGGACAGAACTTATCCAACTCCATACAGGTATTACTTCGATTTGGATTCGTAAAAAGTCGGAACTTATCGGTTGAACATGATATTGAGTTGTAATTCTTGGGAATGACATCACATATTCATTAACTAATTTGGCATTTCCCTTAAGATTAACTGCTTCGGCCAATTCTTCACTACTCAAACTAAAATATCTGATCCAAGGTAAGTGTGACATCTCAGTAGCTTTTATAATCTGGTTTGGCACAAGTGAGCCAAATTGTCTCAAGGGTGAATTATTCAACCACATACGATTCTCGACCATCTTACAAATATCCAATAATGATTTCGATAACGATGACCATTTTTTCAAAACGGCAATCTCGTACAAGGCACGTAATAATCTACTTGCTGATTGAGTAATATAGATCATATCGGATATTAATGCATACCCTTCCAAACTCAATCTGGAAATATATGTCTGTAAAAGAACATTAATCTTTGCTACTACTTCATGAGCCTGTTCCTTAATCGGAATAGGACACTTTTCCATTAATTTGCTAATTTCCAATCTTTCTTCAGCACGAACTGGGATGTATTTAAATTCTCCAGAATTAGCGAAGACTCGTAATATATCTGTTTCATTATGCCATGGTTTTAACATTTTCCCATACATATTTATAGTTTCATAATTAATATAATAGTATGCTGCAACTTTACCCAATTCTGTTGATTTAACCTCTCCACTTACAGGATCATAAATGACTAATCGATTTTCGTGAAGGATAGATAAGGCAGTATAAATCAAATCCGCTCTTCTTTTATGTAATGCTGGATCATGCTTAAAGTCATAACCTGCTTCAACTCCGTACAATGAAGGAGAATGTAACATCCTGACAAAAAAATAAGTATAACTCAACCATTCGATTCCTTCTTCCAAAGTAGTAATTGATCCACTAACAACCTCCGCATTCACACTATCCACCAATTTTTCAATCAACTTGGATTCAATAGGCAATTGCTGATTAAGTATTCCCAAATAATATTGAATTTGATCTTGCGAAGTTATAATTATCCCTTCACCATTTTTATCATATCTTGGACGACCAGCTCTACCTAACATTTGCAATATATCTTGTGGAGATAATTGAACCCAGGTACCCAATTCTGGTGAATACGTTTCCGTACCTTTAATAATTACAGTATGTGCCGGCAAATTAACCCCCCAGGCAAGAGTTGCAGTTGAAACCAATACTCGAATTAATCCTTGTGCAAAAAGATCCTCTACTGTACTTCTATCTTTCTTATTTAGTCCGGCATGATGAATCCCAAACCCTTGAGATAAGACTTCTTTTAGATTTCTGTTGGTTGATGATTCGCTTTCTTGAGCCAATATTTCCTTGGTACCTAAATTTTCAATCATTTGGAACTCTTCTTGTTGAGAAAGTTTCTCCATAAGATATTTTGCAGTGGTATGTGTTTCTTTTCTTGAATGAACAAAGATGATCAATTGATGCCCACGGGTTAAACTATCATACATTCTATCATAACATGCTTCATTCATTGCAGTCAATTTCTTAATCGCTTTCTTCTCCTTGATACCAACATATTCTTGTTGTAATGGACATGGTCTATATGATGCATCAAAATAAAATAATCCTTCATCAATATTAACTCGGATAAATTTCGCCACATCTCGATAATTTGGCAAAGTTGCCGAAAGACCAACTAAACGTACTTCCATACCGGTTGTTTCCACTTTTCTTAATGTTCTACTCACAATACTTTCCAACACTGGACCACGCTCATCATGTAATAAATGAATTTCATCAATAATAATCAATCGCACCAATTGGGCATAGCTTGGATCCTTTCTCGTTATGATATCCCATTTTTCAGGAGTGGTAACGATGACTTGCGTTTCTATAATTTGTTGCTTCGAAAGTGTCAGATCACCAGTTAATTCATTAACCACTAATCCAAATGTCGAAGTTAATCTCCGCAGAAATTCTCTCATTTGTTCTTGAACAAGTGCCTTTAAGGGTGCAATATAAACAATCTTGAAGTTCTTTAATTGGATATGTCCATGTTGGTTTCTGAATTTAGAGATTGTTCCTAACATAGTCAACATTGCTACATTGGTCTTACCTGCACCGGTAGGTGCACAAATCAACAAGTTGTTATTTGTTTCAAATGCCTGGGGATATATTTTTGATTGTATTCTGTTAAATGTAGTCGTTTCATTACTTGGAAATGCATCCCTGGCCCATTCAGGCAAGACAGAGGTAGGCAAAAGGACATCTTCTTCAGTCAATGGTTTTTCTATGGCTGGAACCGTAATGATATCATATGATTTCTTGTTGGTTTGATAGGTCCCTTTAGGCAACGTTATTTTGGTGGATTCCAACGAGGTAGAAAATAAGATCTTCTCTAAGCTAATTCGTTGTGGTTTCTTCTTGGAGGGCTTACTTCGCTTAGTTGAAGTATGCTCTCTGTCGTCAGCAGGCCTTTTCTTTGACCCTTTGAGGTCCTCGATCAATGAATCAAGCTTTTGTTTAGTCATTTCCTTAAAAATTTCTTCTTTGTCTTCAGCATTTGATGCCTTGGCTAATTTGTCCATGTATACAAGTCTCCACCTGTTTTCAATAAGTTTAATTACAAATTCTGAGGCGTGAAAATCAAATAATTTATTTAAATCATCGTCCAAGTCTTCCACAGTAAGCTTGGTGTTCGATAACAAATCAAAGGTCTTCGAAATCAATTCGTCACGAGGAGATGATAACGAATGAGTATTAACGATGTCTGAAATTTCCAGTTCTATCCATGTGGTGTCATATTCAATATTATCCTCTTCTTCTTCGCCTATTTCATTCTCGACTTCAGATATCTCTTCACCCTTCTCTATCTCTCCCACTTCCTCTACTTCCTCTTCAATTTCATTTTCATATAAATCTTCCTCTTGGTTTTCTTCATCTGAAGTATCAAAATTGACAGCCACGAATTCAGTATCATCTTCATTTCCATTTCCTTCATGTACAACTTTCAATTTATTCATCTGATTAGCCAATCCTACCAAGTCATTCAAGTCTATATCATCAACTTTTGTAGATAATAATTCCTCCAATTCTGATCGTTTCTGGGTGACATTGGAATCTTCAAGACTCAATATTTCGATGGCCAAATCTGATGCAGATTTGATAACATCATGACTAGAATCAGGAAGGAAATTACGTATCTTAGTTAAAAATGCCTCGTATAATTGATCATATAGATTCTCATCGGGTTGATTGTCGTTGATTGTATCTTGTTTTATTCTTTTCGTATTCTCTTGGGGTCTATAGTTGGTACCCATATCTTTCACTTGAATTCTACCAGCCATTGAAAGAGCTGACGTTTCTTCTCGATTTCCTCTTTTGTTCAGTTGTATTACCTTATTCGCCATCTCATTATAGCTATAGGGATTGCTTGGGGTTGCCATAGTGACTTTTGCTGTAGAATGACAAAGAAGAGTTACCGGTTCCACAATCTTGTTGTTTTGCAACACAACATTTTTTTCTTGCACTTCGCGATGATGAAATGCGAATTCTTTATAATTTTTTCACTTTTTATGTTTTTATTTAATAATTTATAGAATATGCAAAAAAAGAGACACTAAACTAAATAACTTAATAATAATAATAATAATAATAATCTACATAATTATGAAAAAGAAATCGAATACTATTCACAAACTATTCTCGATCCCCTTTTCTTTAGTAAACCTTGTTTAAGAAAGTTTTGTTCTTGAAATCCCAAGAGTCATCAGAGATTCTACCTCTTAAGACTGGAATTTCAGAACCTGGAACATAGACATCTTCGAATAAGATATCCATCTTAGCTTCAGGTGGAGCATCAGCTTCAGCAGCAGCAACTTGTTCGTCGACGTATTTTCTAGCTTCTTTGTCGTATTTCTTAATTTCTTCTTCACTGGCAATTTCCTTTTCTAATAAGGTAGCCTTTAATCCGGCAATTGGATCGTTTCTAGATCTCATGTGTTGAACTTCTTCTCTGGTTCTGTAAGTAGTACCTGGATCGGACATAGAGTGACCACCGTATCTGTAAGTTTCGTATTCTAAGACTAATGGACCATTTCCTTGAGCAGCCCAGTCCTTGGCGAATTTGGAAGCTTGATAAGTAGCTAAGGCATCCATACCATTGATCTTTAAACCTGGAATGTATTGACCTCTCTTGTAGTATTCAGTCATAGCAGAAGATCTAGAAGCAGCAGTACCCATACCATACTTGTTGTTTTCACAAGCAAAGATACATGGTAAGTTCCATAATTTGGCCATGTTGTAAGCTTCAAAGACTTGACCTTGGTTAGCAGCACCATCACCATATAATGCAAAAGTGGCAGCCTTTTCACCCTTGTACTTGTGGGAGAAAGCTAAACCAGCACCCAATGGAACTTGAGCACCGACAATACCGTTACCACCATAGAAACCTGGAGCAAACATATGCATAGAACCACCTTTACCGTGAGAAATACCACTTCTTCTACCCATTAATTCAGCCAAGATTTCCTTAACAGAAGCACCTCTCATGAAGGCAAAACCGTGACATCTATAAGAAGTAATGACAGTATCTTGTGGAGTAATGGCATTTTCAATACCAACAGCAATAGCTTCTTGACCAACAGATAAATGACAGAAACCTCTAATCTTCTTGGCCTTATATAATGCATCAGCAGCCATTTCCATTCTTCTGATAATGATCATATCTTTATACATCTTTAATAAACCTTCTTTATCAGTTTCAAATTCTAAACTTGGAACTTCCAAGTTATAACCTTCAAAAGATGAGGCTGGTAAATTAATGGTAACTAATTCACTTGAAGCAGTGGCCATTGATCTTTTGGCAACATTGCAAGTAGCACCAACCAATTGGCGACTGGCTGCTGAATAACGGTACATTTTCTATTAGATGTTTAACTTATAAAGAGAAAACTAAAATCTCCAAAAAAAAATGTGTTAGATCTTTTAATATTTATTTGAGATTGTTTTTTCCAACAGGGTACTGCTCTTTTTGTCTTTCATTCTCTATTTGGTACGGAACTCTTCAATCCGCAAAAAAAAAGATCAAATCTTAACGTCGGCTTTACATCCAATCTTCAATAGTAAACACGAACCCGGCACAAAATTTACCGGGGGTTAATGTCCGCGAAAAACAAAATCTGCGGTTCGATTTACCGGCATGTAAAAAATCAACTCTAAAGTCAGCACGTGATCAAATTTCCTCTTTGGGGTATAGATTTTGACATCATGTTATCTAAGAATATTATTTTTAGACAAGGATAATGTGTCACATTTTCCTTCTGTAAACGACTTGCGTAAAAGTACTTCAGCCGTCAAAAATTCAAAAAAATACTTCAAAGCCTTTTCTTATCAACCACACAATATGGTATTTAAAATTGGCAATCAATCACGGTTAATTGATCGAATAAGCACGCCACATAGGCATGATAACCTGTCCGAAACCAATAAGGAATCTGAAAGCAGCGATAAAAAGAATTGGAAACAACTAGTAAAAGTCAAGAGCCCAAATGCTAATAAATTGTTCTCCCTGCGAGAATCTCCTAAACCAAGAAAGGAATCGTTACCGATCAAAAGGCAGGACATTTCCCCCAAGAGTCAATACAGTACACCTACCTCGAGTCCAGGACTGGCTTATCGGAGTCCAAAAAAGATAATGAACCCCCGCAATACGTATTCGCGATCATTTGATGACTACACAAAACCAGGATTGGACTTTTCTTTTGAAGCAATATTGGCAGATAATAGACCATCATTAACTTCTCTTTTACAAGACGAATCGGAAGAAATACCACAAGCGTCGCCCGCAAAAAATCCAGTTGTTGAAGTAAGGAGAGGGAAATGCTTTATATGTCATGAATTACTTGCAAGGATATTAGCTTCTGAGAGAGTCATAACTTTAGCTTGCGGAGATTCAGTTCATAGTGAATGTTTTAAAGCCTTACTTGCAAGTGAGATTCACGACCTCCACAGTATTCCATCGTCTCCTAAGAAAAGAAATGTCATTGAATTCCTGAAAATATGCAAGGGTGAGTCTTGCGCTTCTAAAAAAGTTGAAAGCAAGATCGCTATTGATTTCGATAAATGGAACTTAGTGTGTTCAGACTTAAGCTCACCAAAATTTTCATCACAGAAGGAAATGAACTGGAAGAGACAGAGTAGCGTCGTTAGCGCATTAAAATCGTCACTCTTGGAAGATAAAGACTATCATGCTACTTTTAGTCCCTCAAAATCACCACCTGACACAGGAAACAGTAGCATTACCTTCAATGTCCTAAAATCAACCCTTGTGCTGCCGAGTGCATCATTTTTGAAGAAAGAAGAGAAGCCGCTTCCAGCATCTCCCGAAGACAACGATGATTTCGAACCAATTCATACCAACAATTTTTCCAAGTTCCCGATTCCTAGAAATAATAGTAGAAGAAGCTTACAAAGAGGCAGAAGCAGTGGAACTATGGAAGGAAGGTCGAGGTCCACTTCACCGGTCCCTTCGATAGCTACCCTGAATACAGTGTCTTACAAATATGACCCAAAAGAAGCTGAAAGAATCAAGAATGAGTTGATGAATATATTATTAGAGAAATGCAGTGGAATACAATTTTCGAAACTTCCACAGCTTGGAGAACTCAGAATAGCTGACGAATTGTCAGTTTGTTCCCACTCAAACGGTTCTTTCACTTCCAGATATTGCTACTTGTTTGAAAACTATATGCTAATATGGGATATTCGAGACATCCATGATCCAGTTTTTATTCCAATCCAAAAAGCCAAAATCTCTTCCAAAGAGTCTGTATTACACATTTCGCAGACAAATAACAATAACCCAATTACAATTCTGTTAAAATCAAACTCGAGTTATATAATTGAAAAATGGGTGGCAGCCATCTCTGACTTCAGTATTGCCATCCCAGACGAGGTCATAACATCCACAATAAACGTTAGGAGACGTCCAAGTAGAGTCTCCACAATTCCTTCTGAGAATGAATCTGAAAGAGATTATATAATCCAAGAACCCAAAAGCCAGGACAGGGAAATAAATGCCCGAAACCGCTGTTCTTCCTACTATGATTCAGATTCAGATCGTGAGTTGATAAATACAGCCTTAGCAACAAGAGATGTGTCACAGGACTCGGGTGATGTAAATGGAATTGAAAATCGCATCTCTCAAGGTGATGGAAGCTTGTTCAATACAAAACCTTTATTAGAAGATTGGAGCGAGTTAATTGTCCAATTAGACGACGTTCTTAAGAACGAGACATTCGTTTAATATTTTAGTTAATTTGTAGTAAAATTTAATATATTTGCAAAATGTTCTAAGAAATTGTAGATCAACTATTCCACGTAAAATTTATAATGCTCAGATTTCGTAATTTAAATATCCAACTACAGAGAACTTCACTATAAGGTACATCAAAGCATGTACGTCACACAAGGTAGAGATCATGTAATGCAAAATATGCACTCTCAATCTATTTTCTTTCTATGAGATAACCGAACTGTACTTGTCAAATTTTAACTTTAGACAACTTCCTCATCATTCAAACCAAGGAGAGAGCCTTCAGCATTCATATTATCAGGTGGCGAGATACTTGGGATAGTTTCCAATGCGATATAAACTAAACCAATTATGAATAACAACATGGCAGCGATCAATCTGAATACGCTTCCACCGTTCAAGCTCACTGCGATTAATGTATAGACTAAAATAATTTATGTTAGAACTTTCTCATCTCAAGAAAGATGACGGAATATACATACAGACACCTCGTCCAATGAACGAGAATAAAAAGGACCCATAGGCATAAGCTTCAGCAGGTACGTTGAATTCTAAAACCAATATGTTAGTAAGATTTTTCACTTGAATCAATTATGATACCAATAATACATACCCAATAATCCTATAACGACCCCAAAGGCAATGATATATAATGCAGATAAAAACTAAGAAAAATGTTAGTAACAAAATAATTCCACGATCATTCATCCATTCAATTCTTGGAACGACATACTGAGTGACTAGATATAATGTTAGTACACTGAAAAAACGACGATTGATGTCGGAAAGGCTTGAACTTACAAGCTGTGGAACAATTGAGAAAGTCCTCCCAATACCTATGATTCTATAGTTAGTACATGAATTTTTACTATGTTATGTTTGATATTGTGATACATACCGATAACCCTGCGACAATCAAATTGGTAATCTTAAATGCCCCAGTTAGGTCTTGACTCTCAATTGGATCTAAATTAATATTCATTCTATAAAGGTTTTGCTTGTATAACCTCACAATAATAGGTTTAGTATAAGTCGGACTGACTTTCTGAAAACTCGGGAGACACACAACGACATCCGCCACCTCACACATTAAAATAATATGGGGGACCAAAAAAAAATGGTATTCAAGTCACGTGCAATTGGTAGCCCAAGATCACATGACTTTCACATGATTTAAGGTGTGGATGTCACGGGGACAAAATCAAATTTTTTGAAAATGTTTTGACTTATGCTTCTTCTTGGTATGAAGTGATAACTTATCAACAATAACACAGACCCAATACAGCTATGTCTTCCACTTGGAAATCAAGGTTGGTAGAGCTACTGCACGTAGCTGCCGATCCGTTTCTAGTAGATTTGTCAAAAAAGCATACTAACGATGAGAAGAAGCTATACTCTCTTGTCAATGAACCCGACTCCAGTGCAGAACAAATCATCAAAGAAGCTATCATTAAGTCAATGGAAGAATCATTCTATCGTCCGCAAATCCCTCGTGAAATGTTGAAACGTAAACTGGATACTCAACTCGAGGATGACGAAAGAAAAATTGCTAAGTTGTCATTTAAGAAAGAAAGGAAACATAGTGCTGTTGAATCATTAAAAACACAGGATGAAGTAAACAAAGAAGAACTAGAGAGCTTTCTTAACAAGAGCATCGACGAGTTGGAAATACTTTCAGTTCCCGAGTATTACCCATTAAGACCTCATACAGTTTCATCATTAGCAGAATTATATTATCTAACGCAAACCCTCCCACTTATAAAACTACTTCCAGGAAGTCACAAGGTATTAATGACGGACAATTTTGAACTGGCATTATTAGAAGGGAAAATAGCTGTTTTGTATTCGCGTATGGAAGAACTTAAAAGACAAGGAAAATGGTCCTTAAGACAACCCCAGAAATTCTATGATCCATTTACATACCTTAGAAAGACTAAAAAGAAGGAATTTTATTGGGATAATGTATTAAAAGAAGGCAAATGGATGGCAGAAGATTTCAAGCAGTCACTGAGATACAAGAAATGGTGTTGCGTCACAATTGCTGAAGCAGTAGAAGATTATTGGCGTATGGGTAAACTGGTTTGTATTAATAGAAAAGAAATTGTTCAGTACAGTGAGGGACAAGCGAAATCTGAAGCAATAGAATCTACTTCTGTTGTTGAAACAAATCAAGTTAAAGGTGATATACCGGAAACAATAGACGTTTCCCGTTTGAAATCGGCCGAGAATGAATCTTTTAAAGAGACAGTGGACAACTTTCCTAGTATATTGTCTCCAGGAGGTAGCAGGAAACCAACAGAAGAAAAGTCAATGTTTAAAGTTTATCTAGATATAAATGATTTGAAAAAGATTGATCAATCGATTATCCGCAATCTTCCAAAGTTCACTCCATTCGATCAAGATGCAACACTTGGACCATCTCACGTGCTAGAACCAGGCGAAGCCCCTATTGCGTCTGTATCAAGGTTACTCCATCCATTTGAAGAGAACGAAGAATGGTATAAGATTGTATTAAGGGAAGCAGATTCAAAGAAAATCCGAAGCCTGGGTCCTCCAGAATATCAGAAAGGCTTGTTTGGATTTCAGTCGCATCGTCGTTTCAACTACTTAAAACCGCCGAAGCCTCCTTTGGTAAAGAATATTGAATATAGGACTCCAACCATATGGCTCCCTCAAGATGACAAGCTTCTTATTCATTTTGTTGCAGAATTCTGCTTTAATTGGGATCTCATTTCTGAGCACCTACTGTCAACTTCCACTGCATCTAGTTTAAAGAAATATGAATCTAATATTGAAAGAAGAACTCCTTGGCAATGTTTCGAAAGATACATCCAATTGAATGAAAAATTTCAATTTCTGGATATGAAGGGTGTTTACGCTTATCATGCTCAGCAATGGTTAGAACAAGCACATAGAGCCCAGCTGACAACAAAAAGAAGAATTTCTCCGTTGGGAGTTGGAACCGAGTCAATCCAGAGGGGACATAGAAGACTTAGATGGGCATCAATGTTTGATGCAATGCGTAAGTGTATGAAAAAGAGAGAAATCGCGTTGGCCAAAGTCAATCACCGTAGATCTACGGCGGAAGGGGGTCAACAGCAAAGCAATTCAAATTCTAATAGTCAAGAAGATACACCGGTTAAAAGAAGTAACGATAGAATTCCAACGCCTGCAGAGCTTTCCAAATTGAAATTTGAACGAGACAAATCAATCCAAGAGGCATACTTAAATCAACAAGCAACTAGATCAAGAATGATGGCTGCTGTTGCCCAACAACAGAACCAAAGCCAGCAAAGAATCGGTCAACCATCACAAGTGCCAGTTCCTCCTCCTACACAGGAAAGGCTCTTACCGAATCAACAACTAACTCCGTCTATGCCATCAGCTCAGCAAGCAATCGCCAGTCAGCAGGGCCCTAAAGTTGGTAATGAAAATTGGCATTCACCGGGTAATATTGGGAGTCCACAATCAAGCCAGATGCCTATTCCACAAAACCAACCAGCAATGATTAAAGCAGCTCAAAGTCCAATGGGGTACCAACAAGCTGTTGCTAACAATCAGCAGACACCAGTAAAGAGACCAACTACTCCCAATGGAACACCGCTCACAAATGAACAAATACAACAGTTGTTGCAATTGCAAAAACAAAGGAGATTGCTTCAGCAACAACAGCAGCAAGCAATGCAAGCACAAGCACAAGCACAACATGTTCCGCTTAAGTCTGGTATGACCAATCAGCAGATTAACTCGCCCAATCTTCTTCAAGGAAATCACGTACCAATAAACACAAATATGGTTAAACCTGCCAATGCAAATCAGGTCCTGCAGCCTGCATCACAACCTAGACCGCGCATGCAGTTTGCCCCTGCTCAAGTTTCGGCAATTATTAGTTCAATTCAACAAAAGAATCCAAACTTTACAAAAGATCAAGTAACAAAACTAGCCGCACAATATCTAGCTAGCCTTCAGCAACAACAACAACAGCAACAACAACAGCAGCAACAAGCCCAGAATAGATTCAACCAAGGCATGCGTCCTCAACAACAAGCGCAGCAAATTCAACAACAGAGGTTGCAACAACAGCAACAGATTCAGGCCCAGATGCAAGCAAGAAACAACCAAATCCCATTAGATAGAGGTTTTAATCAAAGCCCTAACAGGCAGCTACAACCTGGTACTTTGAGTCCAGAAGAAAGACAACAGTTGCAAATGCTAAAAGCATCTGGTTCAGCTTCACCAATTGCACAACAGCTTCTTCAACAATCTGTTTCAACCCCGAAGATGCAATCAGTTTCACCTGCTACAGGCTCTCCGAATATGGCTTATACTACTCAAGAGCTTGAACAAAGAAGAAGAGCGCTTTTGCAGCAACGACAACACCAACAACAGCAGCAGCAACAACAAAATGAGCAAATGGCAGGATCGCAAAGTTTTACCTCTAGTAATGGGCTGCCAGGTGCTGACTAGTAGTATAGTGTAATGATTTTATAGACCTTTGTAGTATTAATGAATTTCATATAGAGACAGAAGTCGCGTCTTGTCGCACTCTAAGATTCACATTGCAAAAATATTGTGTTGTAAAAAATCGTGTTGTAAAAAAAGTGTAAAGTAGAGTCTGCTGTAAACAGAGACATCCAACCAAAGAGCCAATGTCGGACAAGCAGTTGCCGAGGGACTTGAAGGATGCTCTTAGTATCACACCTTTAATACACTTAATACCCAAACAGAATATATTCCCACTACTTAGTTGTGCATCACTTTCTCCCACAATAGATGACAGTCAATTGATATATCAGGGAACACAACAAAAGAAATCCGACTCTGAGACGGAAGCAATGTATGAACGAATTGCGAACGAACTACTTGAATGTGATGATGAACAAGTTGAAAATGAGTTAAAGCGAATCAAATTCATGAGATATCCTACAAATCCGGAGGAACCCCAAACTTCAGGAATTAGAGAACATCTAAAACCCTACGAACAGAAGCTATTTGACAGTATAGTCTTTGATGAGACATCCTATTCTGATCTGTCTATTCTGAAAGTTGAATCCTCAAGATTGTCAGTTAGAAAGAGATATCATGTAGACGATGAGGAATCCATGCGACGTCATAACAAGAAATATCTTACAAAATTTAACAATGAGAAATTGGGAAATACCCCTGCTCGCAAATCTAGTCGCAAAAGACATCAACGAGGAGTCAATGAAGACCCTGGTGAGAACAGAAAACTAGTGAAATTTTCGGATACGGAGCTTCGACAAAGGGCAGTAACAAGTTTGCGATTACACATTAGTCGATTCATGTGTCCTGATGAAGAAGGATTAGATAATTCAGAGATCACAGTTGAAATTCTTGAACTTGTTCTTGACTCAACAGCAAGATGTCTTTATCAAGAAACGGATTTGGATGTCAGTGAATTTTCCAATCTTCAGAAAATCTGCCATAGGCTGTTAGCTGATTCTATCGAAAAGTTTGATGTTCATCTCACCATATCAGAGATAAAGGATGTCTTTTCAGTAGCCGATGAGTTCTTGAAGTGTGCCTTGTATTCACGCATTCTTCTCTTGATAATGAATGGTCCTTCTCAAGATAAAGTGTTATTTGTTGATGCCTACTTAAATCTGATTGTTGAATTCTTAAATATTTTCGTGGAGAGTTTATTGTTTCCGATATCAGCATTACAGATACCAGGAGGGGATGAAGATATCCCAGCCAAGCGACAGAGTTTGAATAAATTGTTCTCGGAAGTCGGGCAATTTGTTAAACAACTAGGACATCTTAATTCGAAAGCCAAGCTAGAGCACCAAGTGCTTACAAAAATTGAAATACTAGCAAATCAAATAATTTTCGAAGATAGATACCTGGATGACAAAAGTTCCCTTCTCCGAATTCTTCCGATAGATCCATTAAAAATATCTGTATCATTGAGTATCATTGAAGTGTTTAAAACTTGTTCCGAGGAGAGATCATATTTAATTGAAGAGGTATTTAATAATTTTTTCACCATATCTACAAATAAGGTTGTTGCAAGACAATTTAAAGTTGAAAGGGGATTTAGTATACACTTGTACACATTATTATTGGGAAAGTTTGTTCAATGCATAGAATCCGAAGACGGCAAAGAACAAATGGAGTCTGAATCAAGAAACGCCAAGGACACAGTAGATCAATTGGTCCACAAGTTATTATGTTCAATTGCAGATAGATTTAGTTCCGCAAACAGAGGACTACTTCATGTTGTAGTGGAAGATTTACTTATGCTTTTGCCGTTTCCGGAGTGGTCAAGCACTGAATTACTTTTGAGATCTTTAGCTGAGCAATTGATTCGAATCCTTCTGAACCATGATAACAATCCTTCGCTTGAAGGGTACTATCTAGATATTATGGGTTCCATTTGTGAGAAGGTCTTCTGTTTGAAGCCAGATGTTACATTATCAATTGACCCGGAAGGAATACTGCACATCCTTTCTGATTTCGACAGTATTAAATTTGACAAAGAGGATTCACTTAAATGCTTTATTATAAAATTGAAGAATTGGAAAGAAGCAGCACAAAGTAAGGAGAATATTGAAGATATAAATATAGATGAATTGGTTGCCGCTGATCGAAATCCAAATGATATCTCCAAACATGCTATTCACAAGTTGTACCTTTCGCTCATCTTAGATCCTTCTTTAAACAAGATCGTTGAATCATTTGTATCTGCTCTAGGAATATTCTTGGAGAGTCCAAAAATCAAAGTTAAAACCAAGGCAATAAAGATCCTCGCATCCCTTTCAGAAGTGTCTCCTACTATACTTAGAACCAAGCTGATTCAAGATTCATTAAGTGCAAGGTTATTAGACAGTTCGACCCTGGTTCGAGACGCAGTATTTGATTTTGTTGGTATGTACGTCCAGAAGCATCCCGATGAAGCTGATAGCTTCAAAACTCCTTTACGTAGTGCATTAAACGATGATGGGGTTCTGGTACGAAAAAAGGCCATAAAATTGTCAAAAGTTCTTTATCCCATGTTCAAGGCAACCGCTTCGAAAGTTGATATCGGGTCCAGGTTACTTAGAAGGTTAACAGATGAAGAAGACACAGTAAAAAATCTTGCTGCCAATGCCTTGCTTGAATTGTGGTTTCTTCCTCTAGCTCTGACGAATATCAACAAGAGCCATTGTGAGGACGTAGTGAAAGTGATTGTTGACCTTTCTGGATCAGGCCCAAAGTGTTTGAAATCTGTTGAATCCTTTTTGGAACGATATGTTTTGGGAAGCAAGGATGAATCTATACAGAGATCTACTTCGGTGTTTGTGGACATGATTTTGGATTTGGCGTCTGGAGAAAATGCCATCTCTAAACGAGAAGGATTACTATTATTATCAATTTGTGTGAAATGCAAACCAAGCATCTTTGGACAGGATCAATTAGTTGCACTTCAACCAATAATCACTGATGAGTCACAGATCGGTGAACTATCCTATGTTTATGCTCTCAGAACCATGAAGTATGCTCTCCCCAGTATCGATTCATTGAGACCAGATTTTATCGATTCCTTTCAAAAATTTTTAATACAGAGACTCGGGAAATTTTCAATTGGACAACTACATGAAGTCATTCCTTGTTTATGGAGACTTGGTCAAATCAATTCGAATACACAGAAGTTGGCAAAGGCTGCTATATCCACCATGAAACATGTATACCCTTACATTGAGGCAAGACCGTTTAAGGACAACGTTAAGGTGGCTAAATTACTATCACTATTGGGCTGTTTTGGTAAATATTGTGATTTTCTGCCGGAGAGAAATTTGTTTGCCCATGCCAGTTTAGGATTGAAGTACAAAGAGACTGTCACAAGTCTAATACTTAAATACATTCTTTTCTTTACAGATAAGGGATTGGAGCAAAATCGTCGTCTGGCTATTGGTAACTTGATTTCACTATGCTCGACTCATACAAACTTGTTAACTACTATGCCTGTGTTGACGACATTGGATAGAGTCATGAATACTGGGAATGAGAAAATGATACTGTCGATGCTTCAGGGATTAATTAACTTCTTGCAAGAGAAAGATTCCGAGGTTCAGAAAAATGTTGGCTACTCTGAGAAAAGTTCAACAAGCAACAAATTAGATGTTAATGTATTTCATGGGAAGCATAATAGTGCGGATGGGGTTTGCGCGTCAATCGTGCAAAGATATTTGGATAAAGTATTGAAATTATGTTTAAAACCGGATCTAAAATTATTCTATTTGCCTATCCAATTTATAGAATTGGTCCTTGAATTAGGTTACGCCAATCCTAAAATCTGTGTTCCTACAATCATAGCATTAGAATCTTCTCAAGATACCAAAACCAAGAATACAGCATTAAGAATCCATACCGATTTGTTTGAAAAGCATGAATCATTGGTTGAGACCAGTTACGATGAAGGAATACGTCTTGCGTTTGAGTTGAATAAGGGCAGTTTTCAGGGTCAATCAGATTTTTTGAATTCTATGTACAGCATAGTACTGTCTTCCCATACGTCAAGAAAGAAATTGGTGAAAGCTATATCAAGAACTCTCAGGCTAAATTTACATTATCCAACGCCACAACTGCAGGATTCTTTAATGTTTTTGGAATTCTGGGCCCAAAATGTAGCTCAAATTCAACTAAAGAGTGTTGAAGAAGTTTTGATGTTGTTACATGAGATGTATGTGATACTTTCTGGACCAAGAATGGATTTTATTCTTGAAATTGAGAATAGTAATGTGCCTCCTTCCCCGTCCCACTATCGAACTGCCTTATCTATGCGAATTGTTCTCGAAGCGTACAGGTTCCTTTCTATTAAGTATAACATTTCGCAAACACAAGTTGAGGGATTTGGTTATCATTCTTTAGAAGAGATTCGACAAGCGCCGAAAACTGTCAAAGATATCAGAATCAATATAGACTGGATAGTTGCAAATACTGGGGCCGTGACCCAAGAGTCATTTGAGAGATGTAAACTGGAACTAAGCCAACTTATCTAGTATTTCAGCTGAAGATTTATTACTAACTTTAAACATTCGAACCACTATGATTTCTATAACGTTGCCAAATATTTGAATTCTAGAATTTATATGATTATAATGTTACGTATTTAATCAAAAGCTAAATGGTTATTGCTTTTGAGGTCTAAAATTTCTCTTGCGAAGAGCGTGAGGCATTTTAAACCCGCCAACTGTAGGTTCCAACCTCTCGAGTGAAGTTCCAAAAACATGTGTAGAATCTTTAATTTGAAAATCAATTTCATTCACATTCTCAACTTCTTCTAAATTCTGTCTGTAGACCCAAACTTTGGACTTTGGTATTCCTGTTGACGATAACATTGCGTTTGTCTGAATCCGTATATCCGAAGCTGGCATTGTTTGCATTTCTCTCAGTACTGTATCAATTGGCTCGGGTTTGGTTTCTATTGGCTTTTCCACTTTGGCAATATGATTAGGAGATTCCACTTTTCTGATAGGATTGGGAGGTTCCACCTCCACGATTTTAGGAGGCGCCACTGGGTCAATAACCAAGGAATACTTTTCACTGAGGTTTAATCTAATCACAGGGCCATATCTCTGAGCTCTTTCTAATTTTCTTCTATCGCGTAACTCTTCAATCGAGCATTCATAATCTGGATCATCAGAGAGTTCGCTACCATCGTTTACACCAATGTTCTCTCTTATATCGTTATTTAAGGTGTCATATCGTCGTCTCCAATTGTCATGTTTCCTCAATAACCTGCGTATTTCGGCAATGGATAAGTCACGTTTTAATTGTAATTCTTCATAATCATTAGGGTTATTGATTGAGGCTATATTTCGTAAGTGACGAATCCAATCATACTGATGAAGTAATTTTAACTGATCTTGTAAGCTATCCACTTCCGATAATATTCTTAATCTCTCTTCATTGGTCATAACTTTCTCTTCTTTCTTCATCTTTTTATAAAAAACTTCATAAAGGGAGTCCGGTAAAGGATCATCTCTATTTTGAGAACGTCTTGGTAGTAAAGGTTCCACTATTTTCAAAGTATCAGTATGAGGAGGCAAATCGGGTACATTACCTGATTCTCCGTAGAACACATATGGGCGGTTCTCGTCACCCGTGGTGTCAGTTAGTTTTATGGGTTTGTTGCCTTGAAGATGTTCATTGACATTGTCAAAGTTAAACAATGTCTTATTTGGCTGTTTCTGTGCAATGTCTTTCGACCGGAGTTGTCGCTCCGGTTTCTCTTTTTTAATCTCCTTCCTGGGTCTTGTCGAAACCATTTTCTTATATCATTTCAAGATATCCTGTCCGATCCTTTGATTTGACTCTTTTCTGACTTTGGGTTGTTATTTATCGGTGTGGTTCTTTGCTATTGTTTTCCCATACATAATTTTTACGAGACCTCCTCAAAAAAAAATGCGCCTACCAATACCCCCTGAAGAATCTCCAGATGTGAAAAACTTGAGGGGTTAATTGAGTAAGCAATGGAAATAAGAAAACGAAATACGGGGATCCCAATCAAGGAGGATCCAATCACTAGCGAGCATTTGGATGACCGTGATGAACATAGATCTCGTCGGAACAGCATCAATTGGCTATATTTGGTTGTGCTTTCCTTGGGTTGGGTAGGTGTTGTTCATTATTTTGAGAGAATTGTCCCATATAGAATCATCGAGAAATGCCAATGGAAGCAATGGGAGAAATGGCCACTGGATAGAGATGTTCATAGAATTGCCCTTCTTGCTGATCCTCAAATTGTGGATGATTATTCTTATCCTAAACAATTCAAATTCTTCAACTTTTTTGTTAGAGCCGGGGCCGATAATTATCTTCATAGAAATTTCCAGATTATGCAAGAAATATTAGATCCAGATACAACAATATTCCTTGGAGATTTATTTGATGGAGGAAGATACTGGGAAGATGATCAATGGATTGCAGAGTTGAAGAGATTCAATAAGGTATTTCCTAAAAGAGTTAATAGAAGGGATATTCGATCAATTCCGGGGAATCATGATATTGGATTCCAAACAATTCATAAACATATTCAAGATAGATTTGCACAGTATTTTGGAGATCTCAATGACTATATAGAATTAGGAAATCATACAATTGTGATGTTTGATTCTATTTCGCTTTCACATCCAAATGAAACAATTTTACGAGAATCTCGGGAATTTCTTGAATCCATAAATCAAAGGATAAATCCAGCTTATCCTAGGATCATATTGACACATGTGCCCCTTTATAGATTTCCAGATAGTCAACTATGTGGTCCATTAAGAGAATCAAAAAAGTTGTTTCCACTTGTGAGAGGAGACGAATATCAAACAGTAATTGAATATGGGTTTTCACAAGAAATATTGAAAACCATACAACCAGAGATCATATTCGCAGGCGATGATCATGATTATTGTGATATTATCCAACATTATCAAACACTGAACGGGATTGATAAGCAGACTAGGGAAATTACTATGAAGTCACCTGCTATGACAAGTGGGGTAAGGCAACCTGCCATTCAACTTCTATCTTTAAGTAACCCATCTGGGAATATTGGCAGTACTTTCAAGACTGAGATGTGTTACATGCCATCGCCATATGCAGGACTACATACATACCTTGGTTTGTTACTACTTAGTTCCATCTTTGTAATTGCAAAGACTAGAGGCTTATCGTCGCCTAGTAGTGGTATTACAAGACATTTCAATTGTACTATGACAAAATATTTTGTGTTGAATATGTTTATTCCAATCATTGTCCTTTATATATACTATAACGCTATCTAAGTACCACCAAATTTAAAGAGTCTATCCGCATAACTAGGATTAAAATCCGCTCTCTTTTGTATATATTGACGAACAGCATATTGTTTCATGCTTGCCAATTGACCCTCTGTAACCAACGAATTAACTAATTCAGATTGTACTGTAAACAAATTCCCAATTTCTTTCAAGATTTGGAATTGTTCAGATAATTCAGTAATACCCCATTCATCAATAATACTTTGATAACGAATTACATCTTTAGTTAAAACAATACCTCCAATTGAATTAACTGTGAATTTCTTGTAATGCTCTAATAATTGACTCAATAATTCCATTCCAATCTTAATAAGTACATTTTCCAAATTGGTCCCACTCATGGCATTTTTAAGTGAAATTTGAACATCAATCAAGAAATCACTAATTAATTCACATGTTTCGGTATCTTCTTCAATATTATCACAATTAAAATCCTTTTTCTTTTGTTTTGATAATAAAAACAGAATCCTGGATTTAAACATCTCCAATGTCTCGGCAAGGATCAAATTCAAACTTTGTTCACATTGGTAAACATAATTATTCAAAAGCGTACTCATTCTATTCTTGATATTGGGAGCATTGGTTGCACAAGGAAGAATTATTCTCTTGACACATGATGCAAGAAGAAGAAGAATCTCACTAACGACATTAAATGACTTAATATATTCCAATTCAAACTCTTGCGTCAGTTGGGCTTTGGCGACTTGTTGATGCAGTTGATCATAAATAACTTCAAGTCCAGCACCGATATATAATTTACCAAAATCAATAATTAAAATTTCAAGGATTTCAAGTGAATATTGAGCAGATTTCAGAGGGGCTAATTCAAGTAATCTGGCTATAGATTCAACGGATGATTTTAAGACAATTTCAACTTTTCCGGAATTCATCTTTGTATATTCTTCCAAATCACGACTTACCCTATCGATTTCACTTGAGGAACGATTTGTTGGTTTATCACTTAATTTTGCTTTCACATATGCTTTGAATTGAGTCATTCGTTTCCTTTCTAAGAAATTAAACGTGAATCTATCGGCATTTTCCTGTGGTTTTTCGGTATATTCAAAATTTTCCAAATTATCCAATTTGGTAGCAAGAGCATGATTATTAATCACCGTTTCATTAAGAGTATTGAACCTGTGTACAATATCATAAATCGTTTCTTCAAGATTCTTCTTCTCACGTGAGAAATACACTTCATCTCGAGTATATTCAATAAATAAATCCGAAAGGGATTGATCAAGGATATGACTCAATTCATTATCACGATCAAGTTCATTAGTAACAAGAAAATCCTTAACATCTTTGGTAAAATCTCCCAAGAGGACAGAAAGTGAATGCAATATTCTCACATGTGCCAAAGATCCAACCGATAACGAATATTGGAGTAATCCATTCACCTTGTTGCGTATTATCTGAGCATACATTCTTTGAATAAAAATCTTAAGTACAGGAGTAGGATCTTCAAAAACTTGTTGTATTATTCTTGCTCTCGACTTTATTTCAAACCGTAAGTTATCCAATGTAGATGCAACTACTTCATCTCTAATCTGAGGTTCATTATAATTTGGATCAGATATTTTAATCCAGGTAGCTTCATCATTAAGTAAGGCCGAAGTCTTTTCATCTTCAACAATATCATTCTTACTGACAAACGTTTGTATCACGTGGGTCCCATCGTTATATTCAAATAAGATCATGGCAATCTCTTTCATTTCATCAAATTGGCCATCTTCTGAAGCAACTTCAAATCGATCTAATAATTTATTCTCCATTTCTTCTCCATATTGTTCAATTGAAGTAATGCATTTTTTAGTAAGTGGTTGTTGTTCATTAGCAATCTTTTTAGCTAACGTAATCAAATTGGCAACAGTTTTGGCACATTTTACTCGATCTTCGAATTTCTTACTTGTACGTAAACCTTCCAACGGTTCATATTGACCTTTGGTATAAAACCCATGATATGCTCTGATTAAAAAGATAGTCTCGGTTGATCGATCTCGTGAATTTGTAATCTTATTTAACAGCATCCCCAATGGATTTAACTTTTGAGCAATCTCCAGGATCTGGGAATCTAATGTGTCAAATTTGGTTGTTGCTGCTTTAACTTGTTTATCTAAATCAATAACATTCTCACTATGTTTCAATTCATATTCATCTACAAGCTTTTCATGCCTGATTTGTTGATCATTGGCTTCTATGCTTAATTGCTTTAATTCTCGCAATACCGATTCAAATGTTCTTATATATGGTTTAGGATCAAGGTATTCAAATTGATTCACTTCAGTATCTTTAAGAATATGATCTTTACTAATTTCTTCAATGAAATCATTGACTGATAATCCATTGAGGAAGTTATCAGCCGATAGAAGCTTCTTTATGTTTTCATCTAATTGATAAATTGAAAAGTTCATCTTGCCGTTCAATGTTGTCAAACTCTATGATTCTGTGGGTGTGGTGGTCCGGAATTATACGACCATTATTATTTTGCCATGTTTATCAAATGCGACAAATGTCGTCTTTAATTAATGAACGACATTCAGTCCATTTGATACATCCCATGGCCTTGGGCTTTAGCAATACTACAATCTACAGTAAAGGTTAACCGATTCAAAGAAAGATATTTTACAAATGTATTATTAAGATATATATACACATAAGGTCCTTACATACAAATCAACACATTTAGTTGGCCTTTAAGGTCAAGTGACACTTACCACAGTATTGTCTGTCTTTCATGTCAGCCATGAAGATACCGGCACCACAAGTTGGGGCTGGACATTCTCTTCTTAATCTTTCAACCTTACCTTCGTTATCAACCTTGTAGTAAGTTAAGACAGCTAACTTGTTCTTTCTGTGCTTGTGCTTAATCTTCTTTGGGGTGGTGTAAACCTTCTTCTTTCTCTTCTTACCACCACCTCTTAATCTTAAGACTAAGTGTAAAGTAGATTCCTTTTGGATGTTGTAGTCAGATAAAGTTCTACCATCTTCTAATTGCTTACCAGCGAAGATTAATCTTTGTTGGTCAGGTGGAATACCTTCCTTGTCTTGGATCTTGGATTTGACATTGTCAATGGTGTCGGAAGATTCGACTTCTAAGGTAATGGTCTTACCAGTTAAGGTCTTGACGAAAATTTGCATTTTGGCTTGTCTGCAAAGGATGCTTCTTTCTTACCAAGTGGTGTAGAGATTTCAAAAATCAATCGAAGGAAGAGAAACAAAGGTTGGTAGGAGAAAAATACTGGGAACTCACCGAGGGTACAAGATGGCACTGAGAGAAAAATTTTTGCACGAAGGCAAAAAATATCAAAATTTCGTCACGTGCCCAGGGGTCCTTTTTAGGGTTGGAGCCCTTGAATGGTTGCAAAATTTATCAATTGGATATCACTGACTTTACTGATTCTGAAAGGACAAGGAGAAGATGAGGAGTCACCCTTCTTTCTCAGTATGGAAGATGCTTGGCAAAGTCGGAATGGGATCTTGTATACCTGCCAAACTTTCAGCGTGTCATAAATGTGTAGTCTTATATCTATGGAGTTTTCTGTTTTGAATTTGGGTCTACATGCTGCAATGAACGTAATAAAGTGCTTGAACAAAACTATTTACAAAGACGTTTTATTAACAAACATATATATATAAGCTATACAAATCAAGTGTTCCAACAAAATAGACTATTTAAGAAAGATATAAAACAAAAATATTAAAATATTGTATGGCTTTATTAATAACAAGCAAAACAACACAATAAAACAAATCAACGAATGAAACAACTCATAAGTCTTTCAATTAATAATAAACTAAATGCAAATTAAAACAATAATTCAGGAATGGGAATCACTCTTATTTTCATTTTTTCTGAAACATAAACAACAAAACAATAAATAAAATGCAAAAGTCAAACTTGGGGAATGAGAGGGTGTAGTTATCTCGCTTCATCTAAAGCAGTTTCAGCTACGATAATCATCTTTTCAACTGAAGCCAAATGCTTCCCATAATTATTCTTACTAGAAATCTGTTTCAAATATTGTCTTAATTTAGTAACCAAAATCCTCTTTTCTTCACTCTTACCATCAAATGCTTCAACTAATTTTTGAATAACATAATTTGCATATTGATCCTTCATCATTAAAGCTAATGGAGAATCATCACTTACTAATTCAACCTTATAATCTAAATTGTCCAACATTACTTCATTCAAAATCCGTTTTCTTTGAGCAACATCACCGAATTTAATACATTTTTCAATAACATTAGATGCGAATTTATGTTTGGAGAAATTAACAACTGATCCAAGGACAACTTTTAAGATTTCTTCACGTTCATCAGGTTTACCATGTTCTAAAATATGTTGCATGACATAATTACCATATTGATCTTGAATTAAATAAAAGATAAATCTATTCAATTCATCCAAAATTGCTTTTTGATCTTCAAGACTTGAAAATTCCAATAATCGTTGAATAACTCTACAACCATAAGGATGAGTCGATAAATGATAAATTTGACTATCCAAACTAGTCAAAATAAATCTAATTTTATTGAAAGGTTTAATCATTTCAATAGATTTTTGAATAACATGATTCCCATTCTGATCTTTTGAACAAACCAAAATATGATCTCTTAATTCTTCAATAATCTTAATCTGACCATCTAATTCAATAGCTTCCAATGCACGTTGTACAACCCTACATCCATACATTTGTAATGATAATTCATAAATATGTCCCAACATTTGTTCCAACAAAACTTGTTTTTGGGTCTTGGTTCCAAATTCGAAATATTTCTGAATGACATAATTCCCGAAAACATCAGTCATCAATTCATACGCAATATCTCTAATCTCATTAAAAATGACTTCTTTTTCTTCATCACTAGCTTGAGGTAATTTAGTTTGAATGAATCTCGATCCATGTTGATCCTTGGTGAATTCAATTGCATGTCCATAGATATCTTTTAAATAAAATTCTTTATCCTTAGGATTTGATCTAACTTCTTCCAAGAGTGGAGAACGATAAATATGATTTCCACCACCACCAGTACCTGATCCACCTGGAGTTGAAGATTTGTTCCCTTTGGTGGATGCCAAACCACTACCGCCTTTTCTCTTTTGGTTTCCATTTCCAGATGATTGAGGAGGAGTATTTGTTCTGTTGGAAGTTCTTTCTGATTGGGCAACAGCTGCAGGAACTGGACCTGACGCTTGGGGAATTGGAGGATGTGGAGGTGGAGGAGACATACGGGTTTGAGGTGGAACTGGTCCGGATGGAACTTGTCCTGGAGGTGGTGGTGGTGGAGGAGATTGTTGATACATCAGATATGGATTAAATGGTTGAAACATAAATGAAGCTGGAGAAAATTGACGATTCATAAGTCCAATTCCACCAGTTACATTAATTGAAGATTTTTCTTTTAATTGTTCATCCTTCTTGTCTTCATCTTGATTCTTATCAGTTGGTACTTCATTACCTTCTTCGGTATCTTCTGATTGTTGTTGTTGTTGTTGGACGGGTGGGAAAGAACCATATGCCATCATATTATATAAACCAGGATCCATGAATTGTGGTGGAGGAGAAGGAATCATAAATGGAGGTGGTGGACTGATCGGTGGCATCATATTAGTTCCTGGACGGTAGAACCCTTGTGGTGGTGGCGGAGGTGGCGGAACCGCGCCTTGAAGATGTGGTCCTTGAGGAGGAGGTGGAGGAGGGACTGGCAATCCATTATCCATAAAATAGTTATAAGAAGATGGAGTAAATGAAGTTGCAGCTGCAGGATTCCAAAATCTTTGAGTTGCATTTGCAGTTTGATCACCACCATTGGAATTCAAATCTGAGTTAACTGAAAGAGCAGCAGTTGTTTGAATTGGAGAACTATTATTATAATGATCAATTTTATCACTAATTGATTGATGTCTAGAACTTCTTGGAGCTGGCATATTTAAGTTTTCATTCAATGAACCATGAGGAGAAGATAAAACACCAATAGACTTAATATTTTCATTAAAACTAGTTCTTCTTGATGGAGAATCACTTAAAGTTAACTTACCCAATTCAATTTCTCTAGTTGCGTCAGCAACAGCAGAGAATTTTTGTAAGAAACTATCTTGTGGTGGATGTCTACTGGTAATACCACCACTAATTGAAGCAGTACCAAAATTGATACGTTTACCATTTGGGTTATTATTGTTGTTGTTGGTATTTGCAACTGGGGCGGTAATGGCAGAAAATGCACCTCTTTTCAAACCAAATAAATTATTTGAATCAATATCACTTCCGTCATTAAATGAGAATCTTCTTTCTGAAGAAGATGCACCAGCAGCATTAAGTGAATCTAATGGATTTGAATTTGTGAATAATTTCGCAACTTCCGGATCAACTTGATCTAAAACTGATTTATATTGAGGATTCAAAGTAACATTTGATTGCATAGGAGATGTGCTTGTACTTGACCAAATAGTTTCTGAAGGCATTTCTCTCTTTTATGTACAAAGTGTGTATGGTATTAATTTATTTACAAAAATAAGGTTGTGGTAAAATTGTTCGGGGTATGAAATTATACCAAGTTTGTGTGATTTGGACGGATGGATGGATATATATATACAGTAAAACTCTTCTATCTATTCTTCAAAGCGGGATGAGACAAAATGAGGTGTGTTGAGTAGTGGGTATCGTATTGTCTTTATGATTTAACTTTATAGTTTTTTAACCGGTGAGTGAATGTTCTTCTTTGGAAAATAACACAGAGGTTGTAAAGTTTGAATATATACAAGTGAAAAAGTATTTGAAATTAAGTATGAACAGGAAAAAGGAAGTTGGAGGTTTGGGGAGGTAAGTTTGGGAGAGAAACTTTGGGGAGATATCTGGTTTATGTGTTGATGATGATTTCTTGTGATGATAGAGAGAGTGAGAGAGTGAGATGTTGTAATTTTTTTTACAACAACCAAAAAATTAAATTAAATTAAAAAAAAAAAAAAAGAAAAAAAAAATTCAATTTTTTTACGAAGTTTGATTTTCCAATAATAGAAAACATATCCGAAACATTAATCCGGTTTATCCATAATGACAAACAATAGATGGATTAGATCTCCATGTTAACTACCTCTCTCATTGACTGACAAAGAGCAAGAGACTATCTGAGCTGTGAATCCCTCCTTTCAATCACAAGAAACTAAAAAAGTACAACATCACCCAATAGTTGTAAGTCCGTTATTCTGTGTTTTTTCTTATCAATTTGCCCGCCATGAAAAGTGAATCAAAAATTTCTTGGTGGGAAGAAGTGAATAATAATAATTTTACTTCTCGTCTTTTGATTAATTAAACGACAAAAAAATAATTAGAACTTCACATAATCACCTGAAGATGATTTTTGAGGGGCATCTGATCTAATAGAGATACAGTTTGTGTATTTCTCATATTCGATTGACGACCACCCTCCTCAATATTTCGCCACGGGCTCTTTTACAAGATTTCCGAAGATTTGCTTGTTACATTTTTTTTGACTAGAGGAAGACAAATACTCACAAATTGTCAGACATGCTCAATATTCTACTTGTAAAAGGCCTTACTTACTTCCCCATACCAGGTCTAGCCTTTTTACAAGCTGTTGACGTGTACCTCTACGAAATAAAAACTTTGATTAACCCTTTTTATTTATTTACTTTCTTACAGAAATAATGCTAATATAAAACCCAACCTCTGGTGGTCTCTCTCATTAAATTCCCATCTTTTTTTCCATTTCAGTATGGAAATCCTTAACATTATTCCCACTCTCAAATCCTCCAGGATAAACATCTTCCCAATCAACAGTACTATCCCTATTCAACAACATATCTCTATGCATACCATCAACACCACCCAACACACTAGGTTTGAAATCAGTAGCTTCAATTATCTCTAATTCCATAGTACGTTTAATTGGTTCACCAGCTCCAAATACTCTTCTATACATCTCTAGTTTGGTATCTTGTTGTGTTTGGTCCCAATTGGTTATTCTACCTTCCAATGGATGACGATTGTTTAATTTCAGGGCAATGTTAAGTGGTCCTTCTTGTGTACGTAAGATATCTTGTAATCCTGGTGCATGTTCGGCTGCATCTCCGAATTTGGTGGTGTTTACTGACCCTTCGTTTTGATTATTAGGAATTATTCTTAATGACTAATTATTGAGTTAGTAGCTACGTCTTTCGCTGGCGATTGATTCAGGGTAGTATTACATACCATTGTTATTTTATATATATTATATTATCTATACTTGTTTTATTTAGTTTTTCTATTTTCTAAAGATAGGTTCCAATTTCAAAGTGGCAAACCAATTTTTTCAGTGAGAGAGAGTGACAGGAAAATATTGTGCACACATACACGACTAACAACTATCTGCAACACCCACCCTTACATTCTTTCAATAGGTTCATCAATTTCGTCAACCACATCGATTAACCTTTGACTTGGATCAAAATCGCTCTTTAACCATTGTGGAATAAACGACCATTCTTCAGGTTTCAACACCCCATTAAAACATAATGTTCCAAACACCAATACGGCAAACCCACTAAATTGCAACCAATAAAATGATTCCCATCCCATAATTATGGCAACTATCCAAACTAACAAGGTCCTGCAGGTGTCCACGGTAGATCTTGCTGTTGCAGACACCTGATGAGTAATTGACAACCCACAATAATTAAATGCGGCAATTGAAATCATAATACAAATTGATGAAATTAAAATTGGTCGATTAAAAATCACTTGTGAAAATGCTTCTTGTAAATTAAATGGTGATGTTTGGAATTGTTCAGGAGATTGAATAGATCCAATTATGAAATTTAAAAAAACCATAACTATCAAAAGGATCGAAGCACCAAAGAACCCCTCAATATAAACTAATTGTAATGGAATTATTGGGTGTTTTTCCAAAATATGTTCTTCAACTACAAACTGGAATGCTTGTAAGATTTCAGCAATCACAATCAATGAAATCCCAAATATGATCAATGCCCCAGTCTCATCCAATGAATCACTAGCTTCAGAATGTTTCGATCCACTTAATCCAACAAGTCCAACTCCTAACGTTACGAAAAATAATGAAATCCATTCAAGTTTACTAATATGTCTTTTCAAAAATATTACCGAAAGAATAGCCACAAATAATACAATTGATCCTCTTGTCATTTGATAAATAGAAACAGGAGTATAAACTAACCCAATATTAAGTAATGTCGTACCACATAAATCACAAATTGCCGGAATTGCCAATTTCAAATTCTGGAAAATCGAAGTTTCTTTCACTTCAACCTCTTCATCACCTTCTAATGCAACATATTGGGATCTGGATCTACTGTTTCGCTTATAAATCAACCAAAAGACAATATACATACTAAACTCCCCAATAAACATTTGCAATGTCTGTAATGCCGGCTGCTCAAAGTATTTATGCGTTGATAAATCAGGATTGTTACAATTGTGTACACATTGATTATCTTGATATTTGGTGAATAATGAATTAGCAGCTCCGGTAATTAACGTACCTGCTACGATTAAATAAAGGCCAAGCGACATATCCTCGTTGTTTCGTTTTGATTATTCTTTTGGAGTGATATTGTGTTTATGAAGTGTATGAAAGTATTCTATAAATACATAGATTTAAAACTCCTGTTTTCTTACTCTCTCTGTCCAAGGTGGCAAAGATAAAAATGTGGAGATAACAATTTGTCTGACAGATTTATTTTGGCGTAAAGTAATTTTCTGTTTCGTCGCCTAATTGGGAAATCCTCCACGATACAGGAATTGCACGTCTTTTCCTTGGGTTTTTAGCAATTGTCTACCCAATGGAACTCAAGAAGGTTCATCTTACAGCTTCAAATGTCATTAAAAACTATTATAGGGGACAATTGGCTGGTAATTGCAATAAAAGGTAATGAATACGACTTTCCTTCTGCGGAAATACTAATTTTAGCACGTATCACGTGATAAATTTGAGCCGCATGATGGTCATCTTAAATTCTCCACATTTTACCTAAAAACTGAATGATTTCTCCATATATTTGTGAACAATTATATATCTTTCTTTATATCTCTCGATAGCTAAGGTCAAAGAATAGCTATTTATCAAAACATCTTAAGAATTAATGAAATGGACGCTGTATAAAGTTAGGATAAAGAAATTGTTGTCTAATTGAACACCATAAATCATGATATTTCATACAATAATAATATCAAAGAAACAAATCTACCTTGGTCAATATTATCTAATCTATTAATAATAACCTTATGCTAAATTTCAAATCCCATTTGTTAACAAAATTGTTGTCAAATCATTGCAAATACCTTCAATATATCCAAAAAACAACCCATCTTCAATCTCCCTCGCTGACTAAGCAACACCATACAAAATCAATTTTTCTTACGTAATCAATAGGTGTTACCCGCACATATCCCATCTCAAAAATGTACCAAAGGCAACCAAAAAAAAAATTTTCATACATAATTAATTTTAAATTTCCCTTATCCCTTATTTCTAGTTATCGATAATTGAAGAATCCAACTTTCAATTACTATTTTTCTAATCACATCTATATAAATACAATAACATAATGGGTTTCGGAGCTCCAAGAGGCAGAGGCGGTGACAGAGGTGGCCGTGGTGGTTCAAGAGGTGGATTCAGAGGTGGTCGTGGCGGTGGTGACCGTGGTGGCCGTGGTGGTGCCAGAGGTGGATTCAGAGGTGGCCGTGGTGGTGGTGACCGTGGTGGTCGTGGTGGTGTCAGAGGTGGCCGTGGTGGTGCCAGAGGTGGAAGAGGTGGTGCCAGAGGTGGTGCTAGAGGTGGTGCCAAGGTTGTTATTGAACCACATAGACATGCTGGTGTTTTCATTGCCAGAGGTAAGGAAGATTTATTGGTTACTAGAAACATCGCTCCTGGTGATTCTGTCTATGGTGAAAAGAGAGTCACTGTCGAAGAACCAGCTACTGAAGAAGGTGCTGCTCCAACTAAGATTGAATACCGTGTTTGGAATCCTTTCAGATCTAAATTGGCTGCTGGTATTATGGGTGGTATTGATGAATTAGGTATTGCTCCAGGTAAGAAGGTTTTATATTTGGGTGCTGCTTCCGGTACTTCTGTTTCCCATGTTGCTGATGTTGTTGGACCAGAAGGTTTAGTTTATGCTGTTGAATTCTCTCATAGACCAGGTAGAGAATTAATTGGTATGGCCAAGAAGAGACCTAATGTTATTCCAATTATTGATGATGCTCGTCATCCACAAAAATACAGAATGTTACTTAGTATGGTTGACTGTGTTTTCGCTGATGTTGCCCAACCTGATCAAGCTCGTATTATTGCCTTAAACTCTCATTTATTCTTAAAGGATGGTGGTATTGTTGTCATTTCTATTAAGGCTAACTGTATTGACTCCACTGTTGATGCTGAAACTGTCTTTGCTAGAGAAGTTCAAAAATTAAGAGAAGAAAGAATTAAACCATTGGAACAATTAACTTTAGAACCTTATGAAAGAGACCATTGTATTGTCGTTGGTCGTTATATGAGAAGTGGATTAAAGAAATAAACTCTTTAATTTATCAGAGCTCCTTTTATAAATTTTTTTAAGTTTCTTCTTTGCATTGGTTCTAGGTTCATGTCGGTTATTTTTTATTTAGAAATGATCTAAATCACAATTTGTACATTATTTTTATCTGTAATTATCAATATATACACTATTTTGGTCTGATTCTTTTGTATTTCTTGTTTCATTGTTTTTGTATTGCAAGTGAGGCTGCATCAGTATCGAAGCTGCTTTTTTTAATCACTGCTCGATCATGGCTCTTTCTTGTCCTTGGTTATCTTCAGAAGCGCTTGTTGTAGAAAGAAGACAAAAATTGATTAATCTGCACAAAGAAGGTGCCAGTCGAGAACAGCAGGCTTTCATTTCTTGTAGGACACTACCTGTACTAATTGTATAATTCTTTCAGAGATACTTGTAGGAAAAGGCAAATTAAATTTTGCAGCCAGACTTCTTTTTTTGCCTTGCCCGGGGCTATTTCAAACACGTCAGAGAATTGGACCTTCAACACCGAAGTGTCCTACTGACCACAAATAGTAGAGGCTTTTTATAAACTATTTTTGTCTCTGCTTATATTGGCTAGTATTTTACGTATCCATAAGTATATTGTCTCGGTATTCTCTCGATGGTAATAAGAAAAATAATGGTTTCTGGAATGTTGAAACCTGCACAAAAAAACTAGACTCTACAATTGTCAGAAGATGAGAAAAAAATTTTCGTTGAATCAATTGGAAGTTTGAAGTTTGATGAGATTTTTTATTTCTCTCACTCAATTTTCTGCCTTTCTCTTTTCCTCTTTAAGAAATTTCAAAGTTCTTAACACCCTCCACTCAAAAGCTATACCAAAAGTCTTTTAAGCGATCTAAAGTCATATATACAAATAAGTCATCATCATTTGATCAATATCATATAGACATATATATATTACTTTTAACCCCGAATTAGAAACACTGAAATAACAGCAAACCTCGTACCGAAAAATCAATTCACAGAAAAATGTACTCCAGAACTCGTAAATCTCAATCATCAGATACCAATGGCAATTTCGAATCACATGATCTGAATCCAACAGGAAATAGTACTACAACTGCTAGCTATACTCCTATTCCAACTATTCCAATGAATAAAGGCGGCAAGCGTTATACTATGAATGAAGTATTTCAAGTATGGTACGACAATAAAGATCAAATCTTGAATCCAGCAACTGAAATTCCAATCAAAGCAAGTGAAGGTTATAAATTAACTAAACCAAGTCAAATTTATCATTTAGAATTGCAACCTACCAATTTGAAAGATGATTTTGGATCTCAAAATGAATTACGAGAAGAAACTACTCAAATCAATGATTCGTTGGACAAATTATCCATTGGAGATGAGGAAGGTGTTGCAACTAGTATTGCTAGTGCGACTGGTGTGACTGGTGGAACTACTGGTGCTACTTCCTCGACATCAGGTCCACCTCCTGGAATTGGACAACCTTCAGATCATGGACAACATTCGATTTCACCTGCTCCTTTGGTTACCTCGGATAAGATTAAATGGCATTATATTGATCCTATGGGAAATGAACAAGGTCCATTCAATGGAGATATGATGCAAGAATGGCTTACTGGAGGGTATTTGAATCTTGACTTGAAGATTCGAAGAAAAGAGGAAACTACTTTCAAGACTCTTAAGGATTTATGTGATGGTTTACAAAACTACATTCAACCTTTTAAGGTTCCACTTCCTGATTTAACTGTTGCTCCACCACCTCCTCCTCCAGCTCCAGCACCGGCACCGGCGCCAGTGTCAGCTGCCCCGGATACGAATCAATTCTTTTCACCACATAAACTACATGAAAACCCTCAACTTCCAGCTCAATCCCAATTTCATCAATTCCTTTCTTCCGCAGAAGCGCAAACAAGTAATTTAGGTTCATTGAGATTATCAGGTCTTGGAGGTCCACAATCCAATTTATTTGGCAATGATTTTATGAAATCAGATCCATTTGCTCAACCATTAACACCTCAATCCGCTACATTTTCCCAACCTGGAGGTCATTTCGGATTGGATGCATTCAATCCCCATCATCCTGTTCATCACAATTTAGGATTCTCCAACCCATTACAACATCCAGGTATGCCGTCTTTACTCCACCACCAACAACAAGTTCCTCAACCTTCAATGGCTAGAGTTAATAGTGGATGGGGATTAGAACCTACTTCAGCAAACCTTATGGGTAATGTATCTTCCAATCCAGCCACTCCTGTCCCCGTGAATCCAATTTTGACTAATACTACTCAAATTAATCAATCTACTGCTGCTCCTATTTCTCCTTGGATTTCAGGTGGGGTTCAATCTCTGTCAAGAGTTAGTTCTCCATTTGCACCTAGTTCAACTATTAATAGTAGTAATAATAATCTTAGTGGTCTGGAGAATGTTAGTCCTGCTATTCCAAGTACTGCAAGTAGTAAAGAAGCATTACCTGCTGTTGCAAGTGAAGATTCTGTTTTACATGATATTCATAGTTCTGTTGTGACTGATATTTTGGGAGAAGAAGAAGTTCCACAAAAGCAACAACAGCAACCTGTTCAAACACCAAAGCAAAAGAAGACTAAGCAACGTAAACAATCAATCCCTGAACCTGAACCAGTCGAACATATTGAACCAGTACACGAAGAAGTTATTGCCCAACCTGAACCAGAACAAGAACAAGAAGAAGAGGAAGAAGATGAAGAACCAATCAAGCATGCAGTTGATTTAAAACCAGCCGTTCCACAAGAATTAGCACCATGGGCAACCAAGCAAGACATCAAAAAACCAGCTATGACCTTGAAAGAAATCCAAGAATTAGAAGCCAAGAAATTAAAAGAACAAAGAAAGATCGAAGCCCAAATCAGAAGTGAGCAAGGTGCCAAAGCATGGGCTGAAGAACCTTTGTCATCTCCTAGTGAAAAATCAATCCCTTCCCTTCCTGCAACTTGGGCCTCTACTACTTCCGCCCCTGTCGTGACTAAAACTTTAGCTGAGATTCAAAAGGAAGAAGCAGAAGCTAAAGCCAGAGCTGCTGCCAAAGCTGGTGTATCTAGTGGCGGGGTTCCAATCCAAAAGACTTCTTTTGCAAGTGCGATTGCCGGTTCTACTCCAAGAGACGACGGACCAGCTTGGACAACTGTTACTTCTAAGAAATTAGCTCCAGCTAAAAAACCAACTACCGCCAGTATGCTCGCATCTTCTGCAGCTCCTACTAAAGTTACTCCACAATTGTTACGTTCTGTCTCAGCTGCCAAACCAGTCCAATCTACTGTGAATGCAACTGCAGTCAGGGAAGATTTCTTAGTATGGGCAAGATCTAATATGACTAATTTATATCCATCAGTTTCCAAAAATGATTTATTAGATATTTTTATCACCTTACCTGCCAATTCTTCCGATTCTGCTCAATTGATTTCTGAAACTATCTATAGTTCATCAGCAACTATGGATGGTAGAAGATTTGCTCAAGAGTTTTTGAAGAGAAGACAAAAGGTTGATCAAACCATTGGTGGGGCTAATGATTTGGTTGCATGGTCGGCTGCGGTTATTTCGTCGGCTGATAAAGTACAAACCGTGGATGAAGATGGTTGGACTAGTACTGTTAAGTCAAAGAAGAAGGGAAAGAAGTTTTAAGAAACGGTTTTTTGTTGTATATATATATAATTTTTTAGGTTGTGTTGTAAAAAGAAAAATAGAAAATAGGGACATTAGTTGGTCCTGTTCATATTTACACTTAGTTCTCATTGTAGTTAATTGACTTTGGGGTTATCTGATTATTGATAATGAATGTTCATTTCGTTAAGAATAGCAATTCAATTCCATTTTTTGCAACACTTGGAAAGGAGACATTTTCGAAAACACCAAATGTCGTGCGTGTTGATAATGTCTCGTGGTCAGGTGCTTTAGAATCATCTCCTGCCTGCCACTCCCACTCCGTTTTATACTTTAGGAATTTCTATTTACAATACAAGAGTGATCTGATTTTGAAGATCTCTGCTTATGTGATTTTAGAAATGACACACATTCTGTGGGTAGATGTATCTGTATTCCTGGTTATGTGCTCCCCACTATCAAAAATAAAAAGCTGTTCATTTTGTTGACGAAATTTTACGAGAATTTTTCTGCGATCTGGAACTAAAAATCTTTTTCATTGTTTACTTTTTTTATCTGATCTTCCATTTGATCATCATCATCAATATCCTACTTTATACACACACAACGTATGCCTTGTTTCTTTAAGAGTTTATTCCAACTCATATTAGGAATCCTAGTACTTGCTTATATTATCAAGTTCTTTACAGAATCTTCAGATAAGCTTACTGATGTTCTTAAGAATGTTGAAATGAAAGAACATGTACCTATCTAAAGGGGGAGATAGGGGAAATGATTCAGGTGGCGTAGATAAGGGGAAGAGTATGTTGCTGAGTACTGAGATGAAGTCGTGTGAAAGAGAAAGGGGGTGGGGGACACTATCTTCTATGCCTGGGCATAATAAATTTGTCAGTTGTTGTAAGAAAATATCTGATCTGTTGGAAAGTCGATTCAAAAACAAGAAAAGTTAATTGATATGATATCCCCTGAATTCATTAGAGAAGCTTACGATTTAGATGGTTGTTCTTCTTGCCCATTAATGTACATTAAATTATATATATGTTTTATCCTTTGTTGTTTAGCTTATTTATTTATTTATTTAGCGCTTGTTTATTAATAATTTATATTCTTTGTAATACCCTTATGTTTATATCCCTATAAATACCTTTTATCTATTGATTTGATGATGCCTTTCCAAGTATTTGTGAAATTACTTCGACATTTTCTTGTGGAATCATAATGACCCCAGATTTAGCCATTGAAAAATAATTCAATTCAAATAAATAATCATTATGAGTTAATCTCATCCCATTAATTAATTTACTGGCAACACCAGCAACAATCCCAGTACTATCCAAAGGCAATTTTGAAAAATCAATCATTATAGGAATAATGATATCTTGAGTTGAACCTATAATATATTTTGAATCAAATCCCATTTTATTTCTTCTTTTTGATGATCTTGGTAAAATTAATGAAACTTCATTTATTGAAGTTCTTGTTATAGCAAAATAATCTGGAATATTCGTAGGAATTGATAAGATTTTAGATGTTTTTGCAATTGAATTACTAACTTCTCCGGCTCTTGCTCCGGTTAATAATAACTTAACATTCTCATGAATACTTGGTTTAATATTAGCTTGATTGAATAATTTAAATGTATGATCTTCTAATGCTCTTGTACTACTATGGGCTGCTTCACTATTAGGGGTATCAGTACTATCACTTAATGATATATAACTATTGGAAATATCAGAGAATTCAAAATACTTCTTAGTCAAGATATTGACTACTTTATCTTTTAAATCATAAGGTATCAATACAATATCATTAAAATGACTAGAAAGGAAAAACAATGAAATATTGTTTTCTGATAATGGTTCAGTTAATTCCAATATTCGTAAACTTCTATCAAAACTACCATCACTATCAACTTGAAGACTTATATATGATTCTGGTAATAATTGTACATTGTCATAATTCAACTCAGAACATACTTTAATTGCTTCTTTGAAATAACAATCCATTAATCGTGATGAACATACGATAGTACATTCAGTGGGAGTCAATGCAATATGGAAAAAATAATTCTCACTATCATCATCAACATCTGGCAGTTGTTGTCTAATATTATCCTGTGGTTGATCTTGTTCTGGTAAAATATCAGCAAAATTCTCCGATGAATCTCTTGAAGTCACTTTACTTGAATTATCAACTGGCATTCTATAATAATCATCAGATATAGATTCATATGAGTTTTGATTACCACTTCTTGACAAACTCATGTGTCTTCTAACACCATTAGTGTCTCCGGAAGTAGATTGGTAGCCCGGCTCTTGTTCTTGTGTCTCATCCTCATCTTCATCTACGTCATCTTCTTCCTGGGTAGTATATCCACTGCCTGATTTATGAGATTCTTGTTGTAGTAGTTGTAGTATAGACGAAGTAAATAGCCAATACTTGTCTCTTGGCATTGAAAGGATCGATAGCCTGGTTGGGTTAAGATGAACTTGTGTACTCATATCGTCCTTGATTCTTTCTGTAACTAAAAAGGGATATCGTTAGCGACTTATTATTATGTCTGATGAAGAAGAAGAAGAAAGAAAGAAGGGAAATCAAGAAAAGGATAAAAATTTGAAAAAGACTGTCTGGGTATCCAAGTGTGTCTGTCTGTATTTACGTGAAAATCGCAAGAGGGGTAGATTGAAAAAATTTTAAACAAAGACTCATTTTTTGAAAAATAATATTTTTTTTTTAAATCCATTGCGATGATTCATTGCGGAGATCCCTTGATTTTAACTGTGGCCTCGGTGTTAAAGTGTGTTAAGAGTCACGTTACATGCTGGTTGGAAAAACTGTGTAAGTTAAGTTATGCCACAAAACCCTAATTTACACGGTTAGTTTCCGAAATCTGCCGATGATGAATCATTTTGGAACAATTTAGAAGGAAAAAAATTAATTAAATTCAGGAACAATTTACAATAAGAAAATTTCCGGAGTTAGAATTTCCGCATTCCGTTCATTCCCGGTGTAAAACAAAATTTTGCAATGGTTGTTACGTACCGTATTAGTTACTGAAAATTGACTCATATACACATAAAAGATCTTTTTAATAAAAATTACCGAGAGATAAAACTAAATCTATACATCTCCCAAATGTTGACGTTCATAAAAGGTTTCATACAATTCAATGGCTTCTTTCTGTGATTCAATTGAACTTTCTATGAAAATTTCAACACTATTTCTAAAATCATCAATTCTTTCAAATTCAAAATTTTCTAATTCTTGTTTAATAGTTTCACTAATTGTTTTAAAATTAATTTCAAAAGTACTGGTTTTTTGTTTTAACTTATCAACTTCAAATGTTAACAGATTAATCTTATCAATATATTGAGCACGATTATATTTCCGTTCTAATTTATCTAATTGACCTTGTTTCTTAATTAATTCTTGGTTAAAATTATAATATTGTGTATAAATCTTCATTCTAGTTTCAAACACAAATTTAATCAGTCCTATTATCCGTAAATATTCTTCAATTGTGAACCCTAAAGTTAATTGATCTTGTAAATTGATTCGATCTAAATTATCCTTAATCTTCAATTGTATATCACTAAACGCAGCCAATAACTCACTGGTAACCTTCAGAATCTCCAATGCAGATAACTCATCCAATGTAAGTGATATCTCATCCAATACAACAACCATATCTGCTCTTTGTTGTCCAATAACTTCAATTGCCTTGTAGAATTGTTTGAGATTATACTCCAAATCTTCAATATATTGTTTCCTCTCAATAAAAAATTCATCAGGTTCATTTATTCTAGTAGACATAGAAAACAACGAACTCATAAATCCACCAGCACCACTTCCTCCACCACCAACAACATTTATCCCACTCAAACTCCCGGTAGAACTGCTTGAATCATTATCTCCAGCACCTGGAGTCCCACCACCTCCTCCACCAGCACCATCAAGTGATTCACTATTTTGAGTAGATGCACCAGATCCGGATAATCTTTCCCGTTCACGTGATTCATTAATGAAATCATCACTAACCAAAAACATAACAAAATCGGGATCATTACATAATATTGGAATATGGCTTATTTTACTTAACATTTTTTCAAGTGATAATCGTCTATTTTCAATGAAATTTTCATTAAATCTTCCAATATATGTTTGTTTTGATGGTGGAGGGGGGATTATTTTCCCAGGATGGTTGTTTTGTAATTGATGATATATCCATCTGAAATCTCTATATCTTCTCGTAACTTCAGTAGTATCATTTTGGGGGAAATTAGGTGATTCTAAATTTTTGTTTCTTGTTTTGATTGTGTATACTATATGGGCATTTGTAATATCACCAATCTTCATGGGATCTCCAACTGATATATCCAAAACATTTTCTGTAGCCTTGGGTTGGTCTGAAGTTGGGGTCTTTTTCTTGATCTTTGGAGTTGCATGTAATCTTTCATCTGCTGGATTGATATTATAAAGTGGTGCATCAATTTCTTGGGCCATTGATGCTGCAACACTAGATATTGGAGAATTATCTGATGATTTATCATCGTCCTTGTTTTCATCCTTACCCAATGGACCTAAAGGATTACTTCCCTCAGTATTCAAATGTTTAACATTGATCTTGGAAGTAAATTTTCTCGGTCTAGTAGCTTTAAATTGACTATGTTTGATATTTATTGGTTTACTCGGAGAAGTAACCTTCATTTGATCTTGTTTGTTGATCTTAATTGGACTTCCCTTATCATTGAATAAAGATTCTGATGGAGTGACTTTCTGAGGTGAAATCACTGATGATTCAAGCATTAATGGACGTTCTTCAGAACCTTGCGTCAATTCCGATAGAAGTTGATTCTTATGTTCTTTCCTTTCCTCTTTTCTTAATTCCTCCTGCTGTTCATTCTCAGCTTGAACTGCATTGTAGAAGTCATTCTGAGTATGGATAGCTTCACCTTGTTGTTGTTGTTGTCTTTCGTCATCTTCATCATCATTCTCGTCGTCTTCATCAGCATAATCATCTCTATAATCACCAAAATGGCTAGCTGAAGGCATGCTACTACTGCCAAATCCCATTGGACTGGCAAATGGATCATCCATTGAAAGAGAATTAAATTGATTACCCAATGGTGCAATCATAGAACTGTGTAAATTTGTGGAGTTGTTGGTATTGGAGGTAGTGCCTGTTGGAGTAGAAGCGAATTCATCTCGAGGGGACAAAACATCATCCCAGTGGGATGCAGTAAGGTCTTCGTTATCCATCTTTTCTATTAATTGCCGGATTGATTATAAATTAGTAACACTTAGTTAGTCCCTATTGTTTACTTGATTGTAGGCTGGGCTGTGTGGCAAGCAAACAAAAAGTTGGAGGAGAGAGAATAACAAGTTTCCCAAGTTTTTTTTTTCCCTCCGTCATTTTCTACAGGAACGATAAATAATCTGACGGTTCTAATACACAGTAAACCCATATAGAGATAAGACATTTGGCATTGATGGAAGCATTGATCTTTGTAGAAACGTTATGTAACGTATGACAATAGAAAACACCCACCAAACCGGCAAAAAAAAACAAAGGGGCGAGCTGGGAATTGAACCCAGGGCCTCTCGCATGCTTGTAGTAATCAACCTGTTTCCAAGTCGTCGCCCAAAGCGAGAATCATACCACTAGACCACACGCCCATTTCCAAAATTTTGGAAAATTCCACTTTTATAACATAACTGTTTTAAATCATTATATGCAGGAATTTGGGCCTTATATGCAAACTTTTTTCTGCTGGGAGATCTATATGCAGTTTTGATGATGTTTTTTTTGGCTGCAAGAATTCGATAATTTTGATTTAATAAAAGGTCAAAGATTTTGTTATTGAACAATTTTCTCCGTATAGTTAATCAATGATCAGTTTCAAGTTCGGTCAAGCTAATTAATATTGCTTGGGGAAAAAGGAGAACCCAAAGAAAGTGGTTTTAATAATAGGCTTTCTGTATGTTAGTATGTATAAGAACTCAATAAACAGATTGTATATGTAAAAAAAAAAAAAAATAGGCGACTTCAGGATAATCAATCCAGAATAACCTATCTAAAAAAAAAACCCAATCTGGTTGACTGAAAAGTTGTTCCATTTAAAGGGTATTGTGACTAAAACTAGCCCATCTAGGAGTTTCTTCGATGGGTTATTTAGTGTCTCGTCATAGCTCTTGACATTAAATACAAATATTATTGTTTTTCTGTTTGTTATATTTCTGTATATTAGTATGTATATGAACTCAATAAACACATTGTATATGTAAAAAAAAAATGAGTGAATATTGGTATCCAGCGTATTTATTTTATGTGAAATAGTCGTCAAAAGTGAGGCTGGCTAAACACACCAGATGCCATCCGCAAACTAAATATCCCCCTGTAAGTTGTTATTCCAGAGTCATTTCCCGAGTCTATCACCTAGCGCCTTCTTCTTCATGTGAAGTAGAATTGTAAAGTCATGATTGTTTACAAGTTACATATGAAAGTAGAGATATTCTAAGATAGAAAGTGAATAGGTAAAAAAGGTTTTATGAACGCACGAATGCGATCTAAATAGGCAGTTGAATTCTACAGCTTTTTTTGCAGCCAAAAAAACCTGAATCAACCCGAGAGACTTTTCTAGGTGAACTCACAAGAATATACTTCCTAATTGATATAAATATTTCTAATTGCAAAATTTACAGCTTTATACCTATACAGGGCCTAATAAGTCAAATTAAGAAATATTATAAAAACCAATTAAGACATGTTTCTTAGCGAAAAATCAATAGCTAACCTTTTCTGCTCTTTTTTGAAGGTGGTGGCGAGTCCAAAACATTGAAAATTGAGAATACATCATCCTTTGCTTCATTCGTTAATTGGCCTTTGGCATTAGGTTTGGCGGAAGCTCCGCGTTTTCTAGAAACAGGCAATTTGACAGCATTTGGACTTGAAGACACTTCTGCTTCAATTTTGGATAACGGTGGACGCTTTTCATCTTTGTTTGAACTAAGTACCATTTTATTTCTTCTGTTTCTCTGACGAGAAGCCTCTGATGCATTACTCTTAGATTCCAGTATATTTCTTTTCACAACCTCAGATATGACAGAATTCAATTCCTTTTCAGGAACTTTGTTTCTAGAATTTTTGGAAGCCGCAATTCTATTCTCTCGTTTGATTTTTTCATTCTCGGTTTTCAAAGAAACTATTTTCTCTTTGAGTGTTTGTAGTTCTGTTTCTTGAGACTTAATATGGTTTTGATTATTATTATTTGATATTTCCAAGTGGTTGATAGAAGCTTTGGAATCCTGGATTTCTTTTTCGCACAGCTGCAAAATCTGTTTCTGCTTTTCAAATTGAAGAAGTAATTCCTTTCTTTCTATAGTTTCTGTAGCTAGCTGCGTTTCTAAATCACTTTTATTAGACAACAACCCTTCGATTCTTGAGTCTCTCTGCTGAATTTCCTCTTCTAATAATGATATCTTCTGTTGAAGTTCTTCCATTTGCTGTATATTGCTTACATTGGAATTTGCAGCCACTGTTACTCGTTCTAATTCTCCACTAGTTTTGACCAATTCCAGTTCTAGAGAGGATATCTTATGGTTAAGTTCTTTGATTTCCAAACCTGCTTCTTTGAGTTTATTTTTCCCTTCCCGTTCAGTTTTAGACATGCGGCTTGCTTTCTCTTTCAAAGAATTTTGCAAAGTTGATAGTTTATTTTGAAGTTTCTCTTCAATCTTCTTGGATTCTGCGATTTGATTACTCATGGAAAGCTTTTCTTGATTCAAACTTGCAATAGTCAGTTCTTTTTCTTTTAAGCTTTCTTCTGCTGAAATTAGCTTCCTCTGGAATTCATTATATCTTTGCAGTGCCTCCCCTTCTTTCTCCCTCAATGATTCATTTTGTTCTAGGGCTTTCTGAAGTTTTAACTCCATATTTTTAAATTGCTTATCCCTTTTAGATTTTTCTTGAGAATATATCGAGGATGATTGTTCAAGATCAGAAATTTTGCTATCTTTCTCTTGTAACAAACCATGTAGAGATCGAACCTTGTTCTTAAGCTCTCTTTGTTTTAGTTTCTCTTCGTTGAGCTCGTTTTCACATTCTTTAATTTCAAGCTGTAACTTGTTAATGTTCGCTTCCATATGGTTCCCTGTATTTAGTAACTTTTGGTTAGACTTTTGAAGATCTGAATTCCAAGCTCTGAGATCCACGATAGTTTGTCGGTCTAAATCTATCTTCTCGTTAAACCTGGCCATTTCCTGTAGAGTCTACAAATTTAATTCTTCTAGATAATTAAATGTGTTTTCTGTATTTCCCTTTATCCCAAGTTCCATTTTCTCCATCAATTCAGTCATTTCCTTGGTATTCCCCTTTTTGTTTGCTATGAGGAGATCTTCTATGGAGGATATACCTTTTTGAATTACTGCGGTAACGGATTTTTCTGATTGATCTAAATATCCTTCAATACAACTTGAAACTACTTGCGCATTGTCATTTTGAAGTGAATTTATTTTATTCAAAGTCTCACCTTGAGACTCTTTAAAGAGAGTGCTAATCTGTGAGAAAATCCCAGACATTAAATCCTTTTGAAGTGCAAGAAATTTCAATTCATTTCCTTCCTTTTCATTCATTTTTTGCTGCAATTTTGCAACTTGAATTTTTTCCTCCGAAAGGTTACCAGACGTTTCATCGAGATTTCTTTCCAAATTTTTTATAACTATTTGTTGCTTTTCAATTTCATGTTTACTCTGAACAGAAAGAGCTTTGAAAATGGCAAGTTTAGTATTGGCATCACCAACGGTCCTGGAAATCTTTTCATTCTTTTCTTGGATTAATTGGAGTTCTCGGTTTATATCTTTTAATCTAGCGTCTTGCTGTATCTTTTCTTCGTTCAATTTTGCAAATTCTGATCCAAGAGTTCCCAACTTCTCGAGTGTGGCAGCAAAACTGCTCTTAAGTGAAGAGTTCTTTTGTTTAGCATCAGCTAACTCGTCTTCCCTTCTGCAGTACAATTCTTCTTTTTGCTTAAGTTGGGTGTTTAGTTTCTCGATTTCCTCTTCCTTTTTGGAAGTCTGATATTTAGAATTTTTTAGTTCACCTAATAAGTTAGCATTCACGTTTTCTAGCTTTCTAATCAACTCCCCATAAGTCTCTGAAAGAGTATCATTAGAAGCAGCTTTGTCTAACAGTGGAGATAGCTGCAGGTTTCTCGAGGCAGAAAATGACAAGCGTGGCTTCTCCTTGCTAGTTGCTATTCTCGAATTCAAATCTGCATTTCTGGTGATTATTGGGGTACCCAATGGTTTTCTTGAAAATAATCTTGGGACAACTTTCTTCTGTGGCTGATGCAATGCTTGATCCTCTAACTTGATATTCAGTTCCTTGGCTGTCTTTAAATCTCTAGCATCAATGGATGTGTTTTCTGTTTCTCTATGGGACGTGTCATCTTCAGTCTGATCAAACGAAGTTGAATATTCTGAAGTGGTAGTAGTATCAATCTCCTCCGTCTGATTATTGTTATAGTCAATTTGGTTAAGAGTTCTTGATTCTTTAACAAATGGCAATAGTGGTCTTGATTCATTAGCAATATCTGTGAAGAAATTAGACATGGTGTCTTAGTCACTTTCGAATGTTGTGTTGGATGTGTCGACAGAATTTTGGTTGCAAAACTTTTTGTTTTTCGCCCCTTGGAAACTGATTCCTCTCATTCAAGATTTCCTAATTGCAAAACCAGATTTCTACTCCAGTCACTTTTCACTTGAGATATTTGATTTGGTTGTTGTATGAATTGATAGAGCATATAATTCCTTTCACAAATCAGCAAGTCAGCAACTCAGTTGGTTTTGTAGACCTCCGATTTGTTCACAATTTTAGAAGAGATTTTGACAAAATATTGATGATCCATTATCCACTCAAAAATTTATGTAGACTACTAACGAGTGAAAAATTTAAGTCAATTTAAAGCAAAACTTCACCGTGGACCTCTAAGTTGATATAGGGTTTGATTACAGTATCTGATATATATGTGATTACTGAATTTTGTTGAGTCCGTGTCTCTATGGAATTTGCAACCACAGCAATTTTCGGAAAACATTTCAGTTTTCCGACCCTAGTCACATGAAAGTCACACGAAAATCATGTGAAAATCACGCATAAATCACGTGATCGACGGAATCGCCTGGTCCAGATTTTTCGAAATTGAAAAAATGGAGGGTTGGCCGAGTGGTCTAAGGCGGTAGACTTAAGATCTACTGGACAGTGTCCGCGCGAGTTCGAACCTCGCATCCTTCATTATTTTTTTTGCAGCATTTCCAAATGAGTTTATGGTTATGTAGCTGTTCAGACCACAGTTAATGATAGGCAATGTCATTGTTTTTACATAGAGTGATAGATAATTCGTACTTGTCACAATTTAATTAACTTTATTTTATTTAAATAAATATATAGAAGAGATAGAATTGAATTTTCTTTGCGTTATTTCTATTTACCAATCAAACATACTTCTAATGATGGATTGGGAAGGCAGTAGATGGTTTCAAAAGTTCTTCATCGATCAAATTAGACTTCCAAGCAGCAGTGATAGTCTTTGGCTTAGTCAAGAATGTGATACCTGATTTACCGTAGAAGTTCAAATCACCCAAGAATGATCCTCTTGAACCAGTGAAAGAGAACATTGGTAAAGGTACTGGAATTGGAACATTGATACCAACTTGACCACAATCAATTCTCTTGGTGAAGTATTGAGCAGAACCACCGGAAGCAGTGAAAAGGGAAACACCATTACCATATCTATTAGCATTAATTAGTTCAATTGCTTCATCAATAGTATCAACGTTGATTACAGATAAGACTGGAGCGAAGATTTCTTCATCATAAGCTCTCATACCTGGCTTAACACCAGTTAAGATAGTTGGAGCTAAGAAATTACCATTGGCAAAACGGGCATCTTCTGGCTTGAAACCTCTACCATCTAATTCAACCTTAGCACCTTCTTTAACAGAATGAGCAATGATTTCTTCAGCTCTAGTAACACTTTCTGGGTTAATCAATGGTCCTAAATCACTCTTTTTGTCAAATCCGCTACCAGTAACCAATTTTTGAGCATCCTTAACGATATCTTCAACCCATTCTCTAGTCTTACCAACGGTAACTAAAACGGAGATAGCCATACATCTTTGACCAGCAGCACCAAAGGCGGCACCGTTAATGGCATTAATGAATTGTTGCTTGTGAGCATCTGGTAAGACAACCAAGTGGTTCTTAGCACCTAAATTAGCTTGAACTCTCTTACCTAAAGAAGTACCCTTTTCATAGATATATTTACCAGCCTTGTCACCACCAACAAAGGTAACAGCCTTAATTCTTGGATCTTCAAGTATTTTGTTAACAGTATCGTGTTTACCATGAACAACATTAAGAACACCAGCTGGGACACCGGCTTTGGCAGCCAATTCACAAATGATCATAGCAGCACCTGGAACTCTTTCAGATGGTTTAAGGACAGCAGTATTACCAGTAACTAAAATCAATGGTAAAGACCATAATGGAACCATAGCTGGGAAATTGAATGGACAAATGGATGCAACAACACCCAATGGTTCTCTAATCATTTTAGTTTCCATATCAGTAGAGACTTCTAAAGTTTCTCCCTTTAAATCATTAGTAATGTTACAAGCGGCTTCAGCAACTTGTAAACCACGAGTGACATCACCTTGAGCATCGACAAAGGTTTTACCTTGTTCTAAAACAATCACAGAGGCTAATCTATCCATGTTTTCCTTTAATAATTGAACAAATTTGAAAGCAATACCTTGACGTTTAATAACACTAGTTTCTCTCCAGGTTTGGAAAGCAGCATTAGCAGAAGCAATAGCGGCATCTAATTCTTCTGGAGTAGATTGTGGAACTTTAGAAACAACATGGTTAGTGGTTGGGTCATGGATGTCAAACCATTGTTGTGATTCAGATTTGATAAATTGACCATCAAGGAAACTTGGAGTTAAGTATGGTTCGTCATTTTTACCAGTATGATCAGTGGGGAAGCTAGTGGTTGTTGAAGATAAAGCAATAGATTTATATCTCATTACTGTATTTTGCACAGCTTTCAAAGGGGAACCAGAAGCAGCTCTTGGGAATAAAAGGGTCATTTTCTTTAAGGATGATAATGAAGATGAAGAAAACATATTGAAAAAAAGAATTATAAGTTTGAAACCTTTAAACCCAAGGATCAATCAATCTATTTATACCCCATAAAGTTATAAAGACAGCAATGCCGGATTGCCAAAGCCGATTTAGGAATATACTGCATATAGTCTCGAGTGGAGATTTGTAAAGTTTAACTTCCCCCCTCCCCCACCATTTTTTTTTTATTTTTCCATGGATAATTTAGCCTTCAATACCCGAACCCACCCAAACGTAGATTTCTTAGCGCGAGTATCTTTCCTAATTGAGAGTTTTAGTGATGGCGACCCTGGATAAATAAATTTTTCATTCCTCGGGATAGTCGTTTTCTATGATGAGTGAAATAGAGTGTACTTCAAGATAGATTTGTGTTATGGACATGTAGACCAAGATGACACAAAACGAGAAACGGGAATCGAAGTACGAAAATTCTAAATTCTAAAATAGATTGCAACATGAAGAAAAATTAGTCTAGAAGCACTGGGATTTTTCGGCGGTCGCATCGCGGTTGCCGTATGGATCAAACTAAAAGTGAAAAATTCTGGATCAACTTTACACGCGTTTGCATATTAATATAGAGATAACAATGTTTATTAAAAAAATGTATAATTTGTATAATTTATAACTAATTACTAAGAGAAAAGCCAATCAACGAAAAAGACAACCTAAAAACATCTATCTTCTTTCTAATGTTTATGGTAATGTTCATCATTCCATAAATCATAATATAAATCCAACAAACATGAACTACTCCATGCTTGGGTTGGACTGGAATCATGACAAATTGCCCCATCTTTATTAGACAACTCAGTTAAACCAGCCCATGGAGTTGCTTTGATCCATTTGATATTACCCTGTAATCTTTCTTTCAATTCAGTTAATATCTTATCTGAAGGATCACCAGATTTAGTATGAGAAAGTGAATCCCCAATATAATGAAACAATAAGAATGCTCGTAAGAAATATCCAAGATTCCAAACCCATTCAGGTCCTTGATGATAATTTCTTCCTTTGGAAGTTGCAAAATTATCACTATCTTCACTATTGTTATAATATGGATGATAGTTCCAATCATCAGGATCTAAAGTTCTCATACCAACAGGACCACGAATTACTTTATCAGCAAGTCTTAATGCACCCAACGCTTTCTCAGGACTAAATAATTCTGGAGCAGCACACATAGCAATCGAAAAGTTTGGTCTTAATTGATAATCTTCATAAGGTTTTCCGGATTTGTATAAATCTTTATAAATACCTCTTCTATGAATCAAAGAAGGATCAACATTATATTTGCTATCATCTTTAGGATCAGCTGGAATATAGAAACACTTTTCAAAATTTTCTTGAATCAATTGTTCCCAATCTTTAAGTGAAATGGTTGATCCATCACTTCTTTTAACTTCTTTATATTCAAACTTACCTTGCTTATGTAATTTATTAACAAATCTTAAAGCACTCTTCATCAATCCTTGTAATTCAATAGCAGCTCCATCACGTGGAGTACCAGGTACACCCTTATTCTTGGCTTTTTCACTTTCTCCCATCTTATCCATCCAAGTTCCACAATTAAATTGAGATCCACCATGAACCAAACCAGTTTCCCAATCAATATGAACCTCAACATTAAATCCTTCATCTTTCATTTGTGAATCTAAATTAGGGCCAGCATTGGCTTCACGATATTTAATCCCAGCAGCATGTCTTTGTAAGATTTCAAAAATGATTTCTCTAATTGAAGATTCATAACTGAAAGCTCTTGGATCAGTATATTCAACATAAGTATCATCTAATGGGAATCTTCTTTTGACTTTTTCATCCAAGATATCAACACCATTAGGAACATACTTCACATATTCTTGAATCGCTTGTAAATAAAACCAAGCAGCATCTCTTGCATTATATCTTGGATTTCTACCAGCATCTAACAAATTTGGCATTAATCCATGTTTTAAAGTTTGACCAAAGGCAAGGATATGTTGTTTAGCATCTTCATATCTTTCCGGAACTAATAATAATCCTCTAAATGCAATAAACACATCTCTTCCCCAACATCTCATATAATCACTACTGAAATGAGGTAAACCAGCGGCCATACAAGCAACTTGTTCAGTTGGCTTTAAGGACGTATTATTCATATATCCAACCATTTGAATACTGGTCAATCCAAGACGTTGGACAAAATTGGTAGCTTGTTGGATCTTGATCCCCAAACCTCTAATCGCTCTAAATCTAGCAGCTTCATAAGCAATACCCACAATAAGGGCAAAATAATGTGGTCTTAAAAAATATGGAGCCTTCTTGGCAGCATTAAATCTCGACCGTAACCAATCTTGAAATCTCCCCAAGTTTTTCGATTTGGCAACATATTTATCTAATCGATTGACAATATAATCTAATGCCCATTCACCTTGTCTTAAATGATCACAAATTGGATCACCGAGATTATTTGACCAAATCACATGTTTCAACGCCGCATTCCAACCTTCCAAACCAGCATAGACTAATGGTCCATATCCTGGAAGGGTGTATACGTTTTCTTTACCTGCACTGGCATCCAATTCTTCCGGGGATGATTTGTATAATAATGCATTCAAGTCGTATAAATCCAATCCAACAGAAGCTTCAATGGCACCTTCTTTGACAAAATTATCTAATGAGACATCTACTCCTGGGATTTCGGTGGAAAAGACAGATATAGAACCTGGAATGAAAGATTCATCAACTTCAATAATTGTTTCATGGGAATTAACGATTAATTTTGGACATTTGAGTTCTTCAACTTTGACAGGAATACCAGTGATTATCTTTTCATCCCGTTCAAATTTCCCGGTTTTCTTTAAAGTATAACTAAATTCATGTTTCACTTTTGCACCCGTTAACACAACTGGTGATAATATTTGTTCCGGTAAATGTTTGGAAAATTTAGTTCTAGCAATCAAAAACCATCCTTTCCCAGTACGGGCATTATATCTTTGAATAGTAATATATTGACCTTCATGATGAATATACATTTCATGATCACGAGAAATATCTTCACTTTCCAATGCAAGATCTTTTCTAATCTTATGTAATTTCGCCTTAACTTTCCCAATTCCATTATCATTATTTAAATCATATTGTCTATGTTCATGAACAACATTCAAAATATGAGGATAACATTCATCATATCCATAAACCGATCCAATTGCCGAAGAACAAAATGCCACCAAAGCTGCATTAGGTAACGTATCTTCCACCGTTCTCTTTTGGTATGGAGTTTCATTATCATGAGTACAATCCATAAACAAAGCATGAGGAGGATGTGATGTCAAAACAGTCGGGATCTCCAATTCAGTATATGCATCGAGATATTTATTCTTAATGGGTTCATTTTCAGCCGGATAGGTGAAATCATCCAAAGGTAACCAAGTTAATGATCCAATAGGTCTTCCACCATGTTTATGAACCAATCTCGACAATTCCTTCACATCCCAAGGTTGCATAGCTTCTCTAATCAAAGTATTAATCCCTAAACGTTCCACAAATATCTTATCCATTTCTTCACTACCGGAAAATAATTCAGCAATGACATATAAATTAGGATTTACATTTCTTGCCTCATCCAATAATCGTTCACCAACATGCAAAGGGGTAGAATGACAATTATCAATCCTGAATCCATTATATGTCTTGGCAGATTCTTGCGTATATTGAATCATCCTGTCCCATAAATATGGTGAATCCTCATATTTATCTCCATATCTCAATTTAACACAATCACCCCAAACAATAACTTCTCGACGTAAATATGCCCGGGATTGATCGGAGGCGAAATCAACTAATGGATTCCCACCCCAAATCCATCCATTATTAGCAAGTGCTTGTCTATTGCCCTTGTTGTCAACAAATGTGGTGAAATAATTTTCGGTTAAGGGGTTTTTGGAAGTAACGGGGCCGAGCTTAGGTCCGGTGGGGGATAATCTCATATATTTGATTCTATCTGAGATTTGGGTTTTGATTGATTTGATATCATCATCATACATCGCATAAAATTCTGCATTTATTTTATCTATGATATCTCCAGCTTTGGTTGCAATTGTATCGAAATCAATATTGATATGAAAAACGGAGAATAAAATTCCCAAGAATTTCTTGATATCTAATTTATTCCCAAATCTTTCACTAATGATATGTTTATCATGAATTCTTGTTGTTTTGAGAATGAAGGCAGATAATTGTTTTAAATTATCAATGTCAACTTCTTTTGGAATCTTAATTGGAGTAATTTCTTGTTTTCTCTTTTGGAATAATTGTTCCATTTTGAATAATGTCAGTTTTCTAGAAAAGACATAAAATTCCCATAATTTCAATTTATCTAAAACATGATGTTGAATACCTTCAATAATCTTTTTCAAATCTTTTTCATCTTTAATATCAACCGGTAAATCAAATTCTTCCAATTTCAGAGAAAATTCCAACAATGCTGCATCTAATTCAATAGCAGGAGTTAAATGTGGAGCAGTGGTTGCATTATATCCTGCATCAGGATATTCTCTTAACCAATCGGAATTATTGGCAGTATGATTCCAAACTACATCAGTTAAAGATAATAATTTATGTTTATGTAAAACTTTTTGAATTTCAGCAGGAGCAGTTTTATTATCTTTAAAAATATGATGATCATATTTCAATTGATCATAGATTGAATAAGGGGAATCAGATTCACCTCTTTCTTGTAAAGGAGTAAAATGAATCATATTATAACCTTTCCCAGCAACAATTCCAAAGAATTTATCCCAATTCAGTAAAGGACCAATCCATTTAGATATAACAGTTTGAACATTAATCGAATTGAATGCAACATATTGACCATCAATAGTTAAATTTGGTAAAACATTGAAATAATATTTATCAGTTGTTATTCTTGAGTCATTTTCATCATCATAAGTAATGTAATAATTATAAGCACCTGGTTTATAAATTGGAACTACAATTGTAATATCTTGATGAAATGAAGAATGGATTGGGAATGAAGCATGTTTATGTCTATCAAAATCTTGTTTATAATTGGTGGGAATATTGGTAAAGAATGTACCATTTTTAGTTACTTTACTGGCAGCATTTAATTGGAAATGAATTTCAAAAATTACATCACCTGGTTTATAACTTTTAGGTAATTCAACTGGAGGTAAAGTGAATATACCATTGCTGATGTTTTCATTGTTAACAGGTTCTCCAAGATTTGATAATCTGAATAAAATGGTTCGTTTGGTTGACATTTCTGTATGTTGTTTACTCTAAGGAAGTTGCTGTTGGAAAAAAATGGGTGGTTGGAAGGGGGGGGGGGCAATTGAGTGGTGAGTAGTAGTAGTAGTAGTAGCAACAGCAAGAGTAATTGACTGTGATATAATTGGTAAGAAAAAGAAAGTCAATTGATAAAATTGAAAAAAAAAAGGCAAATAAGGAGAGTAAGAGATGAGAGAGAAGGTAAGTTGGTGGTGATGTCAGCAGTGGTGGTAATAAGTGTTACGTGTGTAGAATGAAATTTAAGGAGAACAAGCGAAAAAAATAAAATCACAAAAACGCTAAGGAAACAAACGTGCAAAGTTGCAACTAAACAATAGAATTATGGAATAGGAATTATAATTGTACACATTCACTCACTCATAAAGCAATGCAAATCACCACAAAAGGGACATTCTGATTTAAGTTACCACATTGATCTATGGGAGTGAAAACAAACCCAGACGAAGTTGACTAAAATGATTGACACCTCCCATTCAAGGCTTAACTCTTCTATCTTGAATAAATACATCAAAAAGATAAGGTTGTCTATGCAATTTTGTTCAAGATTAGTCAATTGGCCACCATTCATACAATTTGTGTGTAGTTTTATTTCAAAATTGGCGGGTGATTGCCAAAAATCCAAATGCGATTGATTCTAGATCAATTGTATATGAATAAATGAAATTTCTATTTTTAGGTAACCGAGAAACCAAACTTCGCTTAAAGTTGATTAAAAATTTTCAAGCGCATCACCAAATATTTTTTCAATCACCGAGTCATACCCATACTGTCATGAAAGCAGTGGCTACTGCCACATCATCAAGAAAACTATGTAGATCCTCTCTAGAAATATCCTCAAAATCCACCGACTTATCAAATTGCCCGTTAATGTAGATTTAAAAAAGCCTAAATAAAATTAAGGTTTTTATGAAAAAAAAAAAATTGTCAATGGCTAATTATCGCAAAATCAACCAATTCAATTCAATTTCAACAAAAATATGTTCCACAAACATAGTAAACACAATTTAAAAAAGAATCGGGGCGAGCTGGGAATTGAACCCAGGGCCTCTCGCATGCTTGTAGTTTACTTCAGCTTGTTTCCAAGCCGTCGCCCAAAGCGAGAATCATACCACTAGACCACACGCCCGATGATTGAAATGGAAAAACTTGAAAAATTTTCTCATTGAGAATCAAAAGGAGCAAACACGAAAAAAATCAACACGAAAAATCGACTATATTTCTTTTCTAAGTCAGTATAATCGGTCTTCCCATTGATCAATTGAAAGAGAATAGGACCATTGGTAAAAGAGAGGATCTCCGCGAGGTTTCCAAAGTCAAATTACCAAATGGTGGATATCTTTACAACGTTCCAGTTCAACCTTCGAGAAAATCCCCCACTCCACAAAATGTCGCATCAACTACTAAGGCAAACGACAAAGTCGCCTAGGCTCATTCCTAATACCGACACAGGCTTGAGGAATGTTGCACCCAAGCCTAAGACAAGTGCTTCAATTGTAGAATGCCAGCCACCGGAAATACTAGTTAAGATTGTTAAAAACCATAACAAACATTTACCCTGGTTTGAACGAGAAGGTGATATGTTAACAATTCCTGTTCATGACTTGTCCAAAAAATTCGATGTTCCTGAAATAGTCGACGCCATCTATGTCAGAATTGAACAAGCTGAAGAAGAACTTAATCAGACATTCCGAAAAGTCAATGAAGAACAATTCGATGGTATGGAAATTATATACCATGAAATTGTCGAAACTGCTTGATGATAATTTAAAACCAATGTGTAATCGATTGGAATATAAGATTCTCATTAAGAAATGTTTAAATTATGCAGCTCCATTTGGGACTGATGATGGAGATCATGTGGTTATATCACCATTTGGAGTGCATGAAATGAATTCTCCCCGGTTTCGAGAAATAAAATCCAAATTCATGGATTTTCTTGAAGGTTTGGAATACGGAATCGAAGATACCATGTTTAGAGTCAAATTTGATAGCAAGCCAATTCCTTATAGTCTTTTTTCATTTCAATTCCCTCCGGCTAGGTTCGACATGGCGAGTAGGTTATTCTCGAGTTATTTAACCAAGGGAGATGAAATTATTGAAGCTTATATTCCGGGCAATAATAACCAAGATAGTTCTATGGTTGCTTATTTCGTTGTCAAGCTTGGGTCAAGTCAAAACCCTCTTAATCAAGTTTTCAATGAGACGGTACTGACAGAAGTGACTGTTGAGTAGAACCATGGTAATCTTCTGCTCTGGAGCAGAAGCAGCTGGAACTTGCATTTTACATTTCTCTTTTTTCCATTTATATTCAATATAGGTATATAGGTACTGAAAGTCTATCAAAATATACCATTCTTATAATCTGGACGAATTGCAGGCTATTTGACGAGGTTCTTGGGGAAAAACGGAACTTATATCCCTTGTCATTTGGTTATGCTGCAATTCACTCCTACTATCTTACGCGGAATCGCGTGAAGTTGGAAACTCAAATAATAAAACAGTTATGAAACTTTCGCGAAAAATTTGCAGCAATTAAAATACAAATCTAAAAATGAACAATAACAGAACGAACGGAGAATTTCCACCCATTTAAGGAATTCAGGATAGCTTTAAAGAATCTACAATAGACTGGCAATCTAGAAATGTTTTAGAGAAAACTAGTTCCAACATAGAATTTTATTGAATTTGACCACCAAGGCGCGGCCCGCTAACGCGTCTTCTGGACAATGGCATTCAAACCACCGAGAAACAGAAGGAATTCATCATTCGGTGTGATTGGACGTCCTTTGAGGGTTTCATATAGCTTACAGAATCATGTAAATGATCTTATGCGTTAAGTCACCCAACTTTGTATGATGTCACTCAATAGAATGAGGCTAGGGAGGTTGTGGCGGTGCAAAACCCCTTCGATTTTGACAATTACTTCTCAATATTCAATAATGAACACGAATTTCTAGAAACAAAGAATAGAATTACTTAGCAAGACACTAACCAATTCTAGTTCTCTATGGAGTTGTACATGTAGCTTATCTTAAAGTGCTTATCTTAAAGTATGACAAAGTAAAATTAATCGAATTGACACGACCTTTTATTAATTGGGGGGAAAAACTGACGAAGAAGGAAATTGAACAACATACAAAAATAGAAGAATGCAATTTTTTTTTTCGTTGGTTATAAAGTTAAAACCAGCCCCTCATAATTTAATTAATTAGTTACTTTCTTCAATTTACTTTGTTGCATTATAAAAGCTTTCTTTACACATCAATCAAATTACAGGTTGATAGAATAACACATTACATCCTTTACTTTACAGATTGAAGAATAACTTCTGTTAAACTGTAAATACAATATAAATTTAATTTGTCATAATTTTTTACAACCACAAAACAATTTCAAACGACATAGCCCAACTTCAAAAGCAAAAGCAAAAGCAAAAGAGAAGAAGCTATCACCAATCAAATCAATCAATCAATCAATCAATACATTTCATCAATTTTGCCACTCTTTTACAATTGCAATCAGTTTATCCCCAATTCATATTCAACTGTTACAATCGTTTAATCAGAGGCATATCATATTTATTTTAAATCCATAATTACTTCAAACATCCAAACCATATATATAAAAATCACACTTATAATCAAAAATGGGTTCATGTTGCAGTTGTTTAGGCAGTCGTGGAGGTGATGGAAGTCATGCTCAATTATTATTAGCCGAAAATGAAAGAGAAGCCATATCTGCATTATTACAATATTTAGAAAATCGATCAGATGTTGATTTTTTCAGTAATGGTCCACTTCGTGCATTAAGTACTTTAGTTTATTCTGAAAATATCGATTTACAAAGAAGTGCCGCATTGGCATTTGCTGAAATTACTGAAAAAGATGTTAGAGAAGTTAATCGAGATGTTTTGGAACCAATATTAATATTATTACAACTGTCAGATTCTGAAGTACAACGTGCTGCTTGTGGTGCATTGGGTAATTTAGCCGTGAATACGGAAAATAAAATATTAATTGTAGAAATGGGAGGATTAGAACCTTTAATTAGACAAATGATGTCAACAAATATTGAAGTTCAATGTAATGCAGTTGGTTGTATAACCAATTTAGCAACTCAAGATGATAATAAATCAAAGATTGCCAAAAGTGGTGCATTAATCCCCTTGACAAAATTAGCAAAATCTAAAGATATTAGAGTTCAAAGAAATGCAACTGGGGCATTATTAAATATGACCCATTCAGGTGAAAATAGACAAGAATTAGTTAATGCCGGTGCAGTGCCTGTATTAGTTTCATTATTATCTAATGATGATGCTGATGTTCAATATTATTGTACTACTGCATTATCAAATATTGCCGTTGATGAAGTTAATCGAAAAAAATTAGCTAGTACTGAACCTAAATTAGTTGGTCAATTAGTGAATTTAATGGATTCTCCATCACCAAGAGTCCAATGTCAAGCAACATTAGCATTAAGAAATTTAGCTTCAGACTCAGGTTATCAAGTTGAAATAGTAAGGGCAGGGGGATTACCTCATTTAGTTCAATTATTATCATGTAATCATCAACCATTAGTATTAGCGGCAGTTGCATGTATTAGAAATATTTCTATTCATCCATTAAATGAAGCATTAATCATTGAAGCAGGATTCTTGAAGCCTTTAGTTGGATTATTGGATTATACTGATTCAGAAGAAATTCAATGTCATGCGGTATCAACATTAAGAAATTTAGCTGCATCTTCAGAAAAAAATAGAACCGCTTTATTAGCTGCTGGTGCAGTTGATAAATGTAAAGAATTAGTTCTTAAAGTCCCACTTTCTGTCCAACTGGAAATTTCCGCCTGTTTTGCCATTTTAGCATTAGCTGATGATTTAAAACCAAAATTATATGAATCACAAATTATTGATGTTTTGATTCCACTTACATTCAGTGAAAATGGAGAAGTTTGTGGGAATTCCGCAGCAGCATTAGCTAATTTATGTTCAAGAGTTTCAAATGAACATAAACAATATATTTTAAATAATTGGTCACAACCAGATGAAGGAATTTATGGATTTTTAATTCGATTTTTACAAAGTGGTAGTGCAACATTTGAACATATTGCCTTGTGGACAATTTTACAATTATTAGAATCAAATAATGGAGAAATTAATGCATTAATTAAAGAAAATGAAACTATTTTATCTGGGATTAAAAGTTTGAGTGCTTCACAACAACAAATTCAACAATCTCAAATAAATAGTAATACTGGTGGTGGTGGTGGTGGTGGGAATAATGAAGATCAATTTGATGATCCAAAAGTGGAATTATTTAATTTGACTCAACAAATTTTACAAATCTTGGGATGATCCATCCACTCCCACACCCCACCACATCATTCCATATCCAACCCCCATCACATCGTCATCATCCCCATGTCATTCAATCATCCTGTAGAATAATTTTTTAATTTGTTTCATATTTAATTTTTAACTTTGATTTTAGTTTTGTCGTTTTAACGTTCATCCACGCCCCATCCACAACCACACAAACACGGAATATAAAATCTGGTCTTAGTTTTTTAGTTCTTGATGACGTCCAGTCACAACCACAACCATACTGCCGCGCTTTGTCTGTCTTTTGTTATTTTATTTTTATAATTTGTATGTTTTGTATAAAAATTTATTTTGCTCTGAGATTAGTTTGTTAGCAATTCATAAAAATACACACACATTTGAGATTTTATTTGTATATTCATCTATATATCTATCTATACAACTAATTAGGAATGGGAATTTTCTCCTTTGGTGCCTCTTGCATCTCCTCCTGCTTATCTTGCTCTGAAATCGGCTTTGCTGCCTCATCTAAATTCAATTTCTTCAACCTTTCAATCACCTTATCCTCATCCTCATCCTCAACAACCTCTCTCTCCAACTCTTCCAATTCCTTCTCAATCTCATCCTCATCCACAATATTCCTCCCATCTCCCACCAATGCATCACTTATCTCATCGGCCTTGGCCATCTCCTCCTCAATCTCAGACTTCACCTCCTCAATCTCCTCAATCGACACTCGTGAATTCATATTCTTCAACACAGCCGATGAAGCGAGATATTGGATATAGACCTCCATATTCATCCTCGAATCATTGATTTTCTCAAATATGCCACATAATTCATTATGAATCGCACTGGTTTTCTCAAGTGATGCCATGAGGGTTTGTCGTTGGGTTAGGAGGTGACGTAATTTGATCCGTTGTTGTTGTTTGCTGGGGAGGGTTAATACCTGTTTGAATTCGAGTTTTAGGTTGGATAATTTGTTCGAGAGTTGGGTGGATCGGTTATGAAGGTTTTGGATTGTGGATTGAAGGTCGATGATGTGGATGTCGTCGGGAGTTAGATCTTCTTTAGGGGAGAATTTTATATAGGTTATTTGGTCGAGTTTTTGGACGTGACATTGCTGAATGTCTCGATTCCAATATTTTAGGAATAGGTCAAGGTCTTGGCGGGAGATTTTGATATGAGTGGAAAGGAAGGTGAATAATGAATCGGAATTGAAGAGTTTGGATGAGTAGGTTGCTTGTTTGTTTATTTCTTCTTTGATTATTTCTAACGCTTCCTGAGCTTGTTTGATGAAATATAGGGTCCGATATTTAGCAAGTAGTTGTTCAAACGGACTAAAAACCTATGAACTATATGAAGAATTGACAATTCCTATTGATTCCAATCCCCAAGTTAACCATACTTTGGGAGATAGGTATGATTTGGTATCGTTTATGACAGATATGTAAGATTCTTTACTCACCAATATATAGCTAAGTCCCTGTTCATGAAAAGAGCGGTGATTAAGTAGATACTCATTGCCTAAGTTTTGTGGTTGACCGTAGTTCAGAATACCCAAGAATTTCAATATATCAGGATTATAAGTTGTAAAGGAAACGTTTGAATCAATAATCTTATGATTGGATATTAGTTTGAGTAATAAGGATTGCCATGCTTGAATATTTGCTTCATATCCTTCTTTATTTAATGTTTTTAGTTTTTGGAAGTTTGAATAAAGGGATGATAATCGAGATGCTTTGAATTCTGGAATTGACTTAATGAAGTCTTCTATATTGTCTGACATTTAGCTCTTCTTTTGGGCGGTTAAGGAGAACAAACGGTCAAACTTTGATAGAGAGTTTAATTTTTTTCTTTGATAATGCGATATCGCTAAGCGCACGGCTAATGCAAACCAAATTCCCATTAATCTATTAAATTTACAGATACTTCTATATAAATTACTAATGAAGAGACAATTTGTTCATATTCAACTCTACTTGATCTCTTAATGCATCAACTACATCTAATATAGCTGTAGCCGCAGGGGAATCAGGAAAATTATCAAAGAAACATTCACCTTGATCACATGCTTTACCAATTCTTGGATCTAATGGAACTGATCCTAAAAATGGTATATTCAAGTCTTCACATAATTTAAGTCCACCACCTGTAGTTGGTTTAAAGATTTGTGACTCTCCTTTACAATTAGGACAAACAAACCCTGACATATTTTCAACCAATCCTAAGATCTTAATATTTGCCTTACGACAAAAATCAATTTCTTTACGAACATCCAATAATGCCACTTCTTGCGGAGTTGTCACAATCAATGCTCCATCTATTCCTACTTCTTTCATATATGTCGTCACTGATAAATGTTCATCACTAGTTCCCGGAGGAGTATCCACTACCAAATAATCCAAATGTTCACCCCAATTAACATCCTTCAAAAATTGTTTAATTAATCCATTCTTTTTTGCTCCTCGCCATATAATCGCCGTATCTGGATCAGGTAACATAAATGAAATACTCATAAGTCCTAAATTATCAGCAACATATACAGGAGACCACCCTGAATTCGATTGATGTACCGATTCACCTTCAGCTCCTAACATCTTGGGTAAGGATGGCCCACAAATATCTAAATCCATAGCACCAATTTCTAAATCTTCATCTGCAGCTAATGCCCAAGATAACATGGATGTGAATGTGGATTTCCCGACTCCTCCCTTTCCGGAAAGTACAAGGATCTTGTGGTCTATATGTGATAATCGATTGTTTATTTGGGGGAGATCGGGATCAGGTCCTTTTGGTTGTTGGGAACTACATATTTCTTGATTAGGACATCCTTGACAAGCATCCTCTTTTCCTGCTGTTTCTGATTCTGGTCCTGGACAATGTTCTGGTTCGGGTGCAGGTAGCTCTTGATGCTGCTGTATCGTTTTATTATCTTGACTGGGTGACATCTGTGTCATATATATATAAATGAAACCATTGAATAGAACACTAATTAATCATTCGAACTACTTCTATAAACCGCATTTTTTTCAACCTGTATTTCTTTTTTTCTAAAGAGTTGCAAGTTACATTTAATTATATGCAGGAAAGTACATTTTACAATGTACATGCATCCACCTATATTTTGCAACCCATTGTAGAGCCTTTACATTCAGATAAACTGTCATGTTTGCGGTCTTGGAAGGTTCACATATCAACAAAAGGCCAGCATTGAACCAACTGAGCCAAGTTTGAAAACTTGTGAGCCGATTTACACGGTAAACTGGATACAATTCGTCAGATTGCCCATTTAGAGAGGTTACTTACTTTTTCAAGATAAACTTATGTTTTATTCTATTACTATACATTTTTATAACTATGACAATCTAATATCAAAATAATGTTTCTCCACCGGTCCAAGATATAATTTAGATATAGATTCTTGTTTCTCACTATCAGCATTATCATTCTCAATCACCAAATCACCAACTTTTCTTGAAATCAATTTCAAAGCAACTTTTTGATTAAACTCAGACTTTTCTTTAACTTGTGGCACATTTATCAACAAGAATTCAAGCAATTTTACATTCGTTTCATCTTTCAAAAGATTCAAATAATTTGCATACACACCAGCACCAATGTTCCAATTAGGTATAATTAATCCCTGTTGAGGGAATTTATCAATCAAATCAAGGAAATGAACAATATCCTTCTCCGAATTAGAAATAACCGTGATTGGACCTAATTTACCCACAATTGTTGCATGAGCCCTTTCCCATAATTGAACTTTGATGAGTGCTTCACATTCACCCCAAAAATCTCCAAGTGACCTTTTTTCAATGGCAATAGCTTCATATATGACAACTTGTGGGACTTTTAATACCTTAACCAAATATTCTTCTTCGTCAATCTTGTTAGATTTGATATAGTTTACTTTGGATATCACTAAATTTCTGATTAATTCTTGTGCTTGACCATCATCAGAAAGGTGAGAATAAACAATTATGGCCTCTTTCCAATAATTCACCGATTGTAAATAATCACCAAAAGAAATTGAAATATCATCACAACTAGTTCCACTAATTAAAATCTTACAAAATAACCATTTAAATTTCTTGTTTATGCTCATGGATGAAATGCTAGATAAATCAATCTTGGAACTGGCATACAATTTCAAAACATCAGCAACTTGATGATGGACAGGAAGATTGTCCTTATATCCATTGATCAAATCCTTCAATCCCATATTTCCATCTCCATAGAATAATTTCAACGCTAATGCGATATTCCAAGGCAAATCACCCAAAAGAACGTCCAAATCGCTAGCTAAAATCTGATATATCTTCACAACAGCCTTAGGTATAAGTGAAACCACATTCCTTTCTTTCCAGCTATTCAATTGATTAGCAGCAATAGATCTGACTGCATGATGATTCGAATCAGCAAGGGTAATCACCACAGCTAAATGATCATTATTTGTAGCGAGAGCAGTTTCAATTGCTTGTTTTAAGTTCCCGGCACATAAATGAATGAAAACTTGTTCTAATGGGTCTGATTTATGTGATTCCAATAATCGATTAATTGATTTTTGATTATATTTCTTTAACCAATTTGCAAATGATTCCTTTCTGGTGTTTTCAGATATGACTTGTGATAATGTAATATTAGAAGAATCAATTTGTCTGAGTTCTTGGTTGATCTTAGAATCATCAAATAATGCAATTGCCAATTGAACTAATTCTTGTTCTTCTTCATTATTTAATTGTCCAGGGTGGAAAACCAAGTCATTAAACAGGAAATTTTCCGTAACGTTAACTTTAGGATATTTATTATCTCTAGTGACAATTGTTGAATTTACCAACAATGTATGAAAAATATCAGGAATATTATTACAATAAATATCCTCATCTTCTTCCTCTTCATCCATATCCAAATCTTCAATAGTTTCTAATCTAGTCATTTGTGGAGTAGAAGCCCTCTTCAAACTCTCCTTATTAAACTCCGAAAATAAAAGATCATCAACTTTCCCAGCATGTAATGGTCTTGACGCAGATTCCGCGATTTCGGCATTATACGGAGCCAATGCTCTTAGGTTTGATAACCAGTAGAGATTAACTTAACAGGTTAATAGTCTGTGTCCTTGATCAGATTTGATTTGTATATTATCAAAGACATCATCATTAGTGATTTCTGGTTCATAGACTTTTTCATCCACAATTTCATCAATATCTGTACCTGGTGGAAGAACACTTATCATTTGTTTCAAATAATCATATTCCCTTTCTTCCATTTTTGGATGGTAGTACTCACCATCACCACCATTAGCAAAACTAGCAGGTGATTCTTCACGTTCAGAATCAATGGTGATATCACTTACTTGTGCAGTTAATTCAAGCTCTTGTTGATCATTTTGATATCTATTCAATTCCTGAAGAATTTCATTAGTGACTAAATTTCTCTTTATATTTAATGGATTTTCCAGAGGTAAAGTCTGATATTCCCAACGACCAGGTATATTCTTAGTCCGTTCATTTAATTTTTGTTTCTTTAATTCCTGATTATATTTTTCATTTTCATAAATTCGAGAATATTCAATTGAAGCTTGTGTTTCATTCAGATCTTGTTTTCGTTTCATTGCCACTAATTCTTCATCATGTTGATTATCATCGTCTTCTTCAACCAATCCCCAAATACTAAAATGTTTCACTTTGAATACCCAGACATGTGTGATTGGATCATAAGTAATAAATTCCATTCCAATTTGTCTTTTTAAGAACTTGATATGATCAGCGGCAGAAGCTCCCGGTTTTGGTTTCACACCTTCAACTCATTATCAACGTCCTTGTAAGTTAGGTTTAGGGTATCCACCAAAGAATAGTGGACTATCTTTATAAGTAACGATAACCTTTGGGCTAATTTGAATAATCTTACCAAATAATTCTTGTTCTAAAGTTTGTCCATTTTCTTTTGCATCTAATACAACCTGGGTTAAATCCACGGGATAATTATATGCAATTTGTCCACATCCATGAGAAGGTTGATACTTTAAAAGGTTTAACCTATTAAGAAGGTAACAGTATAGACATAATTCTGAAATTGTGGGTGTTGACCAATATCCATCATGAGATTCAGTAGCAATTGTTTCCTTGACTTCGGCAGTACCGTTGACATTATCAGCTTCAGGTTCACCATCACCAATTGAAAAACTTCCATTTTGTTTCTTTGAATCTGAAGTGCTTACTTTATAAGGATATCTCAAAAAGGTCCTATTTTCTTGCATACCTTCATCATCATCACTTTCATCTTCGTCACTTAAATATTTCTCCGATAATAATTTATCAGCTGTAACTACATTCTCAACCACCGTTTTTCTTCTCTTGGCATTAAACACCTTATTAACATCGATTAAATGATACTTCACCGGTTTTGATTTTATAATCAATCGTTTCATACTTCCCACGCGTCTAGAATCTATGGCTTTATAAGAAGGTCTAGAAATATTCTTATTTGGTGCCACCACCGGGAATTGTGAAGATAGGATTGCCCCACCACCGGGTTTCTTTTGTTTATGATGATGAATATTGACAACATCAGATTGGGTGAATAACCCTTTTATGCTAGATTGTAAACTAGATCCAGTAGTTCCATTTCTAATAAATCTAAAAGTTTGACCTAATTTACTTAATAATGAAGACTTGGTTGGTTTTTGTTTCTCGGGTTCTAAATATGAAAACCGTCTTTTTCTAATTGGTTCAGGTTCTTTGTTGACTGGTTCAGAGAAGATGGTAGTAGTTATTGATTCGGCGTATAACCTTCACCTACGAACATCTAACCTATTTTGAACTACTATTGATATACCATTGGTATTGTTTACCGTGAGCTGGCTAAACGATGGTTGTTGTTGTTGCAGTTGTTGATTTCCAAACAATCCCCCAGATAAACCACCACTAGGTGGTTTTCCAAACAATCCTCCATTAGATACTGGTGCTTGATTAGACCCCCCTCCAAAGAATGAAGTAGGTTGAGTAGTAGTTGCCGAATTTCCAAATAATCCCCCACTAGGTTGAGTAGTAGTTGTAGATCTATTTCCAAACAATCCACCGGATGTAGCAGGTGCAGCAGCTCCACTCGTCCCAGTTGTCGTTCCAGTCTGTCCAAACAATCCTCCTCCTCCTGTAGAAGTATTACTATTTCCAAACAATCCACCACCTGAAGCTGGAGCAGATCCATTACTCAAACTATTTCCAAACAATCCACCCGTCGCACCACCACTCACAGATGTATTCTGTCTCTTTGGAAGTGATCCTCCTGCATCAGAATTGGTAGATATCGTGGGATTATTGGTTGAATTTCCAAATAAGGAACTAGTAGTTCCTGTTGGTGGTGGTCCTCCTATAGATGCTCTTCTTGCTGCTGTGGTTGCTCCAAAGCCAGTTGATGCTGCCCAATTGTTGTTGTTGTTATTTGATGTTGATGATGATCCAAACATCGTAGGTTATAAATATACACGAATTTCACTGATGGGTTATATATGATTTTGGATTATGGTTTAAGGTGTATTGAGCTGGGCTGATCTCAATTGCCGTGTGGTTGTTCAATCGATTGTTGTGTTGATTCGTTGATTGATTGGATTGGTGAGATGATGTTGATTTTTTTTACAACCAACTTTATTTCAGAAATGAGATTTTCGTTTTTCTTAAGACTGAAAATTACACGAACCATTCTGAGAATTACACTACTCGATATGACTTACACTTGCCAAACTATGATACAATTTTATAAATTTATATAAATACACATGCCAACTTTTCTATATAAAAAAACTTTAATCAAAAGTAATTTCTAATTTAATATTTGATTCAGCACAATACCAAAACTTATCAAATTTTCTTAAATTACCTTTACTACTATATACCTTATTAGGTATTCCAACATCAATTAAATAATGTAAAACATCTGAAGAATCCATATGTCCATTCTTATATGCTAATATTAATCCTGACAAAGGTAATCCCATAGAAATACACCATCGACAATTCAACTTTAGAGAATCATCCAGTAATGTTCCCGATCCACCATCTATACCCGAAGGTATATCCAAAGACATTATTTTATTTTGTTGTTGCAGTTCATTACACCATTTCATTAGATTCGTTAATGTGACTTGATCTTCTTGAGTATAGAATATATCTTCTAAATGATCATCATATCCTTGTAAGGCATCAATTATTAATTCTACCGGAGTATCTAATTGATGATTTATTATATCTAATAATTCATGTAAATTTTTAATAATAATTTTCCCACCCAGATTTTCAAATAATTTCCATTGTTTAGTTAATTCAGAATCTAAATCTTCATTATTTATCACGAATGCTAATACTCTTACTCCATGATTGGTTAATTGACGTCCAGTTGCAAATGCTCGACTACCACATCTGGCACTTCCAATTAAAAGTAATACTAATGGAGGTAAATTATGATTTTGTTTATTACTTAATCGAGATGTCCCACCTAACATTTTATTCATGATTAATTGACTTAGATTAGTAGCACATGTTTCTGTCATGATGGATGGAGTTATACCATAAGTTTCAGTAGATAATCGTTCAATTTCTAATAATTGTACCGGTGAAGCTAATGCAATTGGATTTAAATTATCAGAACGGATTAATCTTACATTTGAATCTTTATGAGGTCCACCACCAAACATGTTTGATTGCATTACGGGAGTTTCCAGATGTGAAGTATTAGTAGTTCCTATATTTTCCCAATTATCAATTCTATGTTTATCTAAAACCATTTCATCAATATCATATTTTTCCTTCTTTTTTGATTTATTAACATATTCAAGTTTATTATGACCTACTAATCGATCACTTTGATTAATATTATCTTTTCTTTGGAAATCGGCAAATACTGATTTTTTATCAAACATAGCAAGATTAGCTTCAAAATCAAAATCAGTACCAGCTGCTGATTTGGCATCACTTTCTTCATTACCCCAATCAATTGATCCCGCTGATGAATGTAATGCTTTTGATCTTATACGAGGAGTATTGGAACGACTATTTCCATAGTTGATAGATTTTGGAGTCCCACCTCTAGCAAAAACAATGGCATCATCTTCAACGGCATTGCTCTGAGCTTGAGCCTGTGCCTGCAGCAGTTTCTTTGATTTCTTTTTATTGGATGATGATTGAGAATCTTTATTAAAATTAGGAGGTAATTGAACTACTTTTAAATCAGCAATTTGAGTACTCATAACTTTAAGATTGGAAATAGTTTCTTGTGGATTGAATGATTGAATTGCATTTCCAAGAGTGATTTGTTGAGGATCAACATGAGTAATTATACCTGTTGATTTAGTCCCATCTTTTAACATAAGATCAACTTTATAATTAATGAATTCTGTCATCTCCTTTGTTTGTATTGTCTATTCTTTTTCAGTTGAATTGGAAGCTTTCACTTGGGCTTCTTCTTCTTCTTCTAGATGAAAGAATGAAGAGAGAATCGAAGACAAGAATGAAAAACAATTGAACTAATTTTGGTGTAAAGTACACGACTGGGAAATGTCGTAAATATGCCTCAATGTCTCAAACGTATTTCCAGTTTGCGACATACGAACTTTAATTATTGGTTAAACCGATATCCGATAAACTTACAAGTTTGATAAGCTTCTATATAGATTGATATTCAATTTCGATACAAGAGCTCTAGAATCTAAACTATTGGCAGTCAGCTGATCTGATCTGATAAAATTACAAGCTGATCTATTTATCAGCCAATAAGTTATCGTTTGACTTTAAAAAATTTCAGCCACTTGAATGTAAGTTGTAAGTAACAAAGAGAAGAACGGAAAAAAAAATTAAAATAAATTGAATTGAAAATTTCTAAATCTTTTTTCACAAGATCTCTCATACACAACTAAAGCAAGTGAGTTACGACGATTTATAAATTTACTTTATTTTATCACCACTTACACTACACTTCCATTCTATCCAAATACACTCCCCTAATAAGTACTGGTAATATTCTCCTAATTCCACACCCACTGACTATTTACCCAATACAGTCAATAACAAGAAAAAAAGCCGTAATCAAATTAATCAATAAAACCCATTCCATTCCATCATGTCATCATCAACAACAAAACAAACAAAAACAATCAAAGATATATTCTTCTTTATTCCCAATTTAATTGGCTATTTCAGAATAATCACTGCCATATTATCATTCATATGTATGAAAAATCATCCAATATATACATTAATATTTTATGGTATCTCGGGATTCTTAGATGCTTTTGATGGATATGCTGCTAGACGGTATAATCAAGGTACTAGATTCGGAGCAGTATTAGATATGGTTACTGATAGATGTGCTACTTCTTCATTAATTGTGTATTTAGCTGTATTATATCCTCAATTTACTATTGGATGGCAAATATTGGTTAGTTTAGATTTAGCTTCTCATTATATGCATATGTATGCTATGTTATCAGTTGGATCAAATTCTCATAAAAATGTTGATAAAACTCAATCAAAATTATTAAGTTTATATTATACCAATAGAAAAGTATTATTTATTGTTTGTTTGGTTAATGAAGTATTTTATGTTGCTATTTATTTACATTATTATCAATTCTTTTGGTTAGGTACATGTTTAGTTTGGTTAAGTGCTCCTATTTGGTTATTTAAACAAGTGGCTAATGTAGTTCAATTGAAAAGTGCATCGATAATATTAGCTAGAATGGATGCTGATGAGATCAACAAAAAGAAGTGATTGATCATCAAGCCCCCCACCCATATACTGTTTATAGATTTTACATTTTAGACTAAATAGCATCTTTTCTCCTTCCGTTCTTTTACATTAAGTTAGTTCTTAATAAATAATTAATTTTATGTGTAGCCCATCATTTACTACTATTTGCCAACAAGGCGAGAATTCCCCTACACATACCCGTAATCCCTTTCCTGGGCTAACTTCTTGGTTATATTGCCCAACCCCAATCTGGCATGCTCAACCAACTTCTCATCTCCATTATATTCAGCAATCCCCATCTCAAATTCAAAAGCTCAGAAGTTGTATTGATTTACAAAGTAGTCAAATTTGGGCGGTTATGTATTTAAGTTAAACCTCAACGCCCTTCCAAACAATTTTTCATTTCTTTGTGATTGCTGTTGTTGTCGATATTTCCCAAACCATGCTTGACTTAATTCGAAATATGCCCGAGATATATATTCCCGATTATTCATGGCAAGAACCCGGGGCATTATCAGTTTGAAAATGTCAATGGAATCTTGGTATTCACCCAAAGCGTTAAATGACCCACATAGGATGATTAATCCTTCGATTATTAATGGCATGAATCCACTCTTGTGGGCTAATTGGATTTGTTGGATTGTGGTTGAAATAACTCGGGAATGATTTCCTGATTGATTGAATATTGAAGATTTTAATAAATTTAATCGAATTGTAAGAAATAAATTATCAGTATTTGAAATTGTATTAGAAATTAATTTCAATGCATCATTGTAGTTTTCTAAACATATCTGAGTTTCAATTTGTAAAGCAATGAATTCATGTTTGAGTTCAATATCTCGAATTTCATTATCTAATAAAACTTGAATAATTTCTTGGGAGATTCGGAATCTTCCCTTCATTAAATTCATCTTAATCAACATAATTAAACTTCTTGTCTGTAATGAATTATACAACGAATGGTCAACATCAATAACCCCCGCCTTCAATTTCTCCAAATTCTCATATGCAACCTCAATATCATCATCATCATCATCTTCATTACAGGGTGGTTAGTTCTTGGCAACCTTTAAAACAGCTTAGTCATTTCTTTAGTTTAGATTCTTCTTCTCCGTCATATCCAACGCAACATCATTATATACCTCACTCAAGATCGGATTCCCAATTCTTGCCCACACACAAGCAGCAACTTCTGCCAGTTTTACAAATGTCGGTTTCACATCATTCACCGATATATAGATCGCCTTCAATAAACTCGTCATATATTGATCAATCCCCCCACTACTACCACTATTCATAATCTGTAACGTTTCGAAATTATAACTCATGGAATATAACAGTAATGAAACCAGACGGGATTTACTAATTAAGAAATCCAATAAATGGGAATTATTCCTCGTATTATAGAATTTTTGACGATTCCATAATTCCGGTTTATTCTTCATGAAATTGAATAACCAAGATAAGATATATGTTAATGTTGAATTATCTTTATTTTCCCTAGCTACCGATATAGCCTCTTCAATTGCATCCATGGCTTTATCATCTTCTCCAAAGAATTGATGTAGACTTGCTCGGGAAACCAAGGCGAAATGATAGAAATATTTCGAGTTGTTGGAAACCATATAATCGAAATATTGATGTAGGGATTCAAAAGCACCATTATAATTGGATGATTGGAGACATTCTAGATATTTAATATAATAATATGATGGAAGATTATTGAAGGTGATATTTTGAATACGAAACATATTTGAATTAGGAGAGGTCATTAATTCCATTATATCTTTAAGTAATTTTGGAGTTGGAGTACCATAATTTTCCAATAAATTTATTTGATTATCCAATAATACTTGTAAATCATGGTTGGGGACAGGTATTAATGTTTCACCCAGGTTGTGGTTACTATCATTCATCGATTGATTGGGGATATTAATTCCAATAGTGGATTGTAATTGTTGATTCAATTGATTGAATAATTCTTGATCCTGATCTTCTGGCTTCCCTTTATTTTGCTGCTGTGGTGCTAGCGGTTCATTGTTAGGAATAATCCCACCATAACTCTCATACAACTCTCTAGTCAATTCTCGATATTCAACAAATGATTCATACAATACAAAACTTTCATCAAATTTTAATAATCGATAAGAAGTAACAATTTTATAAATAAAAGATCCAAATAATGATCGACTAGATAATTGTTTCACTGAACTTGACTTATTACTAAATAAAACATTGGGAGCAACCAACATTCCAAACAACTTATCTAACCAATCATCCAAATGTTCAATTGATTGAATATTCCATAGTAATTCAAGTAATGATTTCTGTAATTGAATAGAAGAAGATTGTGATGATTGTTGTTGTTTATGAATATTATAACATAGATCAATTAAAGTCGGTATCACAATGATCTCTTCTTGTTCATCATATAATATATCATTGTTTATTAATTTAACTAATAAGATCAACAGTGATTGTAATATATCATTGGTGATTGAATTGGTGGCATATAAATAAATTAATGCTAAGATTGATAATTATACTCCCCTATCTAGAAGACAATAATTGTTAAACTCAAATAGACAAAGAACAACTTGTTGATGTTTCATATTGAATCCATTGTCGTTGTTGTTTTATTACCACCAAGACATCTAAATAAATATCAGGGTTCGCTTTTTTTTCACAACCAAAGATTTTTTTACAACCAATTTTTCGTCCTTCTTCTTCTTCTTTCTTCAACAAGCAGAGAGAAACGGTAATCAGTTGTAGCTCTGCTATAGACGTGTAGATCTAACTGGAATTGCGGTCTTGCTTCCAATCAGGGGAACGTGGAGATAGCTGGGGTACTCTTTTGGTTTTGAGGGGGGGTAGAGGATGATATTCTACTGGGAGAAAGGCTTAAGTTCACTGAAGAATCAGCTCCTGGCCTGATCGGTTATGCTTCAAAAATGAACCTAATCAGATCTGGTGTAAATTCTTCAGTAGCCTTAAGTAATTCTACTGTGGTATTTCCTAAACCTTATCTTAGGTGTTGGACTAAACCCTACGAAGTGAAACACCTAAGTAAATTCATTTTTACATCCAAAGGTTTTTTTACAACCAACAACAAATCAAGAGAAATTGGAAGTAGTTCTTCTATAGATGCAGAACCTTCTACAACTTAGAAATGACACTTCTGCTTCCAATTGAGAGAATACTCCTTAAAAATTTAGAAGTTTGTTGGTTTTATTAGGTTTGTTAGATGATGTCCATCTGAGTTGCTTAGAATTGAAAATCAGAAGTCTGTCTATAATGGAAGCTACACCAATCACTAACCAGGTGTCTAATTCAGAAAGAAAGTATGTTACCCATTCATGAAATCCAGCCAAACAGGCTGGATGAACATCAATTTTCATTATAATGATCTTTCCTTTTATGGTTTTTCTATTTTAAGATTGAATATATTTATGGTTGACGATGTGATGGTTTCTAAAATATTGTTAGTAATATCTTAACTGTAGCACTCACTGAAATCATCTGAATATCTGAAATTTGGATTAAGTTAAATTTTCTTCCCATGAAATCAGATAATAAATCCACCACTCGAACCAATTACCCGTGTCTGATTCAGAATGAAAGCATGTCACCGATCCATGGAAGGTCAAATCCTCTCCAAATTGGATCAACATCAATTTCTCATTTTTATGCTACTATTTGTTTTCTTTTCCTTTTTGTCTATCTTCTAGAATAATGATATTTGGAACTTGGATCTAGAAATATGGAATAATGGAGGTTATGGCGAAATGGAAGATAATTGAAAGTAAGTCCAAACTAGAATCAAGTGCACTCTTCTTTAGATGAATCTACTTTGAAAAGTATCAACTTTCCAACAACCAGCCAACTTTTCAGATCAACCCTTATTGGGTTATTAATCAAAAAAATTATCCTACCTAAATAATATGTCCTTTACCACTAAGATTATTTATTGTGAATGGTCTATTATATTTTTTTGGAGTTGTTCCATAATGAGAACGAAAATTTGCAGCCTTCAGATTGCGAAAAAAAGTTCGAAATTCATTTTATTCTTTTTTTCATGTTTACAAACAAATCTACCACTTCAATAATTCATTCAATCACTGATTTTCCTACTGAATCAATCCAGAAAAATCAATTGTGCCTTTAAAAGTTTCAAGGAATACTGCAGTTGAAGTTATCCGAGGAAAAAGTTGTCAGAGGAAAACACCAATTTTATTTGTGGCGCCTAAGCCAAAATCAAACATCAAGATGACGACTTTGTGGTAATGCAATTTGGAGAGAGTTTGACTGGATTCCATGGATCGGTGAAATACTTTCATTCTGAATTAGACAGCTGGTCACTGGATAGTTCTGGCGTTGAATTTATTATCTGATTTCATTGGAAGAAGGTTTCACTTGATCTAGATTCGTACTTACTTACATTTATCGTCAAATCCATATTTTCCATTTTTCCATAGTTTTNCCTGGAAATGAAAATTGGTGTTAATCCCATTTGGGGAGAGTTGGACTGGATTCCATGAATCAGTGACATACTTTCATTCAGAATTAGACACCTGCCCAGTGTTTGGTTCGAGTGGATTTATTATCTAGGTTCATTGGAAGAAAGTTTGACTTGATCTAAGTTTGAGATATCTAGGGGATTTCAGTGAGTATTACCATTAAAATACCTTTATTACTAACACTATTTAAAAATCTAGAATACTAACATGGTCTATCTAGGGGAGCCAATATTACTAACATGGTCTATCTAGGGTATTCATTATTACTAACATGATTTATCTAGGGGATTCAATACTAACATGATTTATCTAGGATTCATTATTACTAACATGATTTATCTAGGAGACTCAATAAAATTCCATCCCAAAATAGAATTCCATCCCAAAATAGAAAAATTATCCAAAGCAAGATCCTGGGAATGAAAAATTGACTACGACACAATTTAGAGAGAGTTTGGCTGGAGTACTTGATTCAGTTTAATAATTTCATTCTGAGTTAGTCGCCTGATCAACGGTTAGTTTGAGTGATGGATGTTTTATCTGATTTCCAAGGAAGAAAGCCCGGCTTAATCTAGATTGTTGGGGGGTTTTCAAGGGAGTTTTAGTGGGTATTACCGAAAGGTCGAGTCCCACACTGTTAACTCGTGCGTAAATGCATTTCTTCCTTCATGGCTGCAGACATGAAAAACAAAAAAAAAAATTCTATTCATTCTAAATTATTCACTGAGATAATGGTTACTGTGTGTGGTGGAGTTTTTATCCGATTTGAGGGAACAAGGATTAGTCTAATCTAGACCTTGGATTGGTTGGAGAAGGGGGAAGAATTTTGTCTTAAGTACTAGGTGAGATTATTCGTAGGTTTGTTTTAATTAATGTACGTTAGATATTCTTAAATTGTTTACTATAAAGGACTTAAATTGTAATACTCTCCTCTAAAAACGATCGCTTTTGATCACCTTGTTTGTAGCTCGTTGCATGCCCGCTCCGCTGAAATGTTTTATTTGGAATTCAATGGTGATGAAGAAATAAAGAGGGTAGACAAGGGTTAGAACTTATGCTTGAATAGTTAAAGGACGTATAGACTCAATAACTATTATTACGACTTCTACATTGGGCCAATTCAATAATACTGAATAAAAATGACTCTGTAATTAATAAACTACATCTCTATTAAAACTTACATACTAACACTATTCATCATCAGATTCATCAGCATTCAATTGTGGCATCTCAAAATCAGATCCTGATTCTTCTTCCTCTTCATCTTCTTGTGGGAGTGCAGTTGGAGCTTCTTGACTTGTTTTAGTTGATGGAATTGTAGCAACTTCAGGTTGGTCAACTTCAATTTCATCCTCAACAACTTCAGTAGTAGTGGTGGTCGTAACCACCTCAACGACTGGTTCAGATATATTCTCTTTGGTGAATAATTTTGATTTATCTTCAACAACCACCTTTTGTTCCGTCTTTTGTTGAATTTGAATCTTAACTACTTCATCTTCATTAATCTTTCTTCTCTTGATTTCAGATTCCTCTTTGATTTCTTCAACCTGTTCTTCTTCAAGAAGAAGGAGGAGGAGTAGGAGAAGTAGGTAGACATGTAGGAGAAGATGGACGTTGATATATTTTGGCAATGGTGGAAATCTTGGGTTGTTAAAAACACTCAAAACTGGATCATTACCCAAAATACTACTAACAATAGGCAAAACACTAATCTTTTCATATCCAGGATATAAAACCGCATTAATCAACAATGTTTTCAATTCAGATGGGACTAAATGCTGTTGATTATAGTGTTTGGCAATTAGTCGAAGCTAATAGTTTATAGAGTATTAAAACATTACAACTCACCTTCCATTCCGAACCCTGGTGATAATGGTATCGATAAATTTCCTGACTGATTTGACCGTTCCGGATGGAATAGATTGATTGAAGAGATGCTCATGGGATAAGATATCAGACAACGGAACAGCTGAAGTATTCTTTCTCTTTTTGTTTTGCTTCTTGTTATTGGAAGCTTGTTGGTTTTGGGATTGTTGTTGAGATGGAGGTTCAATTCTAGGTTCGACCAATAATAATGCAACATCAATAAATCTCAATAATTGGGAATTATCCCCAATATATTCAACCAATGAAAGATATCTTCCAACACAGTCTAATAACGCAGAGTACAACTGTTCATGTTCAAGTAAATCATCATATGAAACTTTTCTATTCTTGAATGGAATAAGAACTTCTAAGAATGAAATGATACTTGATAAATGAGGGATCAAGTTTCCTTTATAAGTATCAATTATATCATTCAACAACAAAACTGTATTCTTATGATTAATTGCCAAAGTTTGCTTAAGTATTGATTTAACTTGATCGTCTCTAATATCACCTTTAAATGATAAAAACTTCACATTCAAACAACATAATACTTCACACAAAGTCAAAACCAATCCAATTGGAACCTTAACAGTAAATTGAGTCTCAGTAGTCAAATATGTTCTTAACAAATTCAATAAAATTTCAATCTTATCCGAAAGTTGGAAAATCGTCTTTGGTTCATTAAAATCAATAGAAATATCTTCCAAAATCTTATTACCAACTTTTGCAGTATTCACCTTATCAACCAATCTAATCAAATCTTGATCATCTTTAAAATTAAGGAATTCTTGATATACACCAACAACACCTCCGATTTCACCAATTATACCGACAACATCCTGATTCCATTTCGATTCAGGTTCTTGTTTTTCAATAGCAGGTAACATCGCCAATGTCTCATAAATACAATACTGTAAATCTCTTGGGAAACTTCCAAAATCATCTCTGTTGATAATCTCAACTAATCGAGCATTTAATTTATTCCCAAATGGTCTAAAAGTAGTTGAATTATATTTAATAAACCCTTGCAAAGATCCAATAATCAATTTGGGGGCCAAGTATAATTTCTCCAAATATAACCCAATAATAGTAGCCAATTTAGGAGTCAATATCTCTCGTCAATTTCAACCGAAGGGAGATTAAGACGGTGTATTCATTAATTAGCAGAGATGTGTATTAATCAAAATCTTGATATTAATAGTAGCATTATAATTTTCTAATATCAGGATTAATTGGGATAAGAAATTCGAGCCATAATTAGCTAATATCGTGTAATCTTGACAAATAACACGGATTAAGTTTATTCCACACCATCTGTTGTATTCCTTAGGAGATTTGGCAAGATTTAATGTTCTGGAAATGAGATGGTTAAGATCGGATTTGGAAATTGATTTGAGGAGGGATTTGTTGCTATGGAGGGATTGCAAGATTGGGATTATTGATGATGGAGTGCCCTTGATCTCTTCAAGGATAATAGCCATCGACATGGTTGCTTGTGGGTCTTTTCAAAAGAGTAGATGAGTCGTCAATAATAATTTGAAAAATTTGGGAACCTTTTTCTACTGCGATGAGATGAGCGTGGATGCGAATTTGAAAGCGCTACCAAGAGATAAACAAAATTTACGATGTTTACTGGCTCATAAAGTGAGGTACAGGAAATTACTGATAAATAAGGATAAGCTATCCGATTCAATTACTAAAAACAAATGGATATATGCAAAAAGCTAACGAAAATATAAACAAAAACATATTGTCTCTCTTAAATCTACAAAATATTGTCTAACAACCCCTTAAATCCAAAAGGTTCATACAAGACCCCACCACCTTCAAAATACTTGGACATACTTTCAACCCAATGCAATCTCAAAGAATGCAACATGGCACTAGTACCTTCCATCACCACCAAAATACAAACGGATAATGTAAACCACATGGCAAACAAAAATACAATCATAATCACCCCAACAATCCCAGTAGTACCAAATGCATTACCAATAGTCATTGACCATAACACGGTAGATAATTGGGCATGGGCTAATGAAAGCGCCCACAATCTCAAATACGAAGCAGTATGGGAAACACAATTCAAACAGAATTCAATAGTATGAATGACTTGATGGATCATGATATCACCAAATCCATGTTCTTCATGATCTTCATCTTCATCATCATTTTCGGCATGACCGGTGGCTGGAGTTTCGTCCAATTCATCAGTTGGTAATTGTGCATATTGGGAATGGGCAGCACGATCTAATTCACGTTTGAGGTATAATGGTTTTACTAACAATAACCATGGAACACAAATCAATGCAATTATGACAAGGAAGATTTGGATTGTTGCTTGTCCGGAATATAATGGTTCAGCCACATTTCCGGGGGATAAAAACATTGAAATCAACATGTTTAATAATCCTGGAGGTTGTTTTTGGACGGCAAACCAATCAACTGTCCATTTGTATACGATACACAAGGATAAATAACCAAAAATACTTTGCATAAACAATAACCCCGGGATGAAATTCCCAACAATATCAATAAAACTTTTGAAATAAATATGATTGAACAAGGAAAAGAAATATGAATATGTCATATGAGTATATCCCATCAAAATCGATAATTTCATTTTGAAAGAATTAGAAAATAATAAAGCATTTTCAGTTCCATGCCAAGCTGGATCTAAACCAAAAATATAAGTCCCAATTGATTTAGCATGTAAAGTTTCACCAATTTCAAATTCTTCTGGCCATTTCCATCCACTAGAAAATAAATTCATCGAACGAGAAAAGACATCATTATAAATAAAACCAGTATACATTGAAAAAATACCCATTAATAATAAGATATATCTTCCCGTGTATGCCATATCAAAGATTTCATCTCTCTTCATGGCACCCAATTTCTTTTCATTCCAGACTAAGAAACCAGCGGACAAAGCGACAATGAAACCATGTCCTACATCACCAAACATAATGGCAAACATAAATGGGAAAGTAATAATTGTTGGCAAACCAGGATTAATTTCATGATATTTCGAAACACCATAAGCGTCACAAATAACTTGGAAAGCATAGGTGAATTTATTAGTTCTCGTGAAAGTTGGTGGAGTCTTATTAGTATCCAAAACATTAATTATAGTGGGGAAAGTTGAAGATTGTTCAGATTGATCTACTCTTTGAATTGTTGAAGTTAAATCCGTGATTGAATCAGTTGGGATCCAACCTTCTCCAATCAAAGTCTTTCTAGATCCATCATAATCACATTTGTTCATGGCTTTGTAAACTGCCTTCTCACGGGCAATTATTTCCCACCATTTTCCCAAATCACGAGATAAGGCAATCAATTCTGAATTGAGGGCATTTTCTGATTCGATTAAAACGGTAGATAAATCAGTTAATTTAGTATTGACTTCATTTAATTGTTCTAATCTTAATTCGGCAGTTTGATCAACTTGATAAAGATCACCATCTAAAGCTTCACAAATCTTTTTAATCCTCTCACGAATAATAGAACCATGGGAAAAGATTATAAATGAATTTTTATCAACATAACTATTATGTTTAGCGTCATACATTTTTTCAGGTAATTCTTCACTATGGTAATACAAATTACCTCTTAATACTCTCCATAAGATTTGTTGTAATGCACCTACCTTGTCACGATTAATGACACCACAAATGAATGAAGAAGGATGAGCATCGTCAGCTCCACCTACTTCCAATTGTTGCAACAAAGCTGTTTCTTCACTCCCAATAGTATTAGAAGGTCCACTTTGAGAAGTAAAGAAATTAGAAACAGATTGAATAGTATATTTAAATTGTTTTAAATTCCTTTGATTATTGTATAAAGTTTCAACGGAATCACGTAATTGAATAATTCTATCTTCCAACAATTGAGAATTTTCAATCAATTCATCGATTTCAGATTGTTGAGGAATGACATGCTCATATGGGAATTCTTTAATTGAAATCTCTCTATTATCCAATTCCTTCTTAAATAAATTAAATTGACGTTCAACATTATCTAATTTCCTTAATTCTTTGACAAATGATCTTTGAAATTCATTGATTTTGGAATTTAAGTCTCTGAATTGAATAATATCCAATTGACCAATTCTATAGATGATATCTCTTGAAACATCAGTAGGAACATATAATTGAACCAATGACATGTCCGCAGAACCTATAATGAGATAGTTAGTATACCCAACTTTGTATAGATAGAGCAGAAATGAACATACGGAAGACAGCTTCTTCTTTCTCCGACATGATTTCCCAATTGAGTACGTTCGATGATATTCAGAAAATTGATGCTTGGAAGTTGATTGATTGAATTTGAATTCTAATTGGAGAGAAGAATGAAACTTTTGGAGGACTGAGAAACTTCAAGAAAAATTTCAAAAAAGGGAGACATTTATAAATGTCGTGCAGAACCTCCTTGGATATCCGCCACGACATTAATTAAGAGAAGCATAAGGGCAATGAAACAACTTCAACCCGATCACTTTCAATAGTTTTTGATTACTCCTATTCTACCTAGTTTGTCCAGGACATGACTCTATATGACCTTTTATATATGACTTATATGACAATTTTACATATTTTGTTGTGTTCAAAAGTCTAATCGGAATTCCATCGAACAAATCCCGAGAAGGAAGAGTAAACCGGGTTCTTGACAATGCTAGTAACCCATACTCACATCTCTGTAAGACTATTTTTGAGGACGAGTGGTAGATCATAACAACAGCCGAGCAGAATGAGTTTTATATAATCAGTTCTACTTAATAGTTGTAGATTTTGAGCCAGCAGTCCTGGGCAAGGTTATTCATTATTAGCTAGTTGAGTTCCATAAGGACACCCTTTCTTTATGAATAATAAATACGAAAAGGATCTATTCACACTATAATGGTATTATCTAGTAAAGACAACTAAGAAAGAATCCTCACCTTATAAATGCCCTGCAAGGATCTGTAACAGTTTTGAGCAGTCTTTGCTTTTTGCATAGTTTGACATCAGATCTGTATTTAGGCAGTAAGTTACATTAAACATCATCAATAGAAGGAGGATGTAAGATAGATAGTGTTTTACTAGAATTTATGAGAATACTAAAGTTGTTTGAACGTGGAAGCGCTTGACCGTCTAATGAATCGACCGAGCGAATGTGTATTAGGAATTCCAAGGATGAACCAAAGTTCAGTGTTGTATATAACTATGTAATAGATAGTTGTTCCCCCAATCAAATCCCAAAACCTCTAAAGGGGGAATCCACAGGTATTTAAGATAGCGGCCGAATCGAAGCTTTTCAGAAATCAACTGTAATGTAACAAGTTACACACAGGAACCACGTCCGGGCCTCCGCCATACCACATACTCACTAACGACCGACGAAAGTCTATTATCTCCGCGATTACTCCAATTCCAAATTGGGAAGGAGCACATAACCACTCCTTACAGAGGACATCTAAGAGGATTTAAGGTTATTGAATGACCCCATGATGTGATATTCCGAGTAGAACAGAATTGAAAGCTATAAGGCTTGTCGTTTACATTCAAGACCAAGGTGATAAATGCAATGCGTCCTAAATACAAATTCTTGAACCTTAATATTCAATCTTTTAGAAATGCAATTCTGAACAATTAAACGATCCGTTGATGTCTGAGAACGTAACAAAGAGTGTGTATATAGACAAGAATTGTTTGAAATGTGAAATCAGTGAGTGACCTTTCAAATCATTTTTGTAAGACATCTTTTAGTTAGATCTATGACCATTACTATTTTTTAAGTGTGGTTAAAAAATAAAATAAGATGAAATTATCTGATGACTTTAAGTTACTCAAAATAATATGATAACTTCTTCTGCATAATAATAATAATAATAAAAACAGCCGATCGCCTATGATGAGTCTTAAAAAGTTGGAACATATTTATCAGTAAGGAGAGGGGAAGGGATTGTATTTCTTACTTTTAAATTAATAACGATCTTTTCACAATTTGCAACCATTTCCAATATGACTGCAACAATTCCAAGAAAAAGAGTTAGAGCAATCATATCTCTCATACTAATATTTTCTCTACTATACACTTTCACAGAGTTACGTATAACATCAATGACTCTAAGAAAACTACAATCCAGATACCTAGGAATCGCCAATGATGACGACGACATAGCTATCCCTGCTGATGCAGAAGTTGACCCTAGACTCATATTGCCTCCCAGGAAAGTCAGAATGAAAGAAAAAGTAAATGCAACATTTGTTACCCTTGCCAGGAACGAAGAACTATACGGCTTGTTAACTTCCATTAACCACATTGAAGATCGGTTCAATAGGAAATTCCATTACGACTGGGTATTTTTCAATGATGTCCCATTCTCGGAAGAATTCATTCAAATGACATCTGCAGTAGTATCCGGAAAAGCTTTCTATGAAGTTATTCCTAAAGAACATTGGTCATTTCCTGAATGGATAAATCCCGATGAAGCAAGAGCAAGTATAGAAAAGATGAAAAACAAGAATGGTAGAACCGAATCATACAGACATATGTGTAGATTTGAAAGTGGGTTTTTCTGGCAACAGCCAATTATGGATAAATATGATTGGTATTGGAGAGTAGAACCAAACATTGAAATATATTGCGATATCAATTATGATGTTTTCAAGTATATGCAAGATAATAATAAAGTTTACGGATTCACAATTGCCTTTCACGAATTTAGAAATACCATTCCTACATTATGGAAGAGTACCCAAGAATTCCTCGACCATCATCCTGAATACATCGCGGAGGATAACCTTCAAGCTTTCGTAAGTGACAACAATGGGAAGACTTATAACACTTGTCATTTCTGGACCAATTTCGAAATCGCTAGCCTTGATTTCTGGAGATCACAAGCATATCGAGAGTACTTTGATTTCTTAGACCATAAGGGAGGATTCTTTTGGGAACGTTGGGGAGATGCACCAATCCATTCAATTGCAGCTAGTTTGTTCCTACAAAAAGATAAGATTCACTTTTTTGAAGATATAGGTTATAAACATACAGCTTATCGGAAGTGTCCACTTGAGTTGACTTATAGAGCAAGTCACCATTGTGCGTGTGATCCAGAAAGGGATTGGACATACAGAAGTCCCTGTGGAAAGAAATATTTCAAAGCTATGGGAATTCCACTACCTCAAGCAGCGTTAGATTTGCTCGAGAGAGATAAGAAGGCAAAAGAAGCCAAAAATAAGGCCGAAAAGGAAGCCAAAGAGAAGGAAGCCAGCGAGAAGGAAGCCAGCGAGAAGGCAGAGAAGGAAGCCAAAGAGAATGCAGAAAAGGAAGCCAAAGAGAAGGCAGAATAGGAAGCGAAGATGAAGGAAGCCAGAGCGAAGGCAGAGAAGCTCCCCAAAGAGATGGCCGAAGGGCAACCAGCAAAATGAAGCTAATGAGCCAGTTGAACGATTCAACGTGAAAGGAACGGGGGAGGAATAACAACAAAACGAACCAGAAATAGCAAACGAAGAACAACTACAACAAAAGGAAGTCAGAGGCTAACGAAGGAAATTGAGTAGAGGAAACCGAGAAAACCAAAATGCGAGTAAGAAAGGTGCCCTAGATTAACAAGCTGTGAAGCTACGCGGCAACATTTTGAGATCAGATATATAGTTTTAAATAATCATTGCAATCTACTTGGTTGTTGTGTCTGGATAATAGCTCCAATAATAGCATTAT